AAAGATTTAGGCTTAACACAAAACTATATACAAAACAGTGAATAACAAGTGTGCTCTAAGAAAAGGAAAATCGAGAACAAAATGACCTACATATCTAGTCCTAGGGTGAAGGCATAACGGAGTTTACAATAGAGTTGTCCTAAGCTGGAAAACGTTAAGTCTAGTACCTAATATATCTAACTAGGAAGAGAGAATAATAGTTGTGATAGTTTAATCTTCAACCTCATCAAGACCTGAGAAGGAAAATAACAATACTAGAGTAGACAGGAAGTGCGGATGGACAACTTCCAAAAGGTGCAGCAAGGACAGAAACAGCAAGCCACCTGGACAGTCACCCTAGGTCTCACAGCAACGTTGGTACACCCAGTTTTGGCTAAGGCCAAGAGAACTTGACAGACCACAACAACAGCAGGGAGGTAGAATGGCTGTCTTACCCTGACTTGGCAAGGTCAAGCAGTCTTCTATATTTGTCTCCTGCAATCATATAGGACTGCATGTCCAAATCAGTGGTCAAGGTGGGGGCAATTCTGTGCCCAACAGGCCATTAGCTGAGGCGAGAATGAACTCCAGCAGGAGCAACAACAGTGTCCAACATATTTTCGGGAAAGTGCATGGTGCTGTCAGGAGCAACAGTGTCTCATGTCAATGGAGTACTAATATTAAAACATTTAAATGCCATGTTCTGCATGTCTATGAAGTGATTGAAGATTAAGCATCTATATCTGACTAATCTCATAGGTACAGGAAAATGAGTGAAGATAATCTGTAATACTCAGGAACTTAGCTAAAAGACTGATTAAAACTTCCCTGAATAAATCAGGAACAAATACTTAAACAGTATAACTATATACATATACATACATATAAATCCCTAAAATAGAGGTAGAGTAGAAATGTCAAGACAAGAGGTAGAACTATAAAGGGCAGCATGATAAATATCCCAAACTGTATCAATATACAAATGTCTTGAATACAAGAAAAGTATACATACATAGAATATGGTAAAAATAATGTGCATAAAACATCGTAAGTGGAAAGATTTAACACAATATAACAAAATATAAACTTAATTTTACATAGCTTACCACATATAAGAATACATAACAATGTAAGCTGTAAAATACTATCTCATTCTTACTCAAATTCACAAGAAAATAGGCTAATCTACCTATATCCCATCTAAACCATACCTTTCCCAACCATTCCCTATTCCTGTCTAAAAGATAAAGCCAAGTGTAAGCATCATCTTCCATACCCAACCCTAAATAACTAAAACCAACCCAAAGACAATGACTATTATCCCAAAATCCCAAGGGTAGGGAAAGGGGGCGTCATTATCTTAAGGTTACTTCCTGCTGAAATGGGACAATGATTGCTCCAATGGATCCTGTAGGAAGAAAAATTTTTAGCAACCAAATTTCTCAACAGAACTGGCTGTGACATATGTAGCTAGTCACTGTGTGGCAGAAAATTCTTGGCTGTAGTTCTATTTGAAACTCTGGCCAGGGTGTAATAAAAAGATGCACCATTACAGCTAGCTATTAGTCATGAGTTGTCTCGAGCAAAACAGTCTCAAACCGGTTTTAGGGTGATGTTTGTAGTTCAGATGCATCAGGTTGAGTCAAGTGGAAACGATGATGTGGGGCCCCATCTTCTTTCCGGAGAGTTCAAAGACTGCTGTTAGGAATCATTATTATTCCTTGTGGAAAAGTTACACATCAATATTAAAGTAAAATTTTCAAGTTTTAAGGTATGCATTAGGGAAAGACAACAATAAGCATTAAAAGTATGTGAGAAAATTAGGATTTCAGAGAGAAAATTGCATATAAGAAATAAGTCCCCAGATTTTGTTTTCTTCTGCCTTACACCAATTGGCTTCTTGATTTAAGGCAGAAACCATGAATTTAATCTTAACAACATGCTTGAATTTAGAGAAGGAAAGCCAAATCCAACTCCAAAGCCAGCATTGGTTTACATAAATTGGGACTTCAGGAATACTAGATAGTAGAGAGAAATAGATTTCTGTATAGAAATAGTGTACTACAATTAAATTTTTTTTTACCATATATCAGATTCTGCTTCCTTAAGTGATTGTTTCTGAAGAGCTGTCTTCTCTTCTGTAGGCACCTACATGTTCAGTGTCTTTTGGCTATTTGATGATAGGGGAGAACACTTCCCCTACTTTGAGAGGCCTCCACACACCTCATGGGACCTAATTTGTTGAATGACTTGTCATTTCTCTTCATAAAATGTTTCTCTTGTTCAACTCAGATCTTGATTAACTTAGATGGTATCCATAGTTTTTCTTCTCCTGTAGATACAAATGCAAAACCCCTACCCCAACGTAACACATATCCTGCTTTCCATTCTGAGGTCAGTACATCCTTGAAGTACACTGGCTGATTTAGTTCAGATGTTTTTTCTAATGTCCAGTGTCTTTCTGCAGCTGTATTTCCTTTTTCATTAGCATTAAGAAAGTTTAATGTTAATAAGGCATTATGTAATCTGTGTTTGGGTGTCTTGGTTCCTCCTGCCTGTTTATGGAGCATTTCTTTTAAAGTATGATTGGATCTCTCAACTACTGCTTGTCCTGTAGGATTGTGTGGTATACCAGTTATGTGCTTTATGTTATAATACTCAAAAAACTGTTTCAATTTGCTGGAGACATATGCTGGAGCATTGTCAGTTTTTATTTGTGCAGGTATGCCCATAATGGCCATTACCTCTAATAGGTGTGTGATAACAGAATCAGCCTTTTCAGAGCTCAGAGCAGTAGCCCATTGAAATCCTGAAAATGTATCTATAGTGTGATTTACATATTTTAATTTTCCAAATTCTGCAAAATGAAACACATCCATTTGCCATATTTCATTCCTATTTATACCTTTAGGGTTACTGCCTGGTGGTAAAGGAGTTTGGTTATAGAATGAGCAAGTAGGACATTTCCTTACTATTTCCTTGGCTTGTTCCCAAGTGATAGAAAAATCCTTTTTTAAACCTTTGCTGTTCACGTGGTGTTTCTTATGAAACTCTGAGGCTTCTAGCACACTTCCTATCAATAAACAATCAATATGAAATTGATTTGTGCCTTGTGCTAGAGGACCTGATAGACCCATATGGGATCTGATGTGTGTTATATATATAGGATGAGTCCTCTTTCTGATAGTATCTTGTAACTGTATAAACAATGAAGTTAATTCTGTATTGTCAGGAATAAATTCTGCAGTCTCAATGTGTAAAATGACCCTCTCTGTTTATTGAGAGTCAGTGTATTGAGGGGTTCTTTAAAATCCATAAGTACCATGAGAATGGCATACAATTCTGCCTTTTGTACAGAATTGTAAGGGCTTTGAACCACTTTGCTAATTTTTCCTGATTTATATCCTGCCTTACCTGATTTGTTTGCATCAGTGTAGAATGTATGAACTCCAGAAATAGGTGTTTTTCTTACAATGCGTGGAAGGATCCAAATCGTTTTCTTTGTGAATTTGATTCTCTCAGTTTTGGGATAGTTGTTGCTAATCGTTCCCAAAAAGTTACTGCAAGCTCTCTGCCAATATTCGTTATCTTTCCATAAGGAGGAAATTTCCTCATTAGTTAAAAGTTCTATAATTTCTGCTGGGTCCCTTCCTATTAGCTGACGAAGTCTTAATTTACCTTTTATAATCAAGTCAGAGATCTTTTCTATATATGTTTTTAGTTTTTTAATCTGTTTATGTGGTAGGAATATCCATTCTAATATGATATCTTCTCTCTGCATCAAAATCCCTGAAGGATATTCTCTAGATGGTTACAATTAACCCTTATCAAATGCATAGTTCACAAATATTTTCTCCCATTTTGTGGTGGGCTGTCTCTTCACCATACAAAAGCTTTTTAGTTTCATATTATCTTATTTGCCCATTTTTCATTTATTTCTTGTTTTAAGAGTCTTATCCTACTTTTAACAAGTTTGAAATTGATTTTTGTCAATGTGACTAATCTAGGACAAATCTTTGTTCCCAGAGGTTCAATCCTCCATCAATGTTTTTAATGGATAAATCAGAAATGAAGAATAATTACATAGCTAGGGCCTAGCTGTGTTGCCCTAGATTGGGTGTAATATGACAAAAACAGTTATAGTTGAGGAATTTGCCTGTGCCTTTTGTCTGTGTGAACCGAGTGCTGCAGAGAAGTGATACCAGTGTAAGACACCAAATCAGAGAGAAAAGATGGACTGCAGCAAATAATCGTCTGTATGATATGTGTGTACATATTAGAGCAAGCTATTCCCTTGGTGATGAGGAAGAAAATAGTAATACAGGGAGATGGAAGCCAGAAGGTCACATGATAACCTGACCCCAGAGGGTCACATGACAGCCTTCTTCAGAGGGTCACATGATAGCCTATCTCCAAAGAAAAAGTGGGAATAGAGCATGCTGGGATACTGTGAAATCACACCTGTGTGGCTCTCCTCAATCTAACCACCTGTGGTGAACTGTTCACTTTTTGTATAGATCCTTCCAGTCTCTTTTCTTGAATATGTGCTCAGTATCCTTCAAATACATTCTCAAGCTTGTGTCAAACATATTGTCCTAACCATTCTTATATTATTGTCAAAAAGTTTCTCACGATAGTGAATACATTATTTTCCACTGTTGCACTATATGTGTAATAAACTTGCTCAACCTCCTCATTGCTTTTATGTTTTTTTAAACAATGTGTATTTATTTTTATGTATATACGTGTTTGGCTGCATGTATGTATGTGTTCCATGTGCATGCAGGAGTCTGCTGAAGTTAGAAGAAGTGTCAATTAGATTCCCTGAAACTGGAGTTATGGGCAGCTGTGAGCTGCCGTGTGGTGCTGGGAAGCAAGCCCAGTCCTATGAAAGAGCAGCAAGCAGTAAGCGCATCTGAGCATCCCTCCAGCCCTGTTTCAGGGTTCTGGTTGTGTAAATAGAGTTGGAGCTGTGTGGATACTAAGGAAAGTGTGGCCTCACGTTCTCTTTTTCCCTCCAGGTTTTGGATTCCCCTCTTGCATCAGACCTCCATTGCCATCTGAGTGTCATCTCAGGACCTGGGTCACCCTCATGGCACAATGGCCAACCCTCAGGAGCACCTGAGCTGCTCCTTTTCACCACACCTGCCCTTGACTGAGAACAAAACCTCCAGTGGACAGAATGAGCTTGCAGCTGTGGGGAACCAGCCTTTACCCAACCTCCCTGAGGACCTCCAGGAGAAGGCTATGCAGCCAGAACTGATGGATATCACAGGCAGCCCCATCTCTACAGCAGTGCTGACCAGTGTAAGCGAAGATTCCAGGAGCCAGTTTGAAAACAGTGTCCTTCAGCTGAGGGAACAGGATGAATCAGAGATGACTGTGTCTCTGGGGAACAGCAGCACTGTGGATGGGGACAGCACAAACGCGACGGAAGACATCAAGATTCAGTTCAGCAGGTCAGGCAGTGGCGGGGGTGGGTTTCTCGAAGGGCTGTTTGGATGCCTCAGGCCCGTGTGGAACATCATCGGGAAAGCATATTCCACCGATTACAAGCTGCAGCAGCAAGGTAAGCTAGAACACGTGTCCTGGGAAGGTACTTCCTGGACCACACTAACTCCACCGCCACCAGTAACTGAGTAATCTTAAGGAATAGACCAACAGTGAGGTCAGGTGACCACCCTTTCCCAATAGAACAAAGTCATACTTGGAGGTTCCTTTTTACCTAAAGCCAAACTATACAGTGTATAGAATAGAGTACATGCATATGGTCATAGATGAAGCATTAGAGTTCCCATTTGCTTTGTCTCATTTAAGATTTCTATTCTCATACATATCTTTGATGATTGTTAATATTTTAATATAGTTGTATAGAACTATAACTTATGAATAATTGACATATGAGTGAGTCTATGTTTCTTACTGATAATTTATAGTACCAAAAAGTCTCATGGTCAAAGTCAGGCGCAGTAGGTAGTGTGCCTTTTAGTCCCCACTGTTCAGAGGCTGAGGCAGGAGGATTACTTGAGGTCAGCTAGGCCAATCCTAAACAACATAATGAGACCACCATCCAAAAAAACAAAATCAACAACAAAAAAAAAGGTCAACTCTAAACAAGTTTGATGGCCACCAGACTAATTCAAAACCAAACTGGTACCATGCTATCCCTTAGAATGCCAGACCTGCCCTACATTGTAATAAAAGGAATTCTTACCTTGCAGCAAGGGCACAGCAGCCTAGCACTTTGAGAGCAGAGGACTCTAGCCAAGTTTGAGAAGTGTATAATTTCTAAAATCCTGAGTCTTAAATTCCCATCACCATGCAGCATGTATTCATTCATACATTCCAGTTCTAAGTAAAAGAAGCACATGTTCTTGGTGTTGTAAATAGTTTACTGCCTAAAAGGAAATGACTCCGGTTCCCGCCAAAATTAAAACAATCTATCATCCTTATCTTAGGAACAATAATCACTAATAACTTAAGACTGTGTCAGGCTGGACATAGTGGTACATGTTTAATCTCTGTATTTGCAAGGCTGATGGAGAAGAATCATAAGTTTAGATCTAGCCTGGTCTACACCGTGGTTCTAGATCAGCTTGTACTATGTAATAAGACACTGTCTCAAAAACCATAAATGTGTCTGCTTGAGGCCCACAGTGGGCACAGAATCCACCCTGCAGGACCAGGTGCTGGGCAGCTGGTACCCAGTCCTCCCTCAGCTGGACCTGCTTCTGAAGGAATGCATGCGTGCCTGTGTATGTGTGTGCAAAATAGCATTTGGTGGCTCATGGCAATAACTCCACCTGCTTGAGAGCCTGAGGCAGGAAGGTTACAATTCAGTCATCCTGGGCTATGATAGTGATTTCAAGGGTAGCCTAAGCAACTTACTAAGACCATGGCTGGGAAAACATGAGGGCCTGTGGATTTAGCTTAGTACTAGAACCCTCAACCAGTGTGCTCAGGGCTTTGGGGACCTCTAGCACTAAAAAAGAAAGGTATATGTTTACTTCATGTTGTAAAGGATTTTCCATTTCTGAAATGGAAATGACTTGTGCCCTGCATATGGTAGACAAAGGCTCTAGCACTGAAATATACTCCAGACCCCTTCAGCAAGCATATTCTTTTTTTAATGTATGAGTGTTCTTGTAGGAATTTATGCCAGAAGATGGCATCAGATCCCCCTAGAAATGGTTGTGAGCCACCATGTGATTGCTAGGAATTGAACTCAGGACCTCTGGAAGACCAGCCAGTGTGCTCTTAACCACTGAGCCATCTCTCCAGCCCCAGCAAGCATAATTTTTAATGGCCATATAATATATAATTATTTAAATGTGCTGATATTTTTTAAGCAATCCCTTTGGTTTGACACTTGTTTGTACTTTTAGTGATTATAAACTACAATGTATGTGGTCTGTTACTTTATTTTTATGTATTTTGTTTTGTGTGTGTATGTACGTGTATGTACCTGGGGGGGGGGTGGAACATGTCGAGGTCAGAAGATAATATTGGGGAGGGGTGTGTGTCTTTCTAAGGTTCAAACCCAGAGTTCCACACATACCAGACGATGCTCTGCTTCAGAGCTACACCTGAGCCCTTTGTTTATTTATTCATCTGTAAATTTTGTTTTGTTTTTTAGGGGGGGACAGAGTCTTGCTTTGTAGCCCTGGCTATCCTTGGACTCATTATGTTGCCCAATCTGGCCTCTAACTCCCAGCAGCCCTTCTGCCTCAGCCTCCAGAATGCTGGGATAATGGATATGTCTCACCATCCCTAGTCTTAATTTGTTTTAAAAGAGTTTTGTTCTCTGCCTCTCACAGAACCAACTAAAAATCTATTTTCATAATAAGATATATTTGGTTCTTGGAGCCTCTGCTTGTCCAGTCTTGGGCTAATTTGTCTCTTCTTGGAGATCTCTGTATCCAAATGCATTATTGGTACATGCACATAAACATAAAGTATAAAACGTACTAAATAATTTGGTTTTTTTTTTAAAATAAGAATTTGCTATATAAGCTTAACCTGAGTTCAATCTTCAGAACTTGTGGTAGAAGGAGAGAACATACTTTACACACACACATACATTCATGCATATACATACTCATGTGCACACACACATATATACACTTATATGCACACACACATTCATACACACATACATGCACATATGCATATCCTCACTATAATAACTAATTTTTTTTTAAAAAAAATCAAAAGCCCCTTAAACATATTTACAATAGGCTAGCCTACAATTTGTGGTTCTTCCAAATCTCACTGGGCATCATTTGCTTCTTTGGTGATTCCACATTTGGGAGCTGTGTATATTTCTGAGAGACTGGTTGTTATATAGCGTCTGTTCATTTCAATAGGACAGAACATTTACTCAGAGTCCACTGTATCTTTTCCTACTCTGTACAGTTGCAGTGTGGGGGCTGGAGAGTGGCTTGTGGTTATGTTAATGGTCTTCCGTTAAGTTATGGTCAGGCATTAGCCATTGTTATTATGACCTGAGAGAACTGAAGAGGGTACCTCTGTCTCCCGGATGCTGAGTAACTCTCCCTACCCCCTGATGACTGTGATGGTGCTTCACAGCCAAGAACGCAGGGCTACATTCATTGGTGGTTCACAAGCCATTTGCTGGTGAGGCTGGAATCTCCTGACCTTTAAACTGAGGCCATTGTCCTCCTTACACTGGGGCTCCGGGCCCTGTGGTATTCACTCCTTGCAGTAATGCTCTGTTCAGAAGGGAAAGGGGACATTGAGGAGGACCAATGTGTGCATTCCTTCTTAGGTCTTGTAAGATAAAAGTACCCTTTGGTGAATTTCTGAAGTGTCTTATTTAAAATAGTTTCTTAAATTGTGAGTGGTGGTACATGCCTGTAAGCTTAGGATTGGGGAAGTAGAGGCAGGAGGGTCAGGGGTTCAGGGTCATCCTCTGTTATACAGAGGCCAGTCTGAGCTACCTGAGACCCTGTCTCAAAAATAAAATAAAATAACATTTTATTCATTATGAAAATGATAAAAGCTTATATTTTAAAATTAATACAGAAAAAGATAAATACAAAATGAATTACCAGTAATACCAATCCTTAGGATTGAACCCTTGTACTGCTCTTTGCAGGAGGAACCAAGTTCAGCTCCCAGCACTCAGATCAGTTAGTTCACAATCACCTTAACTCCAGCTCCAGGGAAGCTAACACCCTCTTTGGGCTTCCAAAGGCACCTGTGTGTGTGACACTTTCACAGAGACACATATGTATACACAGGAATAAAACTGTTTAAAATATTATTTAAAAGAAAGCAAAAGTTGAAAGCACTGTAGTAATATGGGTGGACAGGTTGTGCACAATAGCCAAGGCCATCCCAGCTCCGGCATGCACAGCAATGTAAGGAGAATGGGGACAATGCTGTCCCTAGAATGGGCCGCTCCTGCATTGCCCATCTAAGGCCTGAGTAGTTATTCAACCCTGTGCCTTAGGGTTCCCATCTTTAATTGTGATTAGGCCAGTAGGCAAAAGCACTTGGTATGCAAGCCTAAGGACCTGAGTTTATTACCAGATTCTGGAATGGAGGAAGAAGCTGACTCCCAAAGATTGTCTTCTGACCTCCATGTGATGTTTGTATGCACAGGCTCATGAACACAGACACACACACACACACACACACACACACACACACACACACACACACACACACACACAAATAGTAATTAGTGGGTTTTAAAAAAATGCAGGGTGGTAAAATAGTTAAACGTGGCATATGCAAATCACTGTACAAGTCTCTGATATGTGGTATGTCCTCAGTAAAGGGTTCTAAGCTTGCTTCTCACTCATGTGCCTAGATACTTGGGAAGTGCCATTTGAGGAGATCTCAGAACTGCAATGGCTGGGGAGTGGAGCCCAGGGAGCTGTCTTCCTGGGCAAATTCCGAGCAGAGGAGGTGGCCATCAAGAAAGTGAGAGAACAAAATGAGACGGACATCAAGCATCTGAGGAAGCTGAAACACCCCAACATCATTGCATTCAAGTAGGTCAACTCACTTTGTCCTGCTGTCTGCTTGGTTATTTAGCCAATTGGCTGGCTTTGTTTAGGTACTGGTTTTAGAGGGGGATTTTTGTTTTGGTTTTGAGAGAAATTCCTCTATCATGCACACATAAGTTCCTGCTTTGGAAGATATTTCAAAAGCCCTTGATAGGCTTAGCACAGTACTAGGGGCTCTGGTAGGGTGCTAAAGTTCTAGCAAGCCTGAGTCATGCCCTCAAACTCTTTTAATCTAGTTCACCTTTGCAGGGGCATGTGCTGTTTATACATAATGCACACAGACCAGAGAGGAGGAAGGAGAATCTTGTCACACTGTAGATCAGCCTCACCAATAGCATGTCAAAGATCACTCATGGTAATCCAAAACAGCGTCCTGAAACTCAGATAAGATTCAATAGAGCTGGTCCCTGGATGGCATATATTTATTAGTTTCCAAGAACTCCTTCTTAAAAAGTAACTTATAAAGACAGGCATCTTTACACTATAGCCTCAGGCTTTGCCTCATCCCTTTCTTGCACATATAAGCCAAGCATTTACTAATATTGAATCACAAATTTATTTTTAACACTTCTCCAATGTATATATGCTTTTACCAATTTTTAAGCACTAAGGAACTTCCCATGCTAATTAGATGATGTGTTGGTTTGTTTTTACATAAAAAGTTACATCTTGACTAAATAATACTTTTGGAAGTAGAATATCTCCAGTTTTTCAGAGTTGCCTGATACGATTTCACAGCTGTCAGTACTAAGAACAACACTCACACAAATACATAGTACAAAATGACAGAAGTGTGTTCAGGGATGTCTCAAGAATCTCTGGAAATTCTTTCCTAATCTCAAGGAAAAATTAATTTAATGGCCTTTTATGAATCTCAAGTCAGCAACCCAAATAATCACTTTTGAATCAAGCATTTTAGGGCTGGGGAGAGGATCAGAGAGTAAAGTTCTTGTTGAAGACCCAAGTTTGAATCCCAGCTCCCTAATCTCTATATATGAGGGTATATGCCTGTAACCCCAGTGCTGAGAGAGTGGAGATGTATTCCTGGTGGTCACAGACTGGCCAGTATGGATAAAACAACAAGCCCCAGGCTCAGTGGGAGACACTGTCTCAAGAAACAAGATGAGGACACCTTAATGTCAGCCACCGACCTCCATACATGCCCATAGGTCAGCACCCCTGCATACACACATACACACATGCATGGGTACAAGAAATAAAATCAAGCATAACACAGTGTAATCCAAAGGTAGACTAATTAGCACTTACATGCTGAAGAATTAAAGCAAGAAAATGCTAAAAGTGTTTGTTTTCCATTATTATTATCTTTCTATAAGAACAGAAAACCATACAGTACAAACTCTGTAGTTCATAATGTGTAGTCCTAGTCTGAGCTGAGCTTTTACAGTGTTTGTTGGTGTTATGTGCTGATAGCAGGCACAGTGCAAAGGGAAGTAGGGCCGCAGGGAAGTTGTGATGCACTCAGATTCACCGTACATTTGATTTTGGATTAACTTTACTCATTGCACATTCAGAAACCTTTACCATTACCAGATGTTTTCTAACCCCTACACGTGGGGTTATTATGCACAGTTTAAGGCTCCTAATTGAAGAGGCCAGCCAGGGGTAAACCTGTGGAAAGCACTATAGTTGGAAGGTGGCTATGCTCACCACTGTCCCGCCAATGCACTGCAGCACTGAGTCTGGAAGTACTAAGTGCCAGCTTAGCTGGGTTTATGGCTGCCTAAACCTCTCCCTTGACCCCCTCCCTTATCTGTCTTTATGTCCTCCATCCCACAAGCCTGGACAAGGGAAAAGAACTGACTTTAAAAGAGGAAGAATGAAGAGCAGGGATTGTGGCCCAAGTGGGACAAAAGATGGGAAATTACTTTTGGCATGTTTGACTGCATTTTAAACTCCTGGGAGATAGTTTGTTATAACCATTGAGGCTTTAGTGGACATGGAAACACTTACAACTTCTCCCTTAACCTAGGAGCAACTTTCCTCAGCAGCCCCAAGGGCTCTTCCTCTGTGGAACTGCTATCATGAGGAAAAATGCCATGTGACTGATAAGTCTTAGTTAGGTTCCTCTCACCACAGGGAGGGGAGGTGGGAAGGCAGCACAGCAGTAGGACAGCAGATGACAGCCACTGTTGTAGTTCTGTCATCGACTTCCCTGATGAAAATGAAGTGCCACAAAGGCTAGCTGCAATTTCCAGAGCCGATGCATTTTGAGTTAACAGGCATATAGTTTTCAGCAGACAGACAAATGGAGACCACTGTCCTTTCCTTAAATGATGCCTTCTGCACACTCTCTTTCCTTCATGGAAGACTGTACCAAGAACTTTGAAACCCAGCTCCCTAGCATTGACGGTGGTGTGCCTTCTGGAATTCAGTGAGCTATGTGTCACTGGTCAGAGAGCTTCCCAGGAGTATGTCTGGGTAACAGGAAGTAGAAGCTGTCTTGAGAGGAGACAGTGAGTTGCTGTCTTTTCCTTCCTACTGTTTTCTCCACCTTGCCCATCCAACCTCATACCTACGCCACATCTTTCAGCATTGTTAGGTTTGAGTTCCTGTTCTGGAGCCCAACTCTCTAAGCTGAATACACTTGATTCATCTAACAATAGTGAGTTGATGATGCCCCACTCTAGGGTCATCGTGCAGTGTCATGTTTACAGCCATTGTGCCATTGGTTGCTTTGGTCAATGAATTATATTCAAGACTATCTGGAAGGCATGGTTGGATTTTGGTACATTTTTTCCCTTTGTTTATAGATTGCTTTGAAATTAGTAAGAACCACACATAAAAAGAAAGTAAAAGAAAACAAGTCATTTTCCTTCTTATTTTTTTAAGAAAACCCAACCTGACTGTTTCTAATAAAATTCCATCCTAAGTGAAGAGAAGGTAGCAATTAGAGGTGATGATAAAGCTGTTATTTCTGGCTGCCTAGGGGGCCTTATCACAGTAGAGGACTGGTCGGATGATTGTTCCTTGTTTGTCACAGTGAGAAGAAAGTCTGTAGAACAGTTTTCCTAGTAGGTACATAAGCAGTTTCTGTTTTATTATTGTTTAGATAGTAGCAGCCTGCACTAATTTGGCTGTCTCCTGTGACACCATTCCACTCTGAGAAAACTGGTAGACCAGAAAGATACTGTAACTATTTAAGAATCAAGAACTGTTATCTAAGTCCCACAGTGGTGGCACATGCCTTTAATCCCAGCACTCAGGAGGCAGAGGCAGGCAGATCTCTGTGAATCCAGGGCCAGCCTGGTTTACAAGAGCTAGTTCCATGACAGCTTCCAAAGCCACAGAGAAATTCTGTCTCAAAAGAACAAAAACAAAACAGAACTGTTATCTATATGAGTTTTAATGTCATTTGAGCAAGGAGTAGGCCCTTATTAAGCACTCTGGAGATATAGATATGTATGTGTGCATATTTGTCTGTATTCATGTACTTGTTATGTTCTCTTCAAAGGGGTGTTTGCACTCAGGCCCCATGCTATTGCATCATCATGGAGTACTGTGCCCATGGACAGCTTTATGAGGTCTTGCGAGCTGGCAGGAAGATCACACCTCGCTTGCTCGTCGACTGGTCCACAGGAATTGCTAGTGGGATGAATTATCTCCATCTCCATAAAATCATACATCGTGACCTCAAGTCACCAAAGTGAGTCCTAGAGCCCGTTGTCCATCTATTTTGTTATGTGGAAATGAGTTTTCATCAAACAAAGATGAGGTTCTGGCTTATAACTCGATTTTAGTCACACAGTAGGTAGCTGCTTATCACTGATCTATGTGGGCGAAACAGCCAGGTACATAACCCAAGCCTTCCCTTTCTGTGGCTTTTAGATTGTACAACTGTGCCACAAACTTCATTACTATCTGAAGTAGCCATCTTTTATCACCTCAAACCATTAATGCCAGTCTTCCCGTTTGGAAGCTTGGTTTGTTGTTTCCCTGTGCTTAAAAAAAAAAAAAAAAAAAAAAAAAAAAAAAAAAAATGAACTGACTTCCAGAAGCGTTTGTAACACAACAGAATGGAAATGGCTGAATGAGAAGAAACAGGTAGGTTGGTAATACAGCTCAGCAATGGAATGGTTGTTTCTGTCCCCAGCCCACGGAGAGACAGGTGTCTTCACAGATGTGAGCTCAGGTTCTGTGCACTTATCTGAGGTGCCTACATATGTGGCTTTGAGCTTCTGGGGAAGAAACGAGCAGGGGCAAGGTTCCCAGTGGCTATAAGAAAAGTAATTGTGTAAATATTGGAGTTCTTTCTAGTCATTTCTACTTTCAAATTATAATTGAGAACTGATAGCCACTTTAGGAAAAATATTTATTCAATTCCCCACATTGTATAAAAGAAAGGAATTGGTAAAATGACATCCTCCCAGTAGCCCCTATCCTAAGCATTGCTTTTAATCACATTTTGGGTCAGAGATGTGGTACATGTCTATAGCCCAGAACTCAAGAAGCAGATGACGGAAGGTCAAGAGTCTGAAGCCCAGCCTCATCTCCAGAGCTAGGCTATGTGAGCCACCATCTCAGAAAGAAAGTCAGCAACCTCAAAAATATATTCCCATCATTTGTTCATGGTTTTCAACAGCTTTATTCATCATCACATCCTATTTGATCCTGGAAAAAGTCATGAGCTAGATGTAGCAATATCATGTTTCTTATTGTACATAAGAGAAACTGGTACTCAGCCAAGACTCATGGATCTCGGACTCAGACATGTTGAGTTTTAGGCAAACTTTAAGAAGACAATGATAAATCTGGCTTGTTGGAATAGGAAGTTTTGCTACATGCTTAAATTTATAATCACTATGACCCCACCTTCATCTCAGAAAAGTTCTTGTGTGTGTGTGTGTGTGTTTTGATTCTGTGTGTACAGATGTTATGAGTAGTCTTCCGCCAGCCTGGTCCCACAGCTGCATCAGCCCCAAATAACACACAGAGGCACTGTATTAGATATAAAGCTGTTAGCCTGTTACTAGCATTACTTATTGGCTAGCTCTGTCTTAAATATTAACCCATTTCTATTGATCTAAGTGTTTCCACGTGGTCTTATCTTACCGGAGAGAGGGTCTGGAGTTCTGCTCTCTTGGTCCTATATGTTGAATCTCCTCCTCTTCCTGAATCCTCCTTATCTCCTAGTCCTGCCTATCTTGCTTTCCTATTGGCCAACAGGGCTTTATTCATTAACCAATAACAGAGACATATTTACAGAATGTCATCTCCCATTGTGTGTACAAGTATACTAGCCTGTGTGTGTATATGTGGAGGCTAGAGGTTTCACTGGGTGTCTTTACTATCACTCTCTACCTTATTTGTTGAGACAGGGTCTCTTACTGAACCTTGAAGCTTACCAATTCAGCTAGACTAGCTGGCCAGCAAGCCCCCAGGATATGCCTGGCCCACTCCGAGTGTCACTGAGCCTGAGTTTATGTGGATGCTGGATCTGCATGGAGGTCCTCACGCTGTGCAGCAAGCACTTGACCAATGGAGCATCTCCCCAGCCCCAGTCACAGTGTTCGGCTGTCTTTGATGACTGCCTAGGTCCATTCCCGCACATCATGCCACTGCTGCAGAAGAGGCTTCTCCAGTGTCTGTCTGTCCAGTGACCATCATGTGTTCTAACCATGGCACCTGACACGTCAGTTTAGTTGCCTCAGCTGTCCCATAAAGTCAGAAAGTCCTAAATGATGTTAGTTTTATATTCCAGGTAGATGTAGATGAAGGTATCCCAAAATAATCCAACACCAAGCTGCTCAGTACACAGAGAGCCATTTGATAGGTGGGGTGTGAGTAAGGCAAACAGAACAGGGAGGATGGAGTTCAGATTTCCCTGTCTTCTTTCCCTATATTAGATACTGTTTGAATGTTTTGACTCTTGTTGGTTGTATTTTTATGTGTTTGTTTTTCTGTGGGGTGTTGAGGGTGGGTGAATTTGTTTGTCCATTTGTATGTTTGTCAGGGTCTCACTGTGTAACCCTGGAGAGCCTGAAACTCACTATATAAACCAGGATGGCCTCAAACTCAGAAACCTACCTGCTTCTACTTTTGGACGGCTGGAGTTAAAGGTGCATGCCACCACTCCTGGCTCATGTTGTTGAAATAGGCCTCTATATTGTTTAGGGTCCAGCACCCTAACTCACTAATTCTAACTCATTAAGTGAATTTCTTCTAGTGGAGCCAGTGTAGTGGGGGCTGTCAGTATTCTAATCTTACACACCAACAGGACTAGTAAAAGCAGTTTGTTGCAGGGCATGTTGTAAGTGGCTCTCTGGACAGCAAAGAATGTCTTGGATGGAACCTACTTGAACTTTGGGTGTTAGTGCTCATCCTTGGCATGGAGAAGACTCAGTTCTCCTCTTAGCCCTCGAATGTGATACACACCTAATGTCATGGCCTCGCTCATGGTATATATAGAGAGAAATGGGCCTAGAAGAGGGGGAGACCTGGAAGAAGTCACAGTTAACAAGTGGTGGGAGCTGAGCTGCCAGGCCGGTGCAGGTGATGCTGTTTCTGACGTGGGGGCCAAGAGCAATAGGAGTGGTAAACTGAACTCGGTGGTGTAGGGGATGAAGAGTCAGTCATTCATCAGCACTAATGATCTATTACTTGTCTTTATTTCTTTTTAAAGTGTTTTAGTGACTCACACAGATGCAGTCAAAATTTCAGACTTTGGTACATCCAAGGAACTCAGTGATAAAAGCACCAAGATGTCCTTTGCTGGTACAGTTGCGTGGATGGCACCTGAGGTGATCCGGAACGAGCCTGTGTCTGAGAAGGTTGACATATGGTGAGTGGTGCTCCATCACAATCTCAGAAGCAGGGCTGGTGTTGGGCATTGAGGTTTCTCTCTGGATACCTGCCAGTTTGCCAGACTTTCTCCAGGAGACTTCTGACTTGGAGTTCTATGGAGAGGCTTCCTGAGACATTTTTACTTGGTCAATCTGGAAATGGCTGTTGCAGAGAGAGCTTGGGTTGTTTCTGACCCCCATGCTTCTCCTTTCTGGAATATTCATCTGTGCTCTCCATTCTGGTTGATTCTTGTTTCAGATTCTCTAAGGTCTGCCCCATATGAGATATGCTAATGAAGAATTAAAGGAGGGTGGGGTCAATATCCAGTAAACAGTCAATCTGAGGCATCCCCATTAATATGCTGAACTTTCTGGAAAACTGGAAGTTTATTTTTGAATAACAGTTTAGTGTAGAAGGCTTTATGAGATGCATTGCATAAGTCTCACTTTTTTTGAGTAAAATATATTAAACAAAATTTACTTTTCTTGATGATGTAGGTCCCATCAAAAAGCTCAGAGTAGCCTGAAACATGCTGTGTACCCAGACTGTCCTTGAACTCATGATCCTCCCAGCTCAGCCTGAGATTGCATACATATACCATCCACACAGCCTTTAGTTAAAGCGCTGACATGCGAGTCCATCGCTCTGAACTGCCTTCCACGTCTGGCCCGCTGCAGGTCTTTTGGAGTGGTGCTTTGGGAGCTGCTGACAGGGGAGATCCCCTACAAGGATGTGGACTCTTCAGCCATCATCTGGGGTGTTGGGAGCAACAGCTTGCACCTCCCAGTTCCCTCCACTTGCCCGGATGGATTCAAAATCCTTATGAAGCAGACATGGTAAGAGATGCCTTTCTTCTGTTAATCTCTCTTACTTTCTTCCTAAAAAGTCATTAAAATGTCCCTGAAAGAGCAAGGGCATGTCTACAGAGCATTTGGAAGGAACCACATTGTGGAGGAGCAACAGGAACTGTGGAATCTTAGACCTGGAGTCAAACTCTGGCCCTGACATTTTGTTACCTATGAAATCAGGGCTGTGTCTCCCTGTAAAGTAGAGCCAGCCCCTGCTCAAAGAGTTGTGTGTGGCCAACCAGAATATAAGTGAGGGTTTGGGTGGTGTCTTGGAGCAGTTTTCAGTACTGACAGCCGAGAGCCAGGGCCATTCACTGTTCCTAGCAGCACGAACTGATTTTCTATGTCATCAGCAGATGCTTATCTTAGTCTTATTTTCCCTTTGTACTTCAGTATGCCTGAATTGCCTGAGATATAATGATTGTTGGAATAAAATGTGTATTTTATAAAGCAGATACAGCCTCAGCCCCCTGCCCAGACACACCCTCTGAGATGCACACACTATCTTTCTCTTAGGCAGAGTAAGCCTCGCAACCGGCCTTCCTTTCGGCAGACACTCATGCATCTCGACATTGCATCTGCGGATGTGCTTGCCACCCCACAGGAAACTTACTTCAAGTCTCAGGTAAGCTAGCACATTCCTATCATCAGCCACGGAGCACTGTTAGCCATGCAGCAGTTATATGATCCTGTTTGCTGGGAATCGGTAATTACGACAGGTGGTAAATATGGCGGTGAATTCTGGCAGCATCACTTAAGAAGGAGACAGAGGACGTGAAGACTGCCATGCACTACTGCAGTTTCTCCTGAAGGCCTTGCCCACTCTGAGGCATAAGAGCTGAAAAAAAAAAAGCAGGAACTTAAGGACCAGATAGAGCCACAGCAGCATTAGGCCCTAGTGGTCTCAAATAAAAAGTAGTCTAAAGTATCTGTTAGCCTTCAATGTATTAAAATTAAAATAAGTTTCACAACTTATACCTAAAATAAATAAATAAATATTAAGCATTTATTTAGCTTACCATTCTATAGGCAGTTGGAACTAGGCAATTCTTTCCGGGCTTGAGTTTACCTAGAGGTCTGTAAGCAGTTCCCAGGTTACCAGGAGGTGACTCCAGGTGGCCACCTTAGCAGGTGTGTTGAACATCTGGGTAGGAGATCCTCTGTCGTTCATGTGGCCACTAATTCTTTCACAGACCAGCTAGGGCTTCCTCATATCCCATTTTGTCATGGTGACAAGTGGATCAAACAAGCAGGTGATTGTCATGCTGCATTGTGTCATGCCTGCCATAGAGCACCACATTGGAACAAGTCACAGGTCACCAGACTGGACTCGAGAGACTGATGACAACAGTCACCTCTTCGCCAGCACTTCTGCAAGAGTGGGTTATAAGGGCATGGAGCCGGAGAAGGGAATGGTGTGGCTTCTGTGTGAAAAGGCTGCAGGCGTCCTAAGGATAGTGCTCTGACCACTATACTGTGGATGTGGAGTGGTTGGAGGTGAGGTTCCTTTCCCTAACCAGACCCAGGCAAGATCACAAGCCAAAATAATGCAGCTTTCTAAATAAACATGATGATCCTAAATTATACCTTTGTGTGTACAAAATTATCATCATCATCATTATTTTGGCAATACTAGGGATGGAGCTTAGGTCTTCTTAAATGCTAGGCAATCACTCTACCACTGAGCTATACCTCAGACTGGTGTTGTTTGGTATGTATGTATGCATGTATCTTGCTAAGTTTCCCAGTTTCCCAGTCTGGCCTTGAACTCATTTTGTAGCACAGATAGATTTTTGAATGTGGGATGTCTTAGCATCCCAACTAGCCGGGATTCCAGGCCTGCACCACATGCCCAGCTTAAAACTGAATTGTTAATACTAAATTTCATATTATACATATGGTTTTTTCTCATTTGTTATTAATGTCATTAAGTGTCTAAAATGAGTTTTGTGTTTTGTAATGTGAACTCCGTCTCTGCAATGGCTTCCAATATCTTTTCCAAGACTTATTCTCAGAAGAGACATTTTATTACATACATTTATTGACTAAGAATAGACTAAATTAAATGCAAAAAAGTTATTCTAACATATAGGGAAAATTGATATCTACACACTTTACAGATAAGAATCATGGAAAATGTAATTTTCTTCTCCAAATGAGACTTGGGGGAGCTTCTTCATCCCTCAGAATGCAGTCTAGACACTTACAGGGGAGCCTGAGACTTCTTCAAAGCAACTATAGGAAGGGAACTATTTTCATAATAACTTAAGTTATTCTGTTTTCAATCTTATTCTCTCAGAAGTATATCCAGAATATTCTAGAAAGTATATGATGGGGGATATAACTCTGATGATAAGCAGAATGTTTTCTTTTATGGTCATGTATATAACTCACAGTTTTAATGTCTATCCTAATATCATCAGGTGTTAACCACATAAACAAATGTTATGTAGAGTCCTCAATGATTTATAAGACAATAATACGATTCTGATACATAAGAATTTGAGAGCTAGTGTTAGGCATTTACCATACACCAAGCCTGTCTCAGTGGGTAAAGGTCTCACAGGAAAAGCATCTGCTCAAAGGAGAAATGAGCCCAAAGAAGAAGCAGAGATTCAAGTAGGAAAGGAAGAAATCATAGTATCTACTTGAAGACAACTGGGCCCTATCCTTAAAGGACTCCACCAGAAAACTCTCAGACCTAACACACATTCTCAGCAAGTCACGGGGTAGGAAACCCACACACAGAAGTCACCAGCCATTCTAGTCATCCAATATCAACTCACTGAGAAAGAATCCAGAGACTAAGATCTCCTTCACAATGAAGAAAGCCTGGATGGAGAGATGAGAGACACTGCACTGAAGACACAGAAGGAGGAGACTGAAGACGACAGATGCAGGGAGATCTCTACACTCAAGGGTTGGCAAAAGCAATGTTGTGAAGTCAGCTGGTGTGCCAGCTAGTGTTATATCAACTTGACATGAAATGAGGGAATATTAATTATCAAAATGTCTCCATATGATCCAGCTGTAGGGAATTTTATAATTAATGATTGATTGGGGAGGGCCCAGCCCAGGGTGGTCCTGGGTTCTATAAGAAAGCAGTCTGAGTAAGCCATGAGGAACAAGCCTGTATGCAAATATCCCTCTATGGCTTTTGCATCAGTTTCTGCATCCAGTTTCCTATTCTGCTTAAGTTCCTGCTTTGACTTCCTTTAGTGGTGGATTACAAATGTGGAGGTGTAAGCAAACCAACCCTTTTCTCCTCTATTGCTTTTGGCCATAGTATTTCATGGAAGCAATCTAGCAGAATCTAAGACAGCTAGATTCCTGAAAGTGATCCACAAATTCAAGTCATTCCCCATCAAAATACCAATACATTGTTTACAAAACTAGGAAAAAATCTTAAAAATTGTAAGGAAACACAAAAATCAAAAAGTCTGAAGTGAACCTGAGTCCTGAAGAGCAGTGCTGGAATATCATGATACCTGATCTGGACTCTGCAAAAGGGCACGGTGCTGCATCACAGCAGACAAGTAGACAACAGGAAAGCTACATCTCTCTCATACACATACTCTGCACAAAACAGACCAAAAGCCTTAATGCTAAACCCAAAACCTTGAGAACAGTAGAGGAAAACACTTAAAGATACAAGAACAAAGAACGACGTCCAAATTCCCAAATATTGTGTATAAATGTTTGTTTTCATTTAATTGGACTTTGTTATATAAAATTAAACAAAATTAAAAAAAAGATACAAGAATAGGCAAGGACATTCTGAAAAAGATTCCAAATGCACAGGAAGTAACTCTAAGACTGACACATGAGATTTTGTGAATTTCACAAGCTTCTGTGCGTCCAGTCACCAGACTGAAGAGACAGTACCAACTCCACAGCAGATAGAGATTAATAGCCAGAAAAACAAGGGACCAAAAAAAGTAAATACCAAGATAGTCAGTAATGAGATAACAACAAATAAACAGTTCTCAAGAGAACTGGAAATGGCAAATGAATACTTGGAAAACGTGCTCAGCATCCTCTGCCATCAGGGACAAACCAAACTGCTTTGAAGTTCTATCTCACCAGGTCAGAATGGCTGTCAGTGAGAAGACAATGAAAATGAGAAGACATTTCTGGCCTTAATGGGAGCGTCTGCCTTATTACATGGGAGCTGGATCCGGTCTCATTGTTCCAGAAAAAGCTTCTTATCCTCTGAACCATATAAATAGACCCATAAAAATGATCTTAAAGCAGAGATCACATGATCGTCTCTTGTGATGCATAAAGGACATTTGACAAGGTTCAGCATGCCTTCATGACATAAGGACATAAGTTCTAGAGGGGAGCTGGTGAGATGGCTCTGTGGTTTGAGGTGCTTGTTGCCAAGCCTGATGACTGAGTTCTGTCCCTGGGACCCACACAGTGGACAGAAAGAACTGACTCCTACAACTTGTCCTCTGATACACACACACACACACACACACACACACACACACACACACAATGAATGAATAAATAAATCTGCTTTTTAAGTCCTGGAGAAGGAAGTTAGGATTAGACAAAACATACCTCAAAACAATAAGGATTATATATGACAAACCTGGATCCAACAATATACTAAATGGGAAAAAGCAGAAGATATTTCCTCTAAAATCTGAAACATGACAACAGCATTCACTGTCTCTTCTCAAATTAATGTTGTTATTATTACTTATTCAAAGGATTAGTTAAAACAGTAAGGCAAGCCAGGTGTTTGTGGCACACACACACCTTTAGTCCCAGCTCTCGGGAGGCAGAGGCAGGCGGATCTCTGTGAGTTTGAGGCCAGCCTGGTCTACAGATCAAATTCCAGGACAGGCTCCAAAGCAATACAGAGAAACCCTGTCTCAAAAAAACAAAACAAAACAGTAAGACAAGAGAAATGTGTAAAGATTAAAGATTAAATGTGAACTGAAATTATCCCTATTTGCAGACATGATTCTATACTTAAAAGACCTTGTAGACTGCCAAAAAGTAACTCTTAGATTTAATAAACACATTCAATAAAGTTGAAAATTTTACCAACACACAAAAATCAGCAGCTTTTATAAATATAAACAATAATTAACTTGTTGAGAAAGAAATTAGGAAGAACATTCCATTAACAATAGCTCCTCCAAATTAAATACCTAGGAATAAACTTGTACAATGAAAGCTTTAAGACAATGAAAAAGGAAATTAACGAATACACCAGACAATGGAGAGCCTTCCATCATTCTGGATTGGCAGAATTAATAAAGTGAAAATGGTCACATTAACAAAAGCAATCTACAGATTCAATGCAATTACTAGCAAAATTCTAGTGAAATTTTCACAGAGATAGGAAAAAGCATCCTAAAATTCATATGGAATCATAGAGAAGCATGTGTAGCACAGCTGTCATAAGCAGAAAGAATGCTGCTGGAGGCACCGCGGCACCCGACCTCAGATGACACACAGAGACACAGTGATGAGCGCCTGCTTCCATGTAGACTAGTGGACCAGAGTCAGAAATAAACTGCAGCTTTGACAAATGCATACATAAACTGGGGGTAAGGGGAAAATGTAGTCAACTGATGGGGCTGGCAAAGCTGGATGTTTATCTGCAGAACACCCTGCAGTCTCACCCTGCACAAAAATCAACTTAAAATGGATTAAAGACCTTAATTATAAAGTTGAAATGTTGAGGCTAGAGAGATGGCTCAGCAGCTAACTTGCTCACGGAGGACCTACTCACAACCACCTGTAACTCCAGCTCCAGGGATTCTGATGTCCTGTTCTGGCTGCTGTGGGCCTCTGCCCACCTGTGTTAAAAATACATCTTGAAAACCAAAGAGGCATATTCATGGCACTCCTGTGTGTTTCTCGCAATGCACTCAGATGGACTCCTGTTGAAGCACAGACATGGGACATGGTGTCAGAAGCCATATAATAAATAATGTCACTGGTGTCAGAAAATGAGAGAGAGAGAGAGAGAGAGAGAGAGAGAGAGAGAGAGAGAGAGAGTAGCAGCAAAGCCACCTGGGAAATCTTTCAAATGTAGGATATGGTTACAAACAGCTTTGCTCCCTTTACTGTCAAACTACGTAATGTCACAACTTTGAAAAGCAACTTTTGGTGGAAGCACAAAGTCAGAAGCCATTGAGACAGTCAAATTAACAATATGTATATTTGGAAAATGTCAAATTCTAAGATTTTACTTCAAGGGGCTGGAGAGATGGCTCAGCTGTTAAGAGCACTAGCTGCTCTTCCAGAGGACCCAGGTTCAATTCCCAGCACCCACATGACACCCTCACACAGACATACATATATGCAAAACACCAATGCACATAAAATGAAAATAATAAATTGTTTTTGAAAGGTTTTATTTCAGTGTTCTCAAGCTAGTGTTAACATTTTGCATATGCAAAACTCTGTACAGAGCAACTAAGTTCCTCCAGTTACTCCCCCAGTGGGCCAACTCACCTTCATTACAGGGTCAGTAATCAAAATGAAGTAAGTGTTGACCTCACTAACAGTTGTTTTGGGGACAGGAGAGGGACATATAGGTTAGGGAAGGAGAGGAGAACAGTACACTAGGCATCCTCTTTAACGTGGGCTGCCAGGTCAAATTACTAGCCATGGGGGTTTGTCAGCAACACAGACTTATTCTCCACATTTCTGAGGCAAAGATGTGCATGAGTCCAACCCCAGCAGATCCGGGATATGGGAAGACCAGCAGTCCTGGTGAAGGGCAGGCCAGGCTCAGCCTGCTTCCTAGGATACTTACCCACACCACAACACAGACACCTCCTGACCTCCCCAAGGCCCCATCTCATCCCCTTACCTTGGGACTCTCGTGTGAGAACAGAGTTCAGAGTACAGTACTGTCTGTTCTGTTCATTAATTCCTCCATGGTTTCCTCCCTCAATAGTCCTTGGTCTGCTTGATGCAATAATTTTTGCTAGTTATAATAATTTTTCAACTGTTTATACATTGATGGTTCCAGGTCTGAAATTGAGACCATCTCCAGCTAAAGGTGATGAAGTATTTATGAGCTGGCTAGTGAAGCACTTTGGAAAGCTGTGGGGCTTGACTCTAAACCCTGCCCTGACACTGTGCCCTTATGCTATGTGACCCCCCCCACTCGTCTAAATAATGGGGAAAGTCATTCTCCCCCTGCTTAAGGAGTTCCCGTGAAGATCTAGTGAAAACCAGGAACACAGGTGCCCTGTGCACTGTTTGCTTGCTGTTATTTACTTGCCTAGAAGATAAAAACTCTCAGCCTGAATTGGATCATTGCCTTCTCAGTGCTTCCTCTGATTAACTTTTAAGATTAATAAGATGGAGGTGATTTATTTTGTCATTATTCTGCTCCATGGGGAGTAACTGGGCGTTTCACACACACACACACACACACACACACACACACACACACACACACACACACACACGTTTTGCTCTTACTATAGCAGTCTTCTGTCTGTGGTCTTGCTTCCTCTCACCTGCTGACAAGATATCCTCAGCATTGACTGACAATGCTGGCTTCTAATCACAGCTGTCAGTGAAGAGTGATGACACGGATAGTGCAGTGAGCTACATACTAATCTCCTTTCAATATCTTGATTTCAAACCTTTTGGGTGGTTGCTGAACAATGGGATTGCCGTTATCAGGATGGTTAAAGACAAGTGTCACTGGTGGTGTGGAAGATCGGAGCCTGCCAGACTGTTGGTGGGAGTGCAAATGATACGGCACTTCAGAAGGTGCCATGCTGCATGGCGCCTCCTCAGAAATTAAAAGCTGAACTGCACAGTGCACAGGACCCAGATATCTGTCTATTAGCATGTCTCAAGATGAAGGAGCAGCCAGTCCCCGGAGAGAGCACATGGCTCGCTTACCCTTCAGGCCCACGGGGAAGTTGCCTTGTTAGGCTCTGGCCATGATAGTCCACACATCAGTTCCCAGAAAACAGCTAAATGGAGACTTTATTGAACTGACCTGACCGAGCAGGGCTTTGTCAGCGTGTGAAACTGACTTGGGAATTGTGTCCCATGAAGAGCACAGTGTCCTTACTCATTCTGTGAGCTTACAGCAGATGTGTAACCTCAATAGCCACTCTGGATCCCCTTCCCTAAAATTCTTTACCTCCAACTTCTGCTATTGTGTGGTTTTTCTGTTGCTGACGCAAATGTGAAATTCATCCCCTCCCTTGATTTTTTAAACGATTTGCCTTACCTCATTGGAAGTGCAAGTACCTTTGATGGGCCTGAATCATATACTAGGCATCCTTCCCTTGACTCGCTGATCTTGTCAGAGTCCTCCATTGTTTGCCTCCCTCCCTCTCTCCCCCTCCCCTCCCTCCTCTCCCTCTCCTATCCCCTTTCTGTACATATCATATTCCTGTGCAGTGTACTGTTCTTCATATACTTTCTCTGGGATAGTCTGTTCCGTATATTCTTTTTTCCGAAGCAAAACCAATGTGGTAGCAGATGTGAAGAAACTAAGGGCCTCATAGACATGTGAAGTACAGTGTCAGGGTTTGGTTTTCTGCCTCCATGCTACATGCACCACCCTGACTTCCGCTGAGCATCTTTGTCCAAGAAGTGATTACTGCTGTGCCCCATGCCGTTTCTCTGGAAGAGACAGAGCTGCACTCAGGACAGAGCATGGGGCTTGCAGTTACAGGAGCCAGAGGTGTTTCTCATTGGTTCGTGAGCGCTCCTTGATCACTTATCCTGAGCAAGTTTATGTAGGAAGTTGGGGAAAAGTGTGGAGAGACACGGGAGGAAATGTATCAGGACGCATCAGGGAAGGAAACGGCAGTATTTACAAAGTTAAACTTTCCTCACTCAGGCTGAATGGAGAGAAGAAGTGAAAAAACACTTTGAGAAAATCAAAAGTGAAGGGGCCTGTATACACCGCTTAGATGAAGAACTGATCCGCCGGCGCAGGGAGGAGCTCAGGTCAGCCCCCACCCACCCCTCTTCTCACCCCTACCTCAGTCTCCCCGTCCTCCTGGGGACAGGAACAGTGTGGTGTTGCTATGGGGGAGAATGTGCAGAGGGCAGGGTTGGGAAGCTGGCTAATGGATGCTGTTATAATTAGACAGAGAGAAGTTGTCCAGTTCTGGGCACACCAGGGTGACGGTAGGTATCAACAGTGTTGCTGGGTTGCTCAGCTCACTTGCTCCCTTACTTGCTTATTTTGAGTCAAGGTCTCTTGCTGGCTTGGATCTTAGTGTGTAGGTCAAGCTGGCCTAGGAATCACAGAGAACCTGCCTTCCTCTGCCTCCTAGGGACAGAGATTGTAGCCTTGTGCCACCACACCTAACTTTGGTATTCTTTTTCCTTTTTATGAAAGAAGCTAGAAGAAAGGATTTGGAATGTTGCCAACATAAAGAAATGATCATTGTTGGAGGAGTCTGTCATAATTACCCTGATTTTTTAAATCAATTTCTTATTTTGAATTATATGTATGTGTCTGTGTGTGGTATAAACACATGAGTACAGATGTCCACAGAGACCATGGCGTCACAATCCCTAGAGCTCAAGTTGCAATTGGTTGTGAGCCACCTGATATGGGTGCCAGGAATTGAACTCCAGTCCTCTGAAATAACAGTACATGCGCTTAACTGCTCAACCATCTCTCCAGCCCAGCTATCCTGATTTGAACACTGTACAAAATACATGTATAGAAATATCACTTGGTACCCCATAAAGATGTACAGCTTTTATATCAGTTAAAAACAGCCAGGTGTTGGTGGAGCACGCCTTTAGTCCCAGCAGTCAGGAAGCAGAGGTAGGCGGATCTCTGTGAATTCGAGGTAGGACAGGCTCCAAAGCAATACCGAGAAACCCTGTCTCAAAAAACAAAACAAACAAAAAAAATTAGCATTTGAACAATAAAAGGTTACCATGTGGTTAGAGAGAATGTTCCATGAGTAAAGGTCTTGCCACAGGAGTGTGAGGACCTGAGTTTGAATTGGGTCATGGCTGCTATGATCCAAGAACTCCTGGGGCATGATGTGAGACAATGCCAGGAGTCTCCCCAGAAACTTGTGGGCCAGCCAGCCTGAGCCATGCAGTGCCAGAGGTCACCAGAGGGCTTCCAGGTCAGTTAGGTGAGGGACCTCCACACACACTCCATGACATATGTACACCCACACACAACTACCTTCAACATGTGCATACCCACACACATGCACAGCAACCTTCAACGTGCACGCACGCACGCACGCACACACACACACACACACACACACACACACACACACACACACAGAGCTATCTTTTCCTCTGCCCCTCTCACCTCTGTGCCCTCCTTTATGGTCCTCTGAACATGGACTCTTAGAGCATTTGCGCAGCTCTCAGTGCCATTGGAGAGCAGGAGTTGATAAGCTCCGGTCCCTGGCCTTAATACCTATTAAAGCATTTCAACATAACCACAGTATTAGGCAATTTGGCCTCTGTAACAAAATGCCTTAGATTTAGCAATTTATAAACAGAAGAAATGTACCGCTCATTGTTCTGGGGGGCAGAGCTATTTAACATCAAAGCTCCAACAAATTCAGTATCTGGTGAAGACCCATTCATCATATCATGGCACCCGCATGTGTCCTCACACAGTGAAGAGACAAAAGGCTCCCTCTAATACCTCCCTGCTGCCACCTCCCATACAGTCACCTTATGGGTGAAGGGTTACATTTGAATGTGAGGTGAAATCCTGGGACCACACCAGCCCAGATAAGATATGTGCCATGGATAAGTATATGATCATGGTGTTAGCTTTAAACTATGTCCATTAATATGTGAATATACTGTATTGTATTAAGATTGTGCCCACATACACAAATGAAGACTATGAAGTACACACAGGCCATATTATTACTTTGCCAGTGGCCCGCCTGGCTTTCTGTGTGGCTGGAGGAGCCAGCCCTTGGGATAAAACATGCAGCTCAGATTTCCCATCCCCACTCCTTGTCTGAATCACTGTGTTAAGAAAATTTTAAAAATAGACCCCCCCTCCGAAAGGCTGGTTCCTTGAAGTAAGGCACTGTGCATGCTTTATTAGAGCTGACCCTCATTCTCCTCAGCTTGCTCAGCCTGTGTTTTCATTGACAGACATGCTCTGGACATTCGAGAGCACTATGAGCGAAAGCTTGAACGAGCTAACAATCTGTACATGGAACTGAGTGCCATCATGCTGCAGTTGGAAATGCGGGAGAAGGAGCTCCTAAAGTATGTATTCTGCCAGTGACAGCCCTCAATGCCTCGAGTCTGTCAGTCAGCGGGACACATTGCCCTTGTCATGGTGCAGCTACAGTGAAGGTGCAGATATTTTAGTTATTCGGTCAACATTCCTTAAGGACTTGCTGTCCACAGATCCCTGCCAGGGTGAGGCACACAAGTTAGCAGAGTTGCTGCAGGGCTGTTATGGGACTACTTACTGAACTAGCATGTGTACATCACTGCTGCAAGGTTCAGAAGGTGTCCCTCACTCTGCCTGAATGCACGGTTCCACAAATGTCCCTCACTCTGCTGAATGCACACTTCAGACAGGGGCTTCATTTCCAGAAGAACTTTGTGTGGATAAGCAGAGGCTCATTGACCTATGGGAAATACAGTACTACTGAAAACTGTGCCAGGGATCCCTGATGGTACTGAAATGACCATGAGGTCTGGATCCCAAATAAGCAAAGCTTCTGTCCTTTAGTGTTGGGGAAGAGAAAGATAATCCATGAGTTTGAGCTGAGAAAAGAATAAGGTTGAGTTCATTTAAATTCAGTACCTGCAGGTTGTTTGCTTAAACTTGATAGCGCCTTGTTATACAAAGTGTGGTAGAACTTGTAGGCAAATGAAAAAGTTCTTCACTGACTTTTATCATTTCTATCTATCTATCTATCTTTCAAAAAGATAACTCACTGTACACATTTTATTTACAGTTTCACACACTGTGTTAATATGAATGGCACTTTAAGTATTTTCAAATCAGTTATTTGAGAATTTGGTAAAATGAGCTGACTTTAACCATATTCTGCCCTCGCCCATCTGCTTCCAGATCCAGCCCCCACTTCCCTACCCAACCAACTTTATGTCCCCTATGGCCACTCTTAAAGAAAACCAGCTTCCCCCCACCCCCAAGCAGCTATCATTTGTCAGCAGCTCCTTGGACTTCATGTCAAACTCCTATCTTCTTGCTAGGACTTAGTCTGGCTTGAGCGTGCACAGGGCTTGTGCATGTTGTCACAACCACCATAATCCATAGGTGCAACTGTCTGCTTATCTCCAGTGAACACCCTTTCCTTGTATCTGTTCACCTCCTCTGGCTCCTACAGTCCTCCTGCCCCTTCTTCCACCCGGACCTCTGAGCCTTGAGAGAGGGTTCGGTATTTATGTCCCATTAGGGCTGAACGTTCCAAAACAACCAGCTGCAGGACTGTGTTAATCACAGCTATTTCAACTAGAAGCTTCTCAGAGAAGTGCATAAATCTACAGGTATAAGGCAAGTCATTAGGAGTGGTTTTTTGTCCTTTGTCCCACAGGCGAGAGCAAGCAGTGGAAAAGAAGTACCCTGGGACCTACAAACGACACCCCGTCCGTCCAATAATCCACCCAAATGCCATGGAGAAGCTCATGAAAAGGAAGAGTGTGCCTCACAAGGCTGGAGTGCAGACCAAGCGGTGAGACAACTGTATCCATCCGTCTGGCACCCAGATAAATGGAGACACCTGTACAGGGGCAGTCTCAGATGTGGTGGGCATGGCCTTTCCGTAGCTGGCCAGCAGCACATAGGATGTACATAAAACCAAGTAGGAAGATGAAAGAGAGCATGGCACAGACCGAGTCTCATTATTATGACCTGAGGTGCTCTATTTTAGCACCAAATGCAGGACAGGTAGTATGCACCAGGTACAGTCAGATTGGGTGGAAACTCCAGCCCTGTTTTGTAAGTGTGTGACTTGAATCATGTCACATGGTCTCTCTCAACTCCAGTGTCCTCATGGGTAAATGGTATCGTTGTGGCACATGGGGTTCTTTTTATTCTTATAAACCTTAGAAACAAAACTGAGTTCATCACAATTCTTGATTTTTGACACAGTGGTCTGTGCATATTTTATCAACATGTTTACTTGGTTCTTCTTAATAACATATAACTTACCAGGAAAAATAAAAACAGGGCACTGATAATTTTGTGTACCTAGTCAAATGATTTTACCACTGTCCCCCAGCCCCTGCCCACTCTACTTCTACATGGAATTTTTGTGACTTGTTTTGTTTAGTTGGTTTGTTTGTTAGGCACTCAATGTCTTCCTGCCTCCCTATTTTAAGTACCTAGGGTAACTAGCAATCATGTGCTATCACACCCTTACTGTGAAGTTAAAATAGTGTGAAATCACATTTAGAGCATTGATGTTCAATTTTTAAGAGATATTCTTTCCCTATTTATTAGTTTATTGATTTTTATGTTTTCCAGACAGGGTTCCTCTGTGTAGCCCTGGCTTGTCCTGGACCTCCCTCTGTAGACCAGGCTGATCTCAAACTCACAGATCCACCTGCCTCTGCCTCCCAAGTGCTGGAATTAAAGGTGTGTGCCACTGTGCCTGGCTTCTTTACCCTTTTCTAACACTTGGTTTATATTGGTTTAATCTCAGTGTTAGAAAGTGGAGCTACATCTCTGTGTAGAATATATGTTTAGTTGTATGGGCCCCCAAGTTCAATGCCCAGCACCTTCAAAAACATCTTAGTGTATTTTTTCACTCCTTTTATAATTACCAATTGCTGTGGATTCTTATAATTCTCTTGTGCTAGAGAACTGGCTCCATTCCAGACAGGTTACTATAAGGAGACAGTGTCCTAAGCCTCTGCTTGTAAAATTTGAATCAAATGCAATTAAAACAAAAAAAAAAAAAAAAAAAAAAAAAAAGGAGAGTCTACTGCCGTGCCGTACCACCCGAACGCACCTGATGTCATCTGATCTCAGAAGTTAAGCAGGGTCAGGCCTGATTAGTACTTGGATGGGAGAAAATAGGAAGGAGAAACACAAGCCAAGATTTTTTTTTCTTTTTGGTTTTTGGAGACATGGAGACAGGGTTTCTGTGGGTAGCCTTGGTTGTCCTGGAACTCATTCTGTAGACCAGGATGTCCAGGAACTCACAGAGATCCACCTGCCTCTGCCTCCCAAGGGCTGGGATCAAAGGGGTGCACCACCACCACCCAGCTAACCTAAAATGTATTTTTATCTTTTAAATTTGTATTAACTTAGAAAGCAGGTTTTTTATGGCATTTTCATACATGTTTAGATCTGGTTGACCCTCCCTACAACTGTCCTCTCTCTTCTTCCCTACCCACCATCTCTGTAACACAAATTAAGAAAATGACCCAGAGACTGATACTGGGGTTCAGGCTTCAAACTGGCCACTAGCTTCCTACCTCTACCTCAGGCTGAATGGGCTGATCCTATCTCCATGAGCCCTTACCAAGTCTCAGAATGTAACCTCTCCTCAGTGCAGCTGAGGATGTGGCTGGATAATGAATGCCTCTCTGAGACCTTGCTTTTGTCTTATATACTTCCCTAATGCTGGGATTAAAGGTGTGAGCTATAATTCTCTTTTAGACTCGCAGAGATCCATTTACCTCTTAATTCTGAGTCCAAGGATTAAAGGTGTGTACTACCACCTCCTAGCTTCTGGCTGCTTCCATTAAAGGTGTGTACCTACCCTCTAAGGCTTGTAGCTGGCTTTGCTTTCTGAATCCTCAGTCAAGCTTTAATAAATCATAAATAATGTGTCACTACACTTCTCCGTGCTCCCCATCCCTGCTTATACTCTGCTACTCCTAATGCTCTCCCCTCCACACTGGTGTTAGCTGTATTCTGTATCCTCCCACTCTTCTCCCCCAAAGCCTCCCCCTGACTCTCGGGGGAACCTCCACACATGCTCACGTACTGCTGGGACCCACAAATGGCAGAGAACATGGGGAGATTATCTTCCTGAGCCTGGGCTACCTCATTTAATATAATACTTTTCAGATGCATCCCCATTTCCCTGAACTTTTCATAATTTCATTTTTCTTTGCAGCTGAATAAAATCCCATTGTTCATATGTACCTCATTTCCATTATCTACTCTTTTGTTGATGTCTATGTAGGCAGCTTTCATTTCCTGTCTATTGAGTAGAGCTTTGGGAAATTGTGTGCATGTATCTCTAGTAGGGCATCAGGTATACTTACAGGGCCAGTAAAGCTAGGTCGTATGGTAATTCTACTTTTAGCTTTTGGAGGAGCCTCCACAGAGGCTGCACTCCCAGCAAGTGTGAATAAGTTCCTTTCTCCACATCCTTGCCAGCATTTGTTTACTTGATGATAGTCACTAACTGAGGTAAGGAGGAATTTCCCTGGTGGCTGAAAGTGTGAACCAAAGTTTCTTCTCTCTCTCTCTCTCTCTCTCTCTCTCTCCTTCTCTCTCTCTCTCTCTCCTCTGTGTGTGTGTGTGTGTGTACATGGGTGTGCACATATGTACAGGTGCACGTGTATGTATGTACATTTGGAGTGGAGTGGTCATTTTTGACTGCTGCTCCGTAGATGATGTCCACATTATTCTTTTGAGACAGAGTCTCACACTGACCTGGAGTTCATTAAGTAGCCTAGGCTGGCTGGCCATGGGTCCCAGGAATCTACCTATCTCTGTCTCCCCCTTTCCCTTGCTTCCACCCAGCTTCACCCCTAAGCTGGGGTTATATGACACCATGCTACTACACCTGGCTTCTTTTTTTTAAACATGGGTGCTAGGGATCAAACTCATTTCCTCCCGTTTTGAGTGCATTGCTGACTGAGCAGTCTCTCTAGCCCTGTCAACATTTGTTTCCAGTCTTTATTGCCATTTGTATTTCTTCTTTGGAAGATGCTCCGTTCAGTCCCATAGCCTTTTGTTGTTATTGTTTTGTTTTGTTTTAATTTGGCCACTTATTTTCTTGTTTGTTTTGGGGGCTCTTTGTATATTCTTCATATTGATCCTCTGTCAGATGTCTTGCTGGCAAAGATTTTAATCCTGTTCTGAAGGTTGTCCCTTCATTGGGTTAACTTGTTTCCTTTGTCTCAGAGATGGTTTTTAATTTCATGAGGTCTTACTTCTCAGTTGTTTTCTTATTTCTTGAGTGCCAAGAATGCTTTAGAATGTGTGTGAATAGTAAGCATTTTAACATAGCGCAACTACTGCAATCCTAACTACTAGCGACCACTTCATGAGCTAGTTCCCGGTCTCTACTTACGTATACGTACGTACTGCACAAGCTGAGAGCTGAGCAACTGTTCGCTGTGGCAGCTGGTACAGTACTTTATATTCTTTTGTTGTACTAATTAGGGACAGAGTCCACCTGCAGGCTTGTCTCTGCCTACAGTTTGTTTGTTAATTTTGTTTTGTAATAAAAGTAACCTCACAGCATTTGTTATCACCTGAAAATAACATAAGGGCCACTAAATGAATATGAATGCTAAACATGTTTTGATGTGTTTGAAACAAATCTATTCTTCTTCCCAGGCCAGACCTGTTACGATCTGAAGGTATCCCCAGTACAGAAGTAGTTCCCACTGCGTCTCCTCTGTCTGGAAGTCCCAAAATGTCCACGTCAAGCAGCAAGAGCCGATATCGAAGCAAACCACGTCACCGCCGAGGGAATAGCAGAGGCAGCCATAGTGACTTTGCAGCAATCTTGAAAAGCCAGCCAACCCAGGAAAATTCACCCTACCCTGTTTATCTGCACCACACTCAGGCTCCATGCCCTTCTCTCCATCAGCATAATCCCCTTCAGCAGCAATACCAGCAACCCCCTTCCGCACTGCCTCAGAGCCGCCATCCCAGACTCAATATGCACGGGCAGGACATTGCAATCTGTGCCAATAACCTGAGGTATTTTGGCCCAGCAGCAGCCCTGCGGAGTCCACTCAGCAACCATGCTCAAAGACAGATGCCTGGCTCCAGCCCGGACCTCATCTCCACAGCCGTGGCAGCAGATTGCTGGAGGGGTTCTGATCTTGAGCAAGCCGGACCCTGGGGCTGCTGTCAGACAGAAGCCTATGATCCCTGTCTCCAGTGCAGGCCAGAGCATTCTGGATCTTTAGATGTTCCTACCACTGAGCCAATGGGAAGCAACCTAGACTGTTCCAGTTCACCAGCACACAATCCTCTTTCAGGAAATGCCCAAGGCTCTGAGAGAATGGAGGCAAATGGATTCAATGGCAGTCAATCTGGTATTTCTCATCAATTCACACCCCCAATGCTACCTCAAAAGACACGACCCCTGCAGAAGGTAAGGTATGACCAGTAGACTGTGTCACTGCCTTCACATGACATCAGAGTCAATCATGTGGCACACATTATAAAACTGATATGCCAGCCAGGCGGTGATGACACATACCTTTAATCCCAGCACTTGGGAAGCAGAGGCAATCAGATCTCTGTGAGGCCAGTCTGGTCTACAGAATGAGTTCCAGGACAGGCTTCAAAGCTACAGAGAAACCTTGTCTTGAAAAACAAAACAAAAACATTATTTAAAAATTTGGTAAACCTTTGGGAAAAGATTGAGCCACCAAAATCAGATGTTTCTTTTGCTTTAATGACTTCTCCCTCCACAGTGGCTAGCCAGGGAGTATATTTGGGGAATTTGTTAGCTGGGAGACTGGGAAACCATAAAGGAAAGACATATTCAAAATGTTTATAAACTATTGTCCTAGAAGCCTAGTCTTGAGGGGTGTCCCGGAAGTTTAGGAAGTGGAGATTCCTGGCAAACATGTTCTTGGAGAAGTCATGCAGTAAACTGACATCCCAGCATCCCTGCATCTGCTCGACTACATAGCTGCTTAAAACCTGTGCTTCTTAACCCTCAGTATCCATGCTCTACAATATAGCATTAACATCCATCTAGACCCAGCTAGTTATGAACCATGAAACCTGTTTGGCTTCTCCACTGGCTGCCTTGCAATCCTCTGTGGTGTTGGAGATGTAAGCTTGGGCGTCAGCAGTTCAAAGCCAGGGTTGTCCACTTAGCACCTCTGTGAATCTACCACTGCCTGTGCAAAGGGCCCAATAGTGGACCCTGCCATGCTGGTTGACTTGAAGACTACAGGAATTAGTAAGTAGAGAGCTCTAGAATGGCATCTGGAATATAGACTGCTTAATGATAGCTCTTTATCATTAAGGACTCTAGCCGAGGTTATCGTGAGAAGCATTTGGAACGTGGTAAACCTTTAATCCTAAATGTTGCTCCAGCTCCTCATCTCTGTTTAGTTTCTGCGGTCAACTAGCCACTTCATGGGAAAGGCGCTAAGGCTGGGGACTGTGCACTGCCTTACAGCTGTGTCCCTTCCTTCATGGGTGCCACTGCTGCTGGCTGGGCAGAGGCTCATGTGTGCTTTCAGGTGGACACTCGATGTGAGCTAATCCGTTCTGCAGCCTCCCCTGTAGTCAGTAACATAGCGTCCATCCATCTAAAATAGACAGGATGGCTGGTGGGCCAGTTGGTTGATTTGGTCTGGTTTGGTTGGTTTGTGGGGACAGATTCTTGCTGTGTAACTCAGGCTTGTCTCAAACTCAGAATTTTCCTGTCTCAGCTCCTGCATGCTAGAATTATAGATATACACCACCATAGCCAACTGGGTTTGTTGGGTAGCAGATGCCTTTGCCCCCAGCCATCTTGCCAGCCTGGCTCACTGCCTTTCACCCACAGGGTTCTGTAGCCACCTCTGTGACTAACCCACACCTTTTCTTGGTCACTCCATGTCACATGTACCTTTGAACCACCCTACTGCCATTTTGATGTCATCTATGGCACTGCAGGCCCTAGAACACATAGCACATTCAGTGTCATTGGAACTGCACACCCTGTAGCAGCTCAAAGTCTCTTTCCCAAGATGCATTTCTGCATGGGGGAAGGGAGATTCCTAATGTTACTACTCATCTTGGCAATCAGGATTACTAACTTCAGCCCTGTCTCCCTGGAAACTACGGGAAAAAAAAAATGAAAAGAATATAGATTGCTACTATATTTTAGAACTGGCTTTTGAAAATGTAACTTACCATCAACCTTTGGATTCTTCCCACCACTCAGTGGGTCCATCTAAGCTCTCAGGAGACTAACCAAGGGACTGTGGTGCTGGGGGAAGGACAGTTGATCTTACCAGTGACTTATTTTCTGCCCTTAGTGCCAGACTCTCTTCCCTATGGGGAAGATTAGCTGTCAGCCATTCACATATACAGCCTCTCACATCAGCCACAGCCACCACCGTCTCCATGGTCTCAGCCAGAGCCCCCTGTGCACTCAGTGAAAATGCATAAAGAGCCTCTTTTTACATTGAAAAGTGATGTTTTGTGTGTACTTATGTAATTACACCTTCAGTGGTGGGCTGTTCTGGAGTTGAGTATGAGCAGGTTGTTTTCGCATTTAGCACTGGATTTAAACGCCCTATGTCTTCACATGGCTGTACATTAGTGGCAAAGTGATTGATGAAGGAAGAGGAAAGTACTCTACTGGAATGTTGAAGCCATAGAACCACACACAGTTACCAATAGTGTCCCAAATCCAAGACCTCAGTAGCTTCCTCTAGGTCAATCCTTTGGACACTTGCATGGGGCCTCACCTCCTGCAGACAAAGGGAAAGTCATGTGTCTTCTAGCACCTGGCAAAGGGCCTGTTGTCATGGAAACAGGGCATACTGCTGCTGAATGGATGCCTTGGTTTGGGCTGCTTTGCTTTGGTATTGGGGAGTTGTGTGTTTCATTTGGTTGGTTGGTTTTGAGTCAGGATGGCCTGGATGAAATTCACTATGTGACTGGGCTGCCCTCGATCCACCTGCCTCCGCCTCTAGAGTGACAGGATTCCAGTTGTGTGCTACCCTACTGGGATGTGGGTGGACATGTTTGAAGATGCCATCAGCAGGCTATCACTAAACCCCTTGAGATAAAAATTAAATCTGAGGTGATGAGAGATGGGGAAGAGGGAAGATTCTTAAGCCAATAAGGGTCTTTTCTCCTTCCCTCCTCAGAGCGGAGAGGACTCCTCAGAAGAAGAAGGGGAAGTAGACAGTGAAGTGGAGTTTCCTCGCAGACAGAGGTAAAGCCCGCACAAACCCAACTTTGTTCAGTGTCATGGGCAGCCCCGAGTGTGCTGCACCGGGCTCAGCCATGAGCCCATCTGCAGCCACTTTACAGGGAAATAGAACTCAACACCGATGTCTTCCCTCGCCATGTCTGATGGTTGCTGTGCACAGCAGGTCACAGGTCATCAGATTCATTCCAGAGAATTTCACGAGGAACGTGAATATAGACCCCCGTCACACCCCAGCATACAGTGTCCGGTCTGGGAGGGGTGTTTGTGGTGGCTGATAGTTTCTAGTTGGCCATCTTATGTTAGTGTGATCATGCTGCTGTATCAAATACCACAGACTAGGGAGTTTATGGGACAACACATACTTCTCCCAGTTGTAGAAGCTGGGCAGTCCAAGATGGCGGTGACAGTGATTCTGTTCCTTATCACAGCTTTGTTCTTAGCTTGCAGGTAGACGCCTTCTTCCTGTGTCCTCATATGTGAGAGATGGGTAAATAATAGAGAATTTGGGGAGGGCACAATTCAGTTGATGCTCCTCTCTACATCTGTAAATATTGACTTTTAGTCTTTCTCTGGGGCAGGAGGTAACAGGCTCTCAGCCACTGTGTTTTCCCTGTTTCCAGGCCCCACCGTTGTATTAGCAGCTGCCAGTCATACTCAACCTTTAGCTCTGAGAACTTCTCCGTGTCTGATGGAGAGGAAGGAAACACTAGTGACCACTCGAACAGTCCCGATGAGTCAGCTGATAGACGGGAAGACCGCCTGGCAGAGAAACTAGATGACCTACTGTCCCAGACACCCGAGGCCCCCATCGAGATCTCCTCCCACTCAGACGGGCTGTCTGACAAGGAATGTGCTGTCCGGCGTGTGAAGACACAGATGTCCCTGGGCAAGCTGTGTGCAGAGGAGCGTGGCTACGAGGTGGGCATCTCTCCCTCCTCCTCACTCCACTATGCCCTTCCTGGTTCTTTCCTAGTCTGCCTTCTATTGCTGTGATAAACACTGTGACGAGAAGCTACCTGGGGAAGAAAGGGTTTATTTTGGCTTCTAGCTCACAGTCCATCATTGAGAAAAGCCAAGGCAAGAACTAAAACAGAACAGGACCCTGGAAACAGGAAGATGGCTGCCTACTGGCTGCTCCCATGGCTAGCTCCACTTGCATTTTTTCTTTCTTTTTTTTTTTTTCTTTTGTACAACCCAAGCCTAGAGAGTGGTGCCACCCAGTGAGCTGGGTCCTCCCACACCAATTTGAAAACTTTACCCAGAGCAGCCTTCAGGCCAGTCTAATAAAAGCATTGTCTCAATTGAGGGTAACTCTTCTCAAATGACTCTAGCTTGTGTCAGGTTGACAAAAAAAAAAAAAAAAAAAAAAAAGCTGACCAGCACAAGTATGTTCAAACTGTGGGTCTTTATAATTTTCTATCAGTAGATAACATATACACTACCTCCACAACATAAACACAGAGATGTAGCTGTGTGGTTCTGTCAGTAAGACAGTGTCTCACAAATGAGGCAGAGACACGAAATGTTCAGATAGACATTGCCACAGCAAAGAAGATTCTGTGCTTCTTATATAGAACAGTATGGCCTTGGGAGAGCCAGGAGAGTATGGTGCTTATAGGTGTAAACCCTGGACTCAGACTGCCTAGATGCAGACCCTACCTACCGTGTGACCTTGGGCAAGTTGCTTAACCTCACCAAAGGTCAGTTTCCTTCCATATGAAATGTGTGTGATACCTATATCTATGAGAATTGATCTATTTCAGTAGGTAAGTAGATTGTCGTGAGTAGACTGAACTAACATATGTAAAGGACTTACAGTAAGTGGAACCCCGGACACTGGAATGCTGTGAAAACTGAATGTAGGAACTGGTACAGTTGCCACAGCCACCTCCAGCATTACACGCTGTCTATAGCTCTTTTCTCCATAAGCCCCAAGAACAGGGCCCAGTCTCATTTGTCTTTATCAGCTCCTATAACATGAAGTATTCGGCTCACCTTCAGTGAGGGCTGTGTAAGGGAGTTAAGGGCTGTCACATGGGACACATTGAACATGCCCTCACTGAGGATTGTAGAATAAAATTAAGACCTCTTGTCTGAACTTTGCAGAATGCTGTGCAGTTTGGAGACTCGGACTGTGACTCTTCAGAGGGTGAATGTTCTGACGCCACTGTTAGGACCAGCAAGAACTTCAGCTCTGCCACTTGGTGACAAGCACTCTCCATCAGAAGATCTCGAGACACTGGCATCTCGAATCCTCTCCAGCTCTAGACTCCTCCCACCTGCATTTGTCTGGGAGGAGTGGCCCAGTCCCAGAAACAAGCCACACTGATAGGAACACGAGACTGGTTAAATCTCTGGGGAAATACCCAAATGATACTACATCTCACTGAGCATTCAATCAGGGATGGCAGGGATCTACTGTACCGGATCCTCCAGCTACTGTAACACTGATATTTATTTTTGTTGGACATTTTAACACTTTATATTGTAAAGAGTGAACTATATATGATACACAGACACAATAATTTCTTTACAAAAAAAAACAAAAAACAAAGGGTGGGGAAGGAAAGAGAGTCTTTAGAAGCAGCTTTTAGAATTTGGGCTTAGGAGGTGTCACTGTTGCTTGAATACAGGACCAGGTCTTTCATCCACACTTAAAGAGTTATAATGAGACATATTGAGCATTTAAAACACAAGCCAAAGGAAAAGCAGCACATTAAGTTCAACTGCTTGTCCATGTGAGGGACAGAAATGATCTGATAGCACCAAAGCCTCAGAGGGCATGTGCTTCCTCTAAGAGGAAAAAGCAAACAACTGTAACTGTATATCTGGAAGTTACTTACTCCTCAAACACTAAGCAGTAAAGGTTACAGTATCACTGGGCTGGAGGGATAGCTCAGCTTTGAAGGCTTAGGCTCACAACCAAAAATATATGGTTATAGTCTCAATCATCAAGTCTTGCCCTTAGCAAATGCTTTTCTTTCAGATACTGTCACTGTCACAACCTTGACCAGTGTCACCTTTCAGACTTGTGGGCCATTTCTCTCGAGTAGCGTTCTTTCTGTCCACTTGCTGGCCACTTCTTCCAGAAAGGGGAAGGGGTGTTGAGTGGGATAAAGGGGTAGGGTAAAAAAGCATCTATGACATTAGGAAAACAGGCCTGTGAAACTTCCTTTTCGGGATGGCTGTTCAGCTATATAAGCAAGATGGTGCAACCCCACCCTGGACCCAGGCTATCCGTCTACTGGAACCATATTGATTCACACACAGAAGGCAGCTAGCATGTGTGCCCAGGTCCAGTCCCAAACCATCTTCGTTTTTGCTAGTGATCTTTTTCTAGTGTGGAAGCTTTGGTGGCTGTCTGTCACTGTAGCATAAAAGGAAGCAGCTTGCAGAAAGGTGACCCGTCTTACCACATTTTGTTAAATGCTGTTTGCAAAATGCAGGTTTTTATTATTATTATTATTATTATTCTGAATCACTGCAGTTTTGTTTAGTTGGGTTAGGAAATTTGTAGAACAGCTGATGCTAAGCAGGAATTAGGGTTACTTTAGTATCTCAAAAGCACATGATTCTTCCTGTGTCTAGAGTCCTGGGCTATGAAAACCCCCAGGTACGTTGTAGAGTGTTGGCTTGAAGCAGGTAGGGGGCTAGATTACAGGTGGGCACCAGCATGGCTGGCTTAAAGATATCTTATCTAGAATTAATATACACACATGTTGACCTGATCCCTATGTCCAATGCAGGGCTTCTGCTTAGTCCACACTGGTTGGATTCTGACATACCATGCTATAAGGATGTTAAGGTATTAAGACATTCCAACCCCAATGGAAACGGTGCCCCTGGCCAGGGATCACTGACTGCATCAGCCAAAAATGAAAAGCAGGAGGGGATGTAGAGCCGGTCTTCTGTTTGACCCTCCTTTGTTTACACTTTATGTTCATATATTGATTTTTAAAATTAGTGTCTATAATTTATAGCTCGTAGGAAGAATGAAGGAACATGTTGAACCTAGAAAGCAGTATTGTTTTGTTAAATTATTCCATTTTATATGAACTGTAGCAGGACTACACAGGAGAGCTTAAGTTATGACATTATCTTTGTTGTTTTATTTTATGTTGTCATAATTTTCTGTTGACCAGAAGGTGTGGCTTATGATGTAGCACAATGACTGTTTCTTGATAACTATGAATTATGGACTTCTGTGGGCCTAGTGAAGGTCTGGGACTGCCCTTTGGGACGCCTGGCATTCCTCTGTGTATTCCCCGGTTTCCTGAATACAGCAGCCATGGTCTGAGGAGATGGGCTCTGATGCCCAATGGGTACACTGTGATTTTTGTTTTTTACTTGATTCTAAAACCTGCTGACTAGGCAGATGAACAAGTAGATGAACAAGTAGTTCAAAAGTCCCAAAAATTATAGACTTTCTCAACTGTCTTAAAAAATAAAATCATGGCACTCTCATAGAGGCAAGAGATTTGATGCTCAGACAGCAACACAAAGCATTTCTGTGGGGGCTCCTGAGGTAGTTTCAAGAATGGATGGCAAAGCAAGTCATCTCCTGGCTGCTGAGCCCCACACACTGGGAAGAGCAGAAAGATAGAAGTGAATAATGGCAGCCATGAGGTGCTTCTGCAGCAGACATGAGTTCTAGCAGGAGGGCATTGGGGGTCACAGGGCTGGGAATTGACATCAAAGGCAGTATTTCTTCATCCCTCAACCTCCAGTCCCTTATTCCTTGGAGTTGAGACTCTGTCCAACACAAAGTAGAGCCAGCTGTTTGTCCTGTCCCATGCCCACTTCAGTGGCAACAGAGAAACAAGACCAATTTCTATCTGGCATCTTTCAGTGTTGGTCCACTCAATATGTCAGTCTTCATCAGCATCCTGAATTCCCATCCCTGACTGTCACACTAAGGCCACTTTTATCTGTGTTAACTAGTAATAGTCATGCTAGGGGTACAGTGTTAACTCCAGTCATTCACTGAATCATCAAGAGTTTAAAAACCCACACTTTTAAATAGAATTATGGTTCTAAGCAAGGTTGAAAGGGAACAACAGTCTCTATCCTGGCTTTCCTCCACACCCTGCCTCATAGGGACCAGGACACGGACTGACTGTGTTTCTGTGACATTATAGTCATTGGAAGAACACTCAGTGGAGAGCTCAGGGACGTAAGAGCCAGGTCTTCCGTGCCGAAGCCACTACCAGGCCCTGGTGCTTTGAGGAGCTTGCTGACTTGAAGCTTTGTGGCTGGCTGCAGGATGAGTATCTGCAGTCTCGGGCCATCTGTTTTCCTGACTACCAAGAGGGGTTTAATTTTTGTATTGCAGCCAAGCACTGGATTTTCTTTCCTTTGCTGGATCATGTTGCTGAATAAAAGTCCCTGTTCAAATTACTTAGCACAGGGATGGAGACCGTGTATCCACTTTGAAACACACCAGACCACTGAGCTAGCCACAGGACTATGGGAGATCTGCCCAGGATAATGAGGTGACATTGTAAGGTGACTTGGTGGCCTGCTTGAAGACTGAGTACTTGTAGCCTTTAGTTCCACCAAATCCTGGAATGAAAAGTCATTTTGAGTAAGTACGGTCTAGTACTTACTCAGGGCCCTTTTGTGCCAAGCCACCCCAACTACTATAGGTGATGGAGGTGATGGCTTTGGAGTTCCTGTCACTAACTCAGGGCTGTCAGTGTCCCCACAAGGTAGCATTGACATCTTCTCAGTGGGAGTATGTTCCTACTGATTCGGTGGTTTACTGTTTTCTCTCATGCCTTGATGTCCCAACATTTTTCATTGTAATTTTTTATTGAGAATTGTGTACATGTCTACAATGAAATATGATCATATTCACTCCATTCCCCTCCACACCCCATTGTTGTTTTGGTAGTTCATCCATGTGTGTGTGTGTGTATGGGGACATCCACTGGAGGAGCATGGGAAACTAACAGAGAACCACTTCCACAAAAGAAAAGTGATTCTCCCTCCCCCAATGGCTGTCAGCTGCCCTAGCTCCTCAATAGAGTAGGGCCTCTTAAAAAAAAAAAAAAAAAAAATTCTAGCTGGGTGCAGTGGCATTTACCTTTAATCCTAGCTTTGGGAGAGGCAGAGATGGATAGAGCTCTGTGATTTCAAGGCCAGCCTGGTCTACATTCAAGCCAGCCAGAGTGACTTGGTGAGACAGTGTCTTTAAAAAAAAAAAAATCAATCCTAAGGAATCCCTGCTTCACATATACCATGTTTATTTCTCTAGAAGCCAAAACACTGCGGTGTGCCACCATAGACCACCCCCACACTACACACCACGGGCAGCATCATGTACTGCCTACCATTTTGCTCCTGCTGAGCCTTGCTACAGCTCAGGGCCACTCACAGCAGCATCTGGAATGCCATTCATGACTTGGTGGAATTGTTGTGCAGAGTGCTTATTAAGCCAGCTCTGAGCTCACAACTGTTCCCTAAGGACAATTCTAGACCTTGAGTTTCCTGATGGGCAAGTACAGGACCAGGCCAGACATCTCTTTATTGGTCCCCAAGGCTGATGAGGCATGCCATGACCAAAGGCCACTTGCCTTTATCCTCTCCCTTGGGACTGCAGTCCAGTTGACTGAGCACCAATGGCATCTCTTTAACCACACTGAACTGTGCCAGATGAGCAAGTCCTCCATGTCTGTGAACTGGAGGTTCCAGTGTCCAGTCCGTACTTGCTTCTACCCAAAATGCTGTGAGAATAATGTGAATTTTTTTGTCAAGGTTTCTCTTCAACTGTCAGTATGGATTCAGTCCGTGCCTTTCCAGGAAGCAAGATTTTTCTTTGCCGATGCCATAGAACAAATGTCCCAATGTGCTCACCCCTCCTCCAGACTGGCCCACTGGACGAGTGTGCCTACTTATCTGCATGGCTTGATTGGCACTGCAAATGGCCGTTCAAACAAGAATGACCTGAACTAGGCTGCTGAGAGGAGGACCTGGTGGAACCCAGAGCATTTCTCAGGGACAGATGGCGGAAGAGTGTCGCTCTTAGAAATAGGAAAAGAGCTGGGGTAGGCTTTGCCACATGGCAAAGGCATTTCAGGTGCCACATCCTCAGCAGATGGCAAGGCCATTGTCAGGAAGCTTCTAGCACAATCACAGCCCTGCACAGCACTGGAGATCACTGGTGTCTGGCCAATGACCATGGTCCTCCCACGGCTACAAGCTAGAGGGTCCAGCCACATGTGCACGCTATTAGGAGAAGGTTATCTTGACCACACCACCCCAGTGGCTCTCCATCTCCAGAATTCCACTTCCCAGAGGATGAGTCTTTTTTAAATGTATGTATGTCTACCCCCATCCCTTCCTCTCTTTCTCTCTAATTATTTATTACAATAACTTGAGTTCCTATTGATTTAGAGCAAATGAATTTCTTTCTAGTACTTAAGTCTCAAAATGAACTCCCCTGTCTCCTTGAGACTCCTGGATCGTCGGCTCCATGTCGTGTTCAGATACTGGCTCTGGCTTTGTACCCAAAAGCAGTGGGAACAAGAATGATTATGGAAACAAATCAATGCATGAAATTAAACAAAAAGTATACCGTATGTTTTCTGGTCCTGTGTACTGTTTGTGTCCTACAGGCTGCTCTGCCAGGGTTTTGGGGAAAGGCAAGCTGGGTTCTACTGCCAGGACTCTTTCTTATATTTCAGGGACAGCCACTAAAGTTGCAGTTTCCATTTTGTTTTCCCATAAAAGCTTAGACAGGCACCTTGCATCTTCCTGAGCAATCTGCTGCCACTCTTGCAGCTGTCCTGTTACCACTGACATCACACTTAAAGAAGCCAAGAGAGGCAAATGGGAAGTTAGCATAATTTGGTCTGAGGCCTTCTGGGAATGGAAAGCTAAACCAGTCTTTTGGATATTTTTAAGCCAATCCTGGTCCCTTAGGTAAGGGCCATTCTGAGGCAGACAAGCTCTCATGTTCTGTCTTCTGCAGAACATTTATGTCCCTGGATTTGGGAAATCCTTTACCCATGAGCTCATATCTGATAAGGCACACTTGTGCACAATCCTGCTGGAGACACACACCTGGAGAGCCTAAGAGGGGAAAAGGACACACATACAAAAGGGAGAGAACCCTGTCTTCTCTTTCCCTCTCTATTCCAAAATGTTCTGGAACCACCAGCTTCAAGTGCAGTCTCCTCATCACCCCCTTGTTAGTAAGGCCTCTTCTGCACATTTTAAAAAATGAAAGCCTTAAAGACATGACATGAAAATCTACTCTTACTGTGGAGCCCAAGTACACACAGCAGACCTAGACTGATGCCTTGGCAAGACTCTTGGTTGGGCCCAGGCTTGGGACAAACACACCAGCCCAGCCTGTGATGCCTTAGAGCAGCAGTTCTGGTGAGTCCTTGTTGTGAGTTGTTCCCATGGCATCCAAGCCCACAGAGCTATCCGCTCAGTATGGATTCAGTCCATGCCTTTCCAGGAAGCAAGATTTTTCTTTGCCGATGCCATAGAACAAATGTCCCAATGTGCTCACCCCCCTCCAGACTGGCCCACTGGACAAGTGTGTCTACTTATCTGCATGGCTTGACTGGCACTGCAAATGGCTGTTCAAACAAGAATGACCTGAACTAGGCTGCTGAGAGGAGGACCTGGTGGAACCCAGAGCATTTCTCAGGGACAGATGGCTGAAGAGTGTCGCTCTTAGAAACAGGAAAAGAGCTGGGGTGCCAAGGTCCACAGCCCAGTGCCACAGCTGGAAGAGGCAGTGACAGCTGTGAAGAACTACAAGAAAGCCAAGCAATCACACCACTTTGTCCTCCTTGAATTAAAGGTACAAATTTCTCAGCTGTTCTTAGCAAAGACAAAAAACACACTGTGTACTGGCCGATGGCCTCCTGTACTGATGCCACTCTCCCAGCAGGAGGCAGTAGAAGGGATTCCCAGGCAGGAAATATATAGATGGCCACTGGATTCAGATGGGGGAACATTTCCTCAAAACACATTCAAAACATGCAAAGCTGGCTCCATTCATATTTAATTATGTTTGGTTCAACTTAACTCTCAAGACACAGAACAACACGAGGAGCTTAGACATAGAAATATCAGTGTGTATTACAAGAAACTGCACTCAAGCTGTGTGTGTAAATCTTGGGTCCCTTGGCTTACAGAGGTAGATCATCAGCAGAAAGGCAGAGAAGACACACTTCAAGAGACTGGCAGGAGCTAGAGTCCTGTCTGATACAACATCCACAGGGACCTAACACAGTACCTGTCACACAGCCTCCAAAAGGCCACCAGCATCTTCTCCCAGGACATCTCAGGGACTGGCAAAGGACAAGCCCCACAGACTGAGTCCTCTGTTGCTGGATAGAACCAAAGCAAGATTTTCTAGAAAGCAGTCCATTTCACAGAACCCTGGACAGGACCCTCAAAAAGAGTGCCCTTCTAACAGGCCTCTGCGTGCTAGACTGACGTTCAGATCACCCTTTGAGGTCAACTAAAACACAATGGGGACAATAAAAGGACCATACCCATCACACAGACCGGCGGCAGAGTCCAGGGCTGTGTAAACACGGAACCTGTATCACGCGTCCTTCCTGCCATCTAGATGACTACTGTTGTCTGTGTCACTCAGCACCAGGTGCTTCCGGCTAAATTTCTTGATGAGAGTTCCAGGAACCAAAGCGACCAAGGCAATGGCCAACAGCTTCAAGACAGTTTCCCAGGAGAAGAGAGCATCCAGAGAAGTGAGCGTGGACAGAATAGAGCCTGTCTGCACACAGATGAAATTGTACGGGATCAAACCTGGAAAACGGAAAGTGGAGATGGTCCATTAATGGGGCGAGTGCTTAGGAAACAGCACTAGATGATGGCCAGGGAACCAAACAGTGACTCCAGCTGTCTGTCCAGCTTACCCCCTAACGTTCTACCTCCTGCCTTTTCTCCCCACACTCCCTATACATACCTGCCTTATCTAACAAAAGGCCTTAAGATGAGCCACATGCTATATATCATTACAATAAGGAAAATGTACTACTCACACCAAAAAATAAATAACCACTCAGAGAGTGAGCTGAGAAATGATGGGGTCCGTGCACCTGCTGAAGGTAGAATCCAAGAGCCACACCAGAGATAGGAGACCAGTGACACAAAATCTTCAGTGTGCGTTAAAGAAACCAGCAAGCCTCTTCAAAGTACAATTTTGTAATGGTCTGCACTCTAAGAATTCAGCAAGGCTCCAGACTCCTGAGTCTGTCTGGTAGCTAGGCAGCAGATAGCATAAACTCCTTAGTCAAGCATGGTGGCACATGCTTATAATTTCAGTAATCAGGAAGCTGAGGCAGGAGAATAGCAACAAATCCAAGGCCAGCCTGGGCTACATGCTGAAACTTTCTCTCAAAAAACAAGAACAACCAAGAACCCCGTAATGTTTAAGGAAAAACAAAAACACCTAAGTCAGGCATAATGGAGCACACCTTTAGTACCAGCAGTCTGGAGGCAGAGGCAGATGGATCTCTGTGAGTTCCAAGACTTCCTGGTCTACATAGCGGGTTGAGAGCCAGCCAGAGCTCCATAGTGAGACCCAGTCTCAAAAAGAAATCATGAGCCAAGTGTAGTGGATGCCTGTAGTCCTAGCATTTGGAAGGCTGAGGCAAAAAAAACTGAAAGTTTGAAGCCAGCCTTAGCTACATAACACAGCCATATCACAAACAAATAAGACAAAATACATTCAAAGAGCCTAGTTCCTTGTTTCTGCAGTAAAGCCAGTAGACTGCGTTTTAGGAGGCTCTTCCCCACCTCAGGCAGTGAACAAGTACCCGAAGACTACAATCAGACCATTCAAGGTCACCAGCCTGGCCCTCAGAAAGGAATTCTGTCTCCAGAGTCTTTCCAGGCTGGTGTCACTTGGGTAATGATGAGCTTTTGACCCCCATAAGCAGAGGTGCGGAGGAGCGATGCAAGCTGCTGTAAGAACTGACTGGTCAGCCTCCCATTTCCCTCAGACATTCCTGTAATGTAATAGCACCTGCCCCACTGCACATCTGTTAACTCGGACATCAACCCGGATGTCATTCCCCACACACCTAAGAAAGGTCTGAACATCTTTACCCCAGGTTTAGGGAGAGGGTCACACTCACAGATGGGTGGGATGTGATCGCTTAAACTTCCCAGTAAAGGTAACCCGGAGCCCACACTTCGAGAAACACTGCTCCTAACCCCAGCTCTAAACTGGTTACACAATTTCCCGAGGCAAAATATGGCCATGCCATTCTCAGAAGATAGGGGCCTCCCTGCTGCCAGCCCCACCTAAGGCCCCTCAATGAAAGGGGCTGGTGGCAGAAAGGAAGTAGTTCCTTGCTCTAGGTCAGCCCTTCAGCCTGCTAGGACTTTGTGGTCTACAGACACAATCCTGTTCAATTCCTGTGCCAAGCACCTGCTGGGCATACAGGTACACTAAATATGGGCATAGAATGAACAATCCTTAGTTTTTCCAAAAGTATTACATGATTTTCATGTCCAAGCTGGAGGAGGTTTGAAATCAGTGTAGACTATGTCAAGTGGCAGGCTTGAAGATGCTGTTGGTAGGCAAGCACATGGCCAGTGGTTAGGTGATGGAGGGAGGGCAGTGCCTCCACCAGCCCCGCCCCCATCTTACCGATAAGCACTGAGAAGAAAAACTGCACGATGGGGATGTTCAGAATTGGGGCAGAGAGGTTCAAGAACCAGTTGGGTGTCATGGGGAAGAGTCTGAGGAACAGCAGGAAAAAGAACAGGCTGTTTCTGTTCTCCTCCACCTGCAGAGAGAGCCCACCGTCAGGAGCAGAATGTCTCTTCAAGATTCTGAAGCTGGACAGCTCCTTCCCAACTCCTCCCAAGACACTGGGGAAGATTTCCCCATTTTGAAAACACAAGCACCAGCTGGACATGGTGGCTCACACTTATAATCCCAGTACTCAGAAACTCAGGAGGCTCAGGAGTTTGAGGCTAGTCCTGAGTTACACAGTGAGACCTTGTCCCAGTAAAAACAAAAACTGGGCTGGGGAGATAGCTTAGACAGTACCTGTCAGCGTAAGGATCTGCATTGGATCAGCAGTACCCATGTCAAAAAGGGAAAGAAAAAAGGCCTGGGGCTGTGGTACAAGCCTGGGATGCCAATGCTGGGAGCAGGGACAGGAGGATCCACGAGGCTTGCTAGCCAACCACTCTAGCCAAATCAGTGAGCTCCAGGCTCAGTGAAAGACTCAGTCTCCCACAGCACTCACACACATGTAAGTACACACACACACACACACACACACACACACACACACACACACAAAATCACTAAACAGCTGAGAATCTGAGGGGTCAGAAACCTAACTCAACCACAGAGCAGTCTGTGCTTCCAAAAGACATCAAATGAGCCTTGCCAGCTCCCTGGCAGGGTGAAGGAGCATTGTGGGAAATCGCAGCTCCTTGCTCCTCTCAGATCGTAAGCTGATGCTCAGGGAGCTGGTGCTCAGGCATGCCCCTCCTTACCTTCCTCTGCAGCAGGGCCACTTTATCAGGAAAGTAGGAGATCACCAGCTGTTTGCCGAAAACACTGGAAAGCAGGTAGCAGCATGTGGCACCCACTGATGTCAGCACACAGCACAGCAAAAGTCCCAGCCATGGCCCAAACAAGGCACCAGCCAAAACATTCTGCAAAGAAAGCAAGCCCCTCGGCCATGAGAACATGTAGCTGCTGCCAGTGGGCCTGTCCTGGAGTCTGCACTGCCTCCCTCACTTCCAGGGGTTTCCACTGCCAAAACCCAAGGTCCATTTTAAAGAGGAGAATGAAAGCATGGAACTAGAAATATAGCCTTGGGCTCCTCACCTTTACAAAGACAAGGCCTAGTGCTCAGTGAGCATTGGCAAGTTTAAAAGGAGACTAGGTGCAGACATTACCTGGCTGAGGCAAGGAGCACCAAAAAGGGAAATAAAGCTCTTTTCACTATTGTTCAGATCATGAATGTACCTTCAGTAATTCAAGTAAGATGCCTTCTGTGCTTTTCATCTGATTAGTAAGCTCACACTGAGCTTCCTAATTGACCTTTAAAGCCTTGGCTTCCCAAAGATGGAAAAGTTAATTAAAACTTCACAAGTGCAGTTTGGCTGGAGCATGGGATCTGGGAGAGAACATGGGGAAAAGCCAAGTGTGCTGGCACACATCTGTGATTCCCAGCACTTGGGAAGCTGAGGCAGGAGGATTGGATTCAAGGCCAGCCTGGGCTAGCATGTGAGTTCCAGACCAGTCTGTGCTAAGAGTGAGACTTCATCTCACTCCCATGAACTGGACAGATGGCTCAGCAGCTAAGAGTGCTTCCTACTGTTCTGGAGGACCAGTGTTCGGGTCCCAGCACCCATGCAGGGTGGCTGACAAGCGCCTGTAAGTCCACCTCCGGGGTAGCTGGTGCCGCCACCTACACACAGGCACAGGCAACCCTTCTAAAAAAGCATGAACAAGTGAATAAACAAACAAGTCAGCAAAGGTAAGCAAACAGGCAAGAGGGAGCTTAGCAGTGAGGCTGTGGCTGCCATACATACTTGGCCATGAGTCTTAAGTAGTCCTCACCATACCCTCTGACATGTACCACCCTACCCCATCCTATGGAGGAGAGACAGTCTCGAAACTAAGATTGCACCAGGCAGGATTAAAATGCACCCCGATTCTGGGTGTGCAGACCTTACCAGCCTAGGCTACATAGCACCAAGTAGCAGCTGGCTCTGCCCTGAAGCAGGATCAGCTCAAGGGGGAAGTCAGTCCGGAGTCAACCAAAGGACTCAGTCCTGACCGCCAACATTCAGCTCCCTCTCTCAGAAATGCTTGTTCTCCCCGTTTCCAATCCCTAACCTGCTTGGGTAGATTTAAGCTGAATCTGGAGTAGGAAGAGGTGCTGGGAACAGAGGGAATCAGGACAATAGGAAGCTTGGAGTATCACTAAGTGCTAAATGCCCACTCACGCCAGCTTCCATGCACTTGTGTTTCATTTCATCCTGCCACACAACTAAAGCGGTGTCTGGGGGAGCAGCCACATTTTACAGAAAGGAAGCCAGCTGGAAAGACGGCAGGACACTGACCAGGAAACTGGAGCCAGGAATGGCAAAGCCCTGTTTGTAGAGGTAGGCACTGCAGAAGAGCAGGAACACGTAGGCTTGGTGCTCCTTCCGGTACTCTCGAAGGACCTCAGAGAGCTCCCGCAGCTCAGCTAGATCTGAGGGGAACCACAGGGACCTAGGCATTGGGAAATCAGATGGAAACATGGGTTCAGAAGAAGCCTGGTGCCTAAAAGGGTTACTCTCGATGTGTCGTCTTTCTAGTGTTAGTCTATAAATATGTAATCTGGACATCTGGGAATACATACAAAGTAGAACTCAAGATGACAGGTGACCCACTATAACATAACAGAGGCAGACAAGAGAGCCCTGGCTTGGGAGCAAGGGACCTGGGCTGGCATCCCCACTCTGCTTGCTATATTCCAGTTGTGTGACCTTGGAGTGTCCATGGACCTCGTATGGTACTGATTTCCCTCTTCACTTATTCAGGGGGTATAAGATGAAAGCCCACAGCATGGCATCCAGCACTGATCAGGACTCCCAGTCTCTTTTTTACCTACTTCAAAGAGGCAATTATATTCATTCCCAGGCAAGTGCTGAACGTCCAAAATTGCCTTCCTTTCAAGGAGACCCCCTCCCCAGCATGCCCAGAACTATTTAGACACCATGTTACCCTGAGACATCTAGGCAAAACAACAGTTTCAGCATTTAAAAATTATTCCCCGAGGAAGTATATCTATCTCACATCATAAATACAGCTTTCTTGATAATATGGCAGGCTTGAAACCAACCCTCCCCTTTCACCCTGCTCCATCCAGGCCTTAGAGCATTGTGAATCCCGTCCAAGGGTCACAGTACAAAGACTACCCTACCTCTGCCATCTCAACAGCTCTTTACTCCAACAGAGATAAACTATGAGCAACCCCTCCTAGTTCTCCCGAGTACCTCTGACATTCACACGAGAGCTCTTTCAGTTCCAGTAAAAGACAATGGTTACAAAAAACAGCTGTCCTGCTACTCGAATGCCAGTTAAGCCTCTTGGTAAGGCGGCAACGCGCCAAACACACTTCTTCATGCACTTTGGTTGTGAGCCTAGCCTTTAATGGCTGAGCCATCTCTCCTCTTCATGCATTTTGTAAGTAGCAAGCAGCAAACGGAAAACCCGCTGGGCGAGTCTACTGCCGCCTCCTGACTCGTTCGACTGTCATGGGGAGCAGTCAGGCAGGCAGGAAGAGGACAGACCGGATCACAGCCTCGTAACCCGAAGTCCGGGCTGCACCTCTCAAGATTGGCTGGTGTGGTAAAGTGGGTTGAGGAATGAGAGTCACAGTGGCCGAGATGGCTGCGGCTGGAAGGCGACCGCGCGCGCGAGCAGAGAAGCGCAAGGTCCCCCAGCGCATCGCCGCCAACCCTCCGACCTCCGCCCCAGCCGCCGCCCCGCGCCCTCGCACTCACCGGCCTTGGGGCTCCTCGGCCGATGCCAACCTCCGCCCCACGGGCAGCCGCGTGGACAGCAGGTACAGAGCGAAGGTGCAGCCGCCGAATACCAGGAGAAGGCCGAGCAGCGCGCGCATGCCGCGGCCGGGACGGGGAGCGCGCTCCCCGCGAGCCAGTGCTGAGCCCTTCCCCGTGCACCGACTGGGCGGGCGGAGCGCGTTCGTCGACGGATGAGGCGTGGTCTGCGCGAAACCCCGCCCCGCTACAGGCCACGCCCCCTCAGGGGCCTATGAGAGCTTGCTTGTCTGTGTGCTCCTTCTATCTCTGCGCTGAGCTCCTCCAGTTCTGCCCCTGCATCAAAGCCGGGGAGATTTAGGGGTGAGTTGTGAACGTGCCAAAGCCAGCTTGCAGCATGGTGGTCAGACAGTCTGGTCCATAGTCACACAAAGCAAACGTCTCCAACAATGTGCAACTGGCGCTGATGGTGACAACCACAGAGATAAACTGACCTGCCTTCTACCCAGCACCTAATGGGTGCTCACTATTCCCAATCTTTATAAATACACTTCAGTACTTGATTTTTGGTTTTTCGAAACAGGGTTTCTCTGTGTAGCTTTGGAGCCTGTCCTTGTAGACCAGGCTGGTCTCAAACTCACTGTGATCTGCCTGCCTCTTTCTCCCAAGTGTTGGGATTAAAGGCTTGCACCACCACCGCCCAGCTTCAGTGTGTGTCTTAACAGATGAAAACATCTCAGTTATAACTCTTTGGCGAGGAGTGAGCATGTACAAACCTGTAACCTATATTTGAGTCTTAGAAAGATTTTGTGTTGCTGGACGTGGTGGTCACGTGATTAATGCCAGCCCTTGAAGAGAAGGAGGACTCAGAGCTCAGTCATCCTTAAATACTATGAACACTCCAGAAAGGGGCAGCATAGGAGGGTAGCGAGAATGACATCTCCCCAAAGAAAATCCAGATTCAGATATCCAAAACTACTGTGGCCCTCACACTGTGTGGGTTCTGAAAGAGGCGAGATTTGAGTTTGCTCTTTGGGATGAGCAAGTGAGCTGGTCCTAGATAAGCCAGCCTTTCAGGGAGGCCCAGAGCTTGTGAGAAATGAATGAGAATTGACAGCTTGGAGAGTACTGGAAGATAGGCTGGGGAATTGTTGCTTGGATAAATTATATGTGGTAGGATAAGCCTGGAAGCATTTAACAAGAATGATTCTACTAGCCAGACACGGTACTGCATGTTTGTAATGCTGAGGGAAGCTGAGGCAGGATGGACACCGTGGAGGCAGCCTGGGGTTACAATGAGAACCTGCCTTCAAAACCAGGGAGGGAAAAGATTCCATCTCATCTGAGAATGCCTGCCAGTCAGAGGAAAACACACACACCACAGACCTTACAACACACACACACACACACACACACACACACACACACACACACAAAATCCTTTCTTGAGCTATAATTTTAATAATGAACATTAAAAGAAAATTGTTGTTGGCAGTTTTCTTTCCAGCCTGGTCCTACAACCGCTTCAGTCCCAAATGAACACACAGAGATGCTATATTAATTATTAAACTGCTGGCTGATGACTAGGGTTTCTTATTGGCTAGCTCTGCCTTAACTATTTCTATAAATCTTTGCATTTCCACATGATCTTATCTTACCAGAGAAGGGTCCGGACCTGCTACTCCTTTGTGATCTACATGGGAACTGTTTTGGCAGGCTCCCCTCTCCTACCTTTTCCAGAATTCTCCTCATCCCCTAGCCCTGCCTATCTTCTTGCCTCTACTGGCTATTGGCCAAACAGTGTTTTATTCATCAAACAATAAGAGAAACATATATACAGAAGGACATCCCCCATCAGAAAAAAACTGTTTCAAGGAGAGAAGAAACAAATAGTACTGTTTTGTGCTCACAGTTCTGGCCAGGGGCCCAATCCTATGTCAGATGGACCATTGCCTTGGGCCTCTAGAAAGGTGGCCCATGATGATGGGAGCATACGAGGATCATGACTGCTCATGCCATGAGCCAAGAAGCAAAGACACAAAGAGACTGAGTCCCTGGTGACCTGAGGACCTCTCTGCAGTTTTCACTCGCTAAAGGCTCCCGAGTCCACGTGCACCAGTGGAAGAAGGAACTGTTCAAAGAACATGGAAGTGCTGTGATTGGAAATGAGGTCTGAATGGACTCCCTAAAGAGGGGGCATGAGAGCTGAATGGTGGGTGGCAGAGAACTGAAGGAGCCAAGAGTACACTCAAATTTAATTGCGTCACTCATTTGGGATTCAACAAATATACAGACAAGAGAGGACAGGCAAAGACGAGCAAAGGGTCCCAAAGCTCTTTGGTGCTAGGCATGGTGCTCCACACCTGCATACTCCTAGCACCAGGGCAGCTGAGGTAAGAAGATCCTAAGCTCAAGGCCAGGCTAAGCATCATAGCAACACCCTGATTCAGAAAACAAATGTTTTCAGGGGAACGTTTGGGTAAGTGAGTTGCCACCCCTTCAGCTACCTGTCCATCACCACTACCTGAAAGTCACTGAAAAATATCTCCACTCTACCACAGACTTCCTTCCCCCCATTCATCCCATAGCAGCTACTCAGGGCCTATATCAGCTCAGTGCTGAGCTAAAACCCCAGGGGTCCCTATAGTTTGCAACTTGACAGAATTTCACTTTTTTTTTTTTTTTTTTTTTTTGACATTTGCAGTTATTTTGGCCCTCTGGAGTCAAGGGAAAGATGCTGAGTGGCTATGCTAATATAGGACCAATAAAGACCTCTGAAATCAAAGCCCTACACCACACCCACTGTCCACAGTGGTTGAAAAAATCTGAGGAATGTGACAGAGTGCTCCTCCACTCAGACTTCAGTCATCTCTTCCTTAAACAAAGAGGCCTCTTGCCATGTAGGAAAGCCTAGAAGATGTGTAGTACTGTGGTGACTATCCTTGACTGCCAACTTGACAACATCTGGAATTAACTAAAACTCAAATGGCTGGAACTAGAGAAAAACTAAAAAAAAAAAAAAAAAAATCCTGCATGAGCCATCTCAGACCCAGAAAGACAAACCGGGTATGTACTCACTCATAAGTTGATATTAGATGTAAAGCAAAGGATAATCAGGCTACAATCCACAGCCCCAAAAAAGTTAGATGCTAAGAGCCTTTACCATATATTACGGGAGTAGTGATTAATATTCTAGGTACCAACCCACCAGATTTAACTTCTGATGGGGAAAAATTGCCTTGCAAAGCCTGCAGAACATATGTTGCTATGCATCTGGCTATATAATCTTGATATAAAGAATATATACTGAGTGCATATATTCTCAAAAACAGACCACAGAAAAAGGAAATTCCCTCTCACCAGGGAGTCATGGGTAGACCCTCACTGCTTACCCTGAAGCTTGAAGCAACAGCCTCCAGATCTCACATAGCCTTCCCTCTGATCTAGTGCTGGGAGAAAATGTTAATACTGATCAAGAGCCCATTTTCCTTCCACAGCTTATGCAAGTTGCCATGACTACCATGATGCTGTGTTTCCAGCTACCTAGAAAATCTCAATCCATACAGTGTTTCTTCCTTTTTTTTACATTATCAACTATAAACTTCTAGTGCTTCTTCCTTTTTTTTTACATTTATCAATTATAAATTTCTAGTTTAACTAACAACATAATTATAGTTTTACATACTTACACTCTTTGTCCCTTCTTATCAATCATACCCCCCTTAACCCTTCCCCTTATCTGCCTTTCTGGCCTTGAGAGGTATTCATGCCTGGTATTCTTGCTATTGTCCAAGAATTGCTAATTGTGTCTGAGGGTATATAAACTGGAAACCTTGTGGGATCTAGGAGAATTTTCAAAAAAACTTCTAAAGAGAACTTTTTTTGGGGGGAGGGGGGGTGTTCCAGACAGGGTTTCTCTGTGGCTTTAGAAGCTGTTCTGGAACTAGCTCTTGTAGACCAGGCTGGAGGTCTTTGATAATTAGGTGAAAAGGAGGACCCCAAGAGGGACAAACATGGAGGGCCCCAGGAAAGTAAATAGTTAAGATCTCCTAGGTAAACTGGGAGGGGGGCAAAAGGGAGGGGATGGGGATGGGAACACAAGGGACCAAGAAGACTATGTTAGGGGAGGGACAGAGAGGGGAGAGCAATGAAAGAGATATCTTGATAGAAAGAGCCATTATGGGGTTGGGGAGAAACCTGGTAATAGGGAAATTCACAGGAATCTGCAAGGATGATCCCAGCTGAGAATCCTAGCAATAGTGGAGAGGATGTCTGCACTGTCCTTCCCCTGTAATCAGATTAGTGACAACCTATATTCAGTAACTGATGGTAACAGATGCAGTGACCCACAGCCAAGCACTGGTCTGAACTCCTGGAGTTCAGTTGAAGAGAGAGAGGAGGGATCATATGAACAAGGGAGGTTAAGAGCATGATGGAGAAAACCACAGAGACAGTTGGCCTGAGCTAGGTGGGAGCTCGTGAACTATGAACTGACAGCTAGGGAACCTGCATGGGACAGAACTAGACCCTCTGAATGTGGGTGACAGTTATGTAGCTTGATCTGTTGGGGGGAGGGGTTGGCAGTAGCACCAATACCTATCCCAGGGGCATGAACTGGCTTTCTGAAGCCTATTCCCTGTGGTGGGATACCTTGCTCAGCCTTGGTCCTGCCTCAGCTTGGTATGCTAGACTGTTGACTGGATGGGAGGTGGGAAGAGGGGAGGTGGGGGGCTAGAAAAGGGGAGGGAGGGGGAACTGGGTGGGATTGGTATGTAAAATGGAAAAAAAAATTTTTGCAGGGCGGTGGTAGCACACACCTTTAATCCCAGCACTAGGGAAGCAGAGGCAGAGGCAGGTGGATCTCTGTGAGTTTGAAACTAGCCTGGTCTACAAGAGCTAGTTCCAAGTCAGCCTCCAAAGCCACAGAGAAACCCTGTCTCAAAAAAAAAAAAAAAAAAAAAAAAAAGAAAAGAAAAGAAAAGAAAAAGACAAAGAAAGAAAGAAAAAGAAGTTTTTTTAAATAAATTTTAAAAAAAGGGGCTCAACTTCAGCTGGTAAATGTGCTTGCCTGAAGACCAGATTCCTGGGACCACGCATTGGAAGGAGAAAATTCACCCCCACAAGCTGTCTTCCGGCATTCTCATGTGCACATATAAATACACACACACACAATGTAAACTAATAAAATGTAGTAATTTCGCAAATGCGTCAAGAAATGGAGCTGAACACCAGCAAGCATGCATTCGTCACTCTGTTTTCTGACTGTGGTTGAGATATGGCCAGCTGCTTCCCAGATCCTCTACCTTGACTTCCTGCCATGATGGGTGGTGCCCTTGGACTGTGAGCTAAAAGAAACCCTTTTCCTCTTGAATTGTTTTTGTCAGGATATTTTATCGTAGCAACAGGAAAAGAAACTAAAACAATGTGACATCCATTTCTTTATAACATCTGGGGCAATTTGATGAAGAGAAGTGTACTGAGCCTGTGACACCTGCCCAACGTGGTCATGGCTGTGGGGTGGATGACAACCACCTTCACACTCGGCATCTGGACTCTAACTATCCTGCTGTCGTTTTACCCTCCCTGTCAATGGCCCTGGAACCTCTTGACTTCCTGAAGGTTCCATGCACCACGAACTGGGCTATGCTTTGCATTCCCAGTAGCCCCATGAGTAAAGCATCACGGCAGAAGGTTAGCACTGGTGGGTTATGCACCATTTATTTCTACTTTGCATCTCTGCATCTTAAAGAATTTCCTAGCATAGTTATGGATTAACCAACAACAAGGAAGAAACCATTCTTAAGGACGGCTTTAAATAATGTCTGGAGCTGAGATCAGGGCCCACTGCACCTAGTGTGTTTAATCCTAGGGCAGAAAACCTGTGCTGTAATTGACATTTTTGCAACATCAGTAAAAGCAAGCCCAGTTTTCTCCAGCCTCTGGCTCTGAATGGTCCATGAGTGATGATGTTCCTGTTTCTTCTCCTTTTTTCCTTCCACTCAGTGCCTGGTCTCAGTACAGACCTCAGGGTTCAGGGCCCATTCCAGCCTCTTGCCATCAGCATCACTTCAGAAATGGCTGGAAGCCAGAGCCATCTTGCCACCCCAAGCCAATAGTCCAGGAGAGAAACTGGTATTGAAAAGGAGAGGTTGTGTGTCTATACATGAGAGAAGCCATATCAAAATAAAGCACATTCACATTGTGGACTCAAGGGATTTCGCAAACTCTTCCCAGACTGGCCTTCACAACCCACATTTCCCATGAGGTAGTCTGATTTGTCCTTGTCTTCATGCCAGATGTTGAGGATTAGGCACAAGGGACACAGAAATCCATTGAGGCCTATAGCCTTCACTTCAATCCCGAGATGCCTGACCCACGGTCCTGAGGGTGTGATATGACAGGCAGCAGAGCTGACAGTTCGGAACACTCGAGGCCCCAGGATAGGCTGTTGGGAGCCCAGCTATTTCTGTCTTGCCCTACTTAGGGGCTCCCTCCCAGGTCTGTTTCATAACCACAGGTCATTTGACATTTCTTGATATGACATCTGTGGGATACTGCAGAAAATAACCTTAGGGTTTTTTTTTTTTTTTTTCTATGCTTTTGGAGCCTTCTGAATGAAGTAGGGTGGAGGTATCAAGAGCTTGTAGCCGTAGAGATCCTGGTGTCACCGCTGTCCATGTGTCCTGACAGGAACTACACCGCTACTTTGCACACAGAATAGGTTGGAAGATTGTCTCAACATTTTCCTTAAGGACAAGATCATACCGACACAAGTGAGGCCTGGGGAAACCAAAAATCCTCGTCAGTGAACCGTCAAAACCCCCAGTCCAGTCAAATGAGCTACCTCCTTCCAGCATGGATTATAAAGGAAAATGGCTAGGGAAGGCATTCATGCACAAGAAAGCAGGGTGTGGAATCTCATTCAACTCTACTACACTCTCTCTCTCTCTTTTTTTTTTAAGATTTATTTTATAACCCAGTGGTGGCACAGGCCTTTAATCCCAGCACTCGGGAAACAGAGGCAGGCAGATCTCTGTGAGTCCAGGGCCAGCCTGGTCTACAGAGCAAGTTCTGGGACAGCCAAAGAAACCCTGTCTTGAATAAACTTTATTTTATTTTATGAGTGTTATGCCTTCGTGTATGTTATGTTCCCATGGAGGTCAGATGAGGGCATCAGATTCCCTGTAACTACAGTTTACAGATGGTTGTGGGTACCATGTGGGTGCTAGGAATGAACCCGGGTCTTCTATCCCACTCTCAATCCTTCTGCCTCTACTTTGCGAGTTCTGGGATGAAAACCCCCACACCCTGGTTCTTACTTTCATTGTCTTTGAAATGGGTTATGGATGAGTTTCCCGGGTTTGCCTTGAACTCACGTAGCCTCTTCAGTTCTTAAACTTTAGATCACCAACCCCTAACACACAGCCTCCAGACTAGCTGAGAATACAGACCTGTACTACCAGACCCAGAAAAAAACACTTTTGATTAATCAATTAATTAAAAGACCCTGTTGTAAGATACAGCGAATGCCCTTTCAAAGAATCTTTTATTGCTAAATATTTTTGCAGTACACTAAATTTTTTTCTGTTTGTTTTTCAAGACAGGGTTTCTCTGTGTAACAGTCCTGGCTGTTCTGGAACTCACTTTATAGACCAGGCTAGCCTTGAACTCACAAAGATCTGCCTGCCTCTGCCTCCTGAGTGCTGGGATTAAAGAGGTGTGACACCATTGCCTGGCACAAAACCCTACATTTTTAAGTAAAAGAAATTCATCATTTTAAAGCCTGAGGCAGGAGAATTGCCACAGGTTTGAGGCCAGCCTGGGCTACATCATAAAACCTTGTCTCAGAAGGAATGGAAGAAAAGAAGGAGAGAGGGAGGGAGGGAGAGAGGGAGAGAGGGAGGGAGGGAGGAACTGATGAACTAGAGCAGGGAAGGTCACAGGAATTTGCCCACCCTGCTTGTGGCTCACCTGTCTGGATGGGCCAGGGACCTCAGCTTCATTCGCAGGACCCTGAGCTGGTACTTTGGACCGACTACAGACTTTGTGGAAAACAACAAGGAAATTTCTGCCACTTTATCCAGATCTTGATTAAATCTTGCGAGTAGGCTCACTTGATGGTATTTCTGAAATGTTGATGGTTCACTGGAAGGAAGAAATGGCATTTTAAAACGACTGTGGATTGCTAATGAGAGAAAGCTGCTTCCAGCCTCCAAGTCTAACTTTGCCTACACAGGCTGACTTTAGTAAGCAAAGGGCCCTGAGTTTGTAGGACTGCCTAAATGAAGCTACCGACCACCAAAGTCACACGGGGAGAAGCACTACTGTGACTGTCTACTGTGTTCAAGGCAGTGCCCAAATCTCCCACCCATTCCCACAGCTGCTTGTGGAGTCCAGGCTCTCCATGTGATGGGGCTTATACGCAACAGTGTGGAGATGAAACCCAGTGCAGAGTTCTTCTAGCCCTGCCACTCTCTGTGAAGCCTTAGATGGGGTTCCAGTCCCACTGGGATAACAATCACCAGTGTGACCCCCTAATCCCAATCTGAGATCTATGTCTGGAGCCAGCCCATTGCCCCAAACCCAGGGTGCTTGCCAGTTAGTTATCTGTGACGTCAAAGCATAGAATAGGGGGAAGAGAAGGGCGGGAGGGGAGATGTGAAGAAGGGAAAGGGAAGGAAGCCACTATACCAACTGCACCTGCAGAAAACAAAGGTGAACAAGAGGTGGGCAAACCCATGAACAAGTGTCCCAGAACAAGTGTTCTGGCTTCGGGAGCACAAAGAAGGGCACAGGCTGCTAAGTGACAAGGACATCTCCATTAGCAAAGGCAAGCTTGGAGCTCAGCTTACTGATCAATTCTGGATTCTGTGATATGTCCATCTTCGCCTCTCAGTTTGATTGTAATGAACCCTCTTCTTACATTCTTGTTCCAAGATACAATGTCCACAAAATAATGATACACTGTAAAATAGGGAGAGAATGGGTAAGAGAGGTATCTGAGCCCCTGTAGAGCCCATCTGAAAAGCCAAGATCCCTTTTTTCTCCCTCTATAGTTTCTCTGCAAAAACTCTGTAAGGAATTTTCTTTGATCTTTAAATGTTGCTTTTTGGGTCCAGGTCCTTCAAACTCACTATGTAGGTGAGGATGACCTACAGGTGTGTGCCACCATCCTGGGCTGCCCATAACAGGCTTTTCTAATTCTCCTTGCTCTTCCCTTTGGTACAGATGGCATTAATGACAAGAGTTCAGTTCTCTCTAGGGATCATGTGCAGGCATCATGGATGCCTGCCTCATAGGCTGGCAGGTGTATTCAACCTTTTGACTCATCCAAACAGTTCATGCTAAAGAACCCTATAATCCAGTTGCCAAAACCAAAAAAACAAACCACAAAATCACCTCATGATGTTTTAAGTGAACTTATTATCATTTTGTATGGAGTTGCTCTTGCCAATAGTGCTTGAATTATGGAAAATTTTAATATTTTCTGCCACTATTTCTCAGCATGCCAGTAGCACATTGGGATAGCTTTGGATTGTAGTGTGTCAGAACGTTTGGATTTGTTTGTTTTTGTTTTTTGAGTTTTGGTTTGTTGTTGGTGTTGTTGTTGTTGTTTAGGTTTTTGTTTGTTTGTTTGGTTGGTTGGTTGGTTTTTCGAGACAGAATTTCTCTGTATTGTTTTGGAGTCTGTCCTAAAACTAGTTCTGTAGACCAGGTGGCCTGGAACTCCCAGACATCCACCTGCCTCTGCCTGTTTTATATACCTATCTATCTGGGGATGTTTGAAATGTTTACAGACTGACCCCCAGGAAACCCGCAGGCCACTCCTGCTAAAAGCTTCAAGTCACTGAAGAAAGAAAATGAAGAAGATATCAGATGGAAAGTTCTCTCATGCTTATAGATTAATAAGATTAACATAGTAAAAAAAAAAAAAAAAGGCCATCCTACTGAAAATCATCTACAGATTCAATGAAATCCCTATCAAAATTCCAACAAAATTCTTTGTTGTTGTTGTTATTTTGTTTGTTTGTTTGTTTGTTTTTGTTTTTTTTTTTGAGACAGGGTTTCTCCATGTAGCTTTGGAGGCTGTTCTGGAACTCACTTTATAGACCAGGCTGGCCTGGAACTCACAGAGATCCGCCTGCCTCTGCCTCCTGAGTGCTGGGATTAAAGATGTGTGCCACCGATGCCCGGCCCAACAAAATTCTTCACAGACCTTGAAAGGACAATTTTCAGTTTAGTAGGTAAATCCAAAAAACCCAGGATAGGAACTAAAGCTGGTGGCCCACACCTTTAATCCCAGCACTTGGGAGGCAGAGGCAGGAGGATTTCTGAGTTCAGAGTCATCCTGGACCACAAAGAGAGTTTTAGAACAGCCAGGACTACATGGAAAAACCCAAAAAAGTGCAAAAAACAAGATAGCTAACATCTGTATAATAAAGAACTGCTGGAGGCATCACCGTTCCTAATCTCAAAGTGTATTACAAAGCTATAGTAACAAAAACAGCATGGTATTGGCACAAAAAACAGACAGGACAATCAATGGAATCGAATTAAAGACCCAGACAAAAATCCACACACCTATGGACACCTGATTTTTGGCAAAGAAACCAGAAACACACACTAGAAAAATAACAGCATCTTCAACAAATGGTACTGGTCAAACTGGACATTTGTGTGTACAAGAATCCAAATAGATCCATACTTATCACCATGCACAAAACTCAGCTCCAAATGGATCAAAGACCAACATAAAACCAAATACACTGAACCTGATAGAAGAGAAAAAGGAGAGTATCCTTGGACTATTGGCATAGGAGAAGACTTTCTGAACAGAACACTGATAGGATAGGAACTGATGGATAGGAACTAAGATCAACAATTAGTAAAGGGACCTCATTAAACTGAAAAGCTTCCTTAAGGCAAAGGACACTGTCATTTGAAAAAAGTAGCATTCTATAGAATGGAAATAGATTTTTACCAACTACATACTGGGAAGAGGGCTAATATCCAAAATATATAAATAACTCAAGAAACTAGATATCAAGAAAAAAATAGCCCAATTTTAAAAATGGGGTACTGACCTAAACAGAGAATTCTCAATAGAAAAAACTCAAATGGCTGAAAAATGGTATAAAAAATATTCAACATCCTTAGAGAAATGCTAATCAAAAAGACTCTGAGAGTCCATCTTACACCTGTCAGAATGGCTAAGATCGACAAATCAAGCGATAGCTCTTGCTGGAGAGAATGTGGAATAAGAACACACTCATCCATTGTTGGTGGGAGTGCAAAGTTGTACAGCTGCTGTGGAAATCAATCTGCCTCATATACCCAAAGGATGTTTCGTCCTACCACAGAGACATTTGCTCAACCATGTTCATTGTTCCTCTATTCATAATCACCAGAATTAGAAACAACATAGATGTTCCTCAACAGAAGAACGGGTAAATAAAATATGGTACATTTTGCACAATGGAGTATTACTCAGCTGTCAAAACAAAATGACACCATGAAATTTGCAAGCAAATGGCTGAAACTAGAAAAAAAAAAATCATCCTGAGTGAGGTATTCCAGACCCAGAAAAACCAATATGGTATGTATTCGCTTATATGTAGATATTAGCTGTTAAGTCAATGATGACGAAGCTATAATCCATAGGGTAGGCATAGAGTAAGGAGCTAAAAGAAACAGATTTCATTAGAAAAGTGGAATGGAATAGATATGGATGGGAGGCTGGAATGGGAGGATCAGGTGTGGAGGGGGAGTAGAGGAGGGGCTGTTGAGGGAATACAGGGAGAGGCAGCTAAAATAAATGAAAATAAAACGTTTTTAAAAAAAGAAAGAAATGTTCACAGGCGAGGGTCTGTGAGTGGTAGGTTAGAGAAACCCCAATGTGGAACAGAACGGAATCAAGTATGGCATCTACCTGTTTGCTACCTGTTTGCACATGCTTTTAATCCTAGCACCTGGGAGGCAGAGGCAGGCGGATCTCTGTGAGGTCGAGGGCAGCCTGATCTACAGGGCAAGTTCCAGGACAGGCTCCAAAACAATACAGAGAAACCCTGTCTCAAAAAAAAAAAAAAAAAAAAAAAAAAAAAACAGAAACTCTTTCCTGGAGTTCAGACGACAGTGACTGTCCCAGGTGCTGGTACTGTGACTCCTGTGTGACTGGCTCCATTTACTGAACCAGCCCATGACCCTCAGAGAGGGGGAAAAAACCTAACCAAGGTCACACAGCTCTTCTGGATAGAAGCTGTGCTGGTCTTACACCCTTTCAGCTCCAGACACCAAGCTCTGTCTGCCACTGCCCTCTTTTTCCAGGAAGCATCCAGAAAGCTATAACTCTGTCTTCCCAGGAAATGCCAGGGTCAGACAGAACAACCAACACACATTCACCACTCACTGCAGAATGGTTTTTTCTCAGCTGTGTCGAAGAATGCCTTCATCATCGGAGGATCTTTGTCCAGTAAGTAGTCTTTCCAGTTGTCAGCATAGTAGCCTAAAAACAAGTCAGAAACACCAAGGTGTGTTACATAAACATGGAAGCCACCGAGGACCAGACAACAGTAAGTTTGCAACAACTCTCTCCCACTCCTCCTCCAGCCCCCACTGTGAAGACGAGAAAGGTCACCAGGAACATGGTGCCAATGCCCTTACCTCGTGCTGGCTGTCCCCATCATAAGAACTGAAGAACAGAAGGGCCCTGCTGTGACCTCTCCCTTACTGGCCCACAGGAGCTCGGCAGAGTGGGAAGTGGCACACACTGGCCACACGTTTATTTTCAACATTAAGCCGGGTTGAGGCCCATATTGCAAAGCAATGGGGTCTTGTTTGTTTCATTCTGAACACAGGGCCCAAGGCCTCGGGCCCATAGATTATTCACTCTTCACACCAAGCAATACACATAGTTTTTTTGGTTTTTTGTTGTTGTTGTTGTTGTCTTGTTTTTATAGTGCTAGAAATCATTTCAAAGCCTTGAGCCTTGAGCATACTAGGCAGGCATTCTTCCACCAAGCTGTACCCATAGGCCTTTCGTTTTGCTCTTTATTTTGATACAGAGTCTTGCTAAATTACTCAGGCTAGCCTTGAGCCCACTGTGGTTTTTTGTTTGTTTGTTTGTGTGTTTTAATATTGTTTTGGAGACAGGACCTTGAACTCAGGGTCCTCCTGCCTCAGTATGCCAAATATGGGATTATAGGTCTGCTCTAGAACTAACTGGCCCCACGCCTTTTTTGAGGAACTTAAATTATGGCCACTAAAGGGTACAGGACATGGCTTGGTATGTAACTGTGTCACTGAGTCAGGTGAATGTCTCCCCACAGTCAAAGCCTCTGGGAGACAAGCTTGAATGAGGGCCTCTTTTCGTGTGTCAGGGAAAATCTCTCCTAGCCAACCAATCTTGACGTTCTGACCACCTAGAATATTTCCTCTAACTTCTGACAAATATTGCAGTGGTGTCTAGAGTATCTTTTCCCTCCAGAGCCCAGTATGTGGACACAGGAGGCTGAGTGTAGAGGGGGAAGCATTTATATCTACAACCTACTGGGAGGGATCACTTTGCAAGGCTCAGCCCTGGGCCGGGTTCCTAGCTCACTGTGGACTCACCCAACTCAGCAGAGAGGTCTGTGCGCAGAGTGAAAGCTCCTGTCCTAACAGAAGCAGCCTATGCAAAGCCTGGGGAGGCTTGCAAACCTTCTAGTATCTTCTTTCCCATGACAGACTAGTATGTGCAGGAGTGCTCCAACAACCTCCATGGGGAATCCAATGTAGGTTGGTCTTCTAACACTACGTACATGCTAGCTGTCACTTGTTTTGGCTTTGTTGTGGGGAGTGGGCACTAAGGTTGTTTTTGAAAGAGACAGTTTCTGTGTAGTCCAGTCTAGCCTCAAACTTTCAGTCCTTCCAGCAGATCTGTCATGACTAACGGTAACACTCTATAATCCAAGACTAGAGTAGAGTAGTTCAGAGAACAAGCTGCCCAGGGAAAGTTGGTTCTAATGTTTGGGATGGTAGCACACTCTTGTCATACCTGCCACTCTGGAAGCCCTGGCAAGAAGGTCTCAATTTCAAGGCCAGCCTGAGCTACAGAGTAAGCTCAAACTGACCTAAGCTATAAAGTAAAGCCTTATCTCAAATAATAAATAAAGCTAGTTCGCTAAAACTTTAGGAAATACAAACCGAGATGAATTCTGACATAGTAAAATCACTCTAGCATCTGTAAGAAAACGAACTGTCCATTGGAGATGGGACTTGTTGGACTTACCCAGGAGGGGACAGGACACCATGTGTCCAATGCCACAGCTGACACACTTGCCGTCCCTATAATCCCGATAGGAGTCGCACGGGTAGGCGCTGATGGAACACTTATTTTGCAGGGATGCAATGTACAGGAACACAGACATCTGGTGGTCACACTTGAAGTACTTCATGCCTTGATTGTACAGGGACCAAGAGCAATTGCAGAGTTTACCAGAAACACATCTCTCATTTTACACAAACACCACCACACTTGATCCCAGCTCCCAAATGCCAGGCACCACACAGAGGAAGGCTTCCATGTGCTCAATTCCACTTAATCCTTATGAGAGCCACTGACAGGGATTCGAGGTGGCCAGTGGCAAGGTGGAGGGAGAGTAAAAACCATGAGGGTTATTGTAAGAACAAAGGCAAAACCTGGGGGTGGGGCAGGGGGGCCTGGAGAGGATGCTCAGTGCTTAAGGGAGCTTCCTGCTCTTCCAGAGGATGCCAGCACCCACGATGGCAGCTCACAACTGCCTGTAACTCCAGCTCCAGGGGTCCAACGCCCTCTTCTGGCCTCCACAGGCAATCATGCTGTCATGCACCACACACACACACACACACACACACACACACACACACACACACTTTCAGGTGGGGGAGGAAGTAGCACTGACTGGTGCAGTGTTTGCTTAGTATGTACAAGGCTCTGAGTTCAATCTCTAACGTCACTAAAAGGGAGGGCTGCAGAGACAGCTCAGCAGAGTAGGCAGCTGCTGTGTCAGCTACTCAGGTCCACGTCCTTATTCTCTGACAGTGCTAGCAAAAGGACACCAGAAAGTAAGAATGTCAGCGACCAACATCATTATCCAAAGAGCAGCTGAGGGCTGGCAAGATGGCTGGACAGGCAAAGGCACTGATGGCTTGAGTTCCAGCCCTGGGAGGGTAGGAGGAGAGAACTGACCTCCTCAAGCTATGGTCTAACATCTGACACACATGTGACCACATTCATATATAAAATTGTAGTAAAAATGCAAATTGAGGGGGTAGCATGGAGGTGGGGGGAAGGAAGGGGAGAAGAAGGAGAGGAAACTGGCCAGTATGTAAAATAAATGAAAAAATGTAATAAAAATGTAAATTAGGAGCTGGGCATTGGTGGCACACACCTTTGATCCCAGCACTTGGGAGACAGATGCAGGTGGATCTCTGTGAGTTTGAGGCCAGCCTGGTCTACAAAGTGAGTTCCAGGGCTGCCAGGTCTGTTACACAGAGAAACCCTGTCTGGAAAAACAAAACAACAACAAAAAAGTAAATTAGTCATTAATTACTATTTGCTAATCTATTATTTAAATAGAGCTTGAAACACAAATTTGCCTCAGTCATGAATCTGCCTTATTATTTGTGAATTTTTTTTTAACAGACACAAAATTTGAAATGTAAGGGACATATCCCACTCCAATAACCCTATAGTTACCTAGCCCTCTCAATACAGCTTCTCTGGTTGTTCTGTGTCCAAACTAGCCCCAAGCTCACAATCCTCCTGCCTCCACCTTCCCAGTGCTGGAATCACAAAGGTGTACCATGTGGTAAACTTTTGAGCTTCCAAAAAACTGACCATTCACCATTAAATATCAACATGAGGTCCAATCAAGAACTGCTTCCTGGGTCTAGAGAGGTTGCTCAGTGGTTAGGGCACTTAACTGTTCCTGCTGCTTTTGTACAGGACCTGAGTTTGGTTCCTGACACCCATGGTGATTCACAACTGCCCCTCCAGCACTGTATTTAAAATTCCTCCGTTTATAATGTCCTTTGTTGGTCACTATGAGTCTCCTGAGTGGCAGGAAAGGCCAATGAGACTCCATCTTCCCTGACAGACTGGTGGCAGTTGGGGGTATTGGGGCAGGTGTCATTTTCTTCTGTGGAACTGTCTTTGCTCCTGTAAATAACCCCCACCCACACTCCAGGCAAGAAACACTAATTAACGCAGTGGGTGGCACATGCAATCAAGAAAGGAAAACAGGAATTAAGAGCAATTCTTACATGAATGGGAAGGATATGAGAAAGAGGAATCGGGGTGAAAGTGAACATTTTAATCATATAACTGGATGAAGCTGTCAAACAATGTTTAAAAATTAAAAGTAAACTTGATGAAACTATTACTGTGTTGGATTGAGGTAACCTAAAGCTATGCTTCTAGGCTATGCTCATTGTATTTGGCTTCAGAATAAACCATTGTTATGAGTGAGAGCTGAGTTATTGCATGGACAAGGGATGCTATGAGTTTGAGGCCAGCCAGGTATATAGTAAGCACCAGGTCTGTCAGGGCAGCCAGGACCACAGAGCCAGCCAAGTCCCTGTCAAAGAAAGAAACAAAGGAGTGGGGAGAGGAGAGGGGTGGGCTGGAGAGCTGACTCAATGAAAGGGAAAAGATAACTATTGCTCCTCCAGAGGACCCAAGTTCAGTTCCCAGCACTCACAACAGGCAGCTCTCAACTGTCTCAGGGACCTGCTCCTATGTGCACTCACACACACACACACACACACACACACACACACACACACACACACACACACACGATAATTATTGTGGGATTTTTGTTTGTTTGCTTGCTTTAAGATAGAAGGGTCCCCTTGGGAAGGGGAAATTGAAGAGATCTTGTGAGTGGTCTGGGGGTGGTGGAGATAGAAACATGAGGGATCTCATTGAGGGATGGATGGAGGGGGAGAGTACTGAAAGAGATGGCTACAGGGGTAGAAATCTGGTACAAGGGAAACTCCTGGGAATCTACAATAACCGCAGCTAAGCAGCAGGGGATCTGGAGCCTGACCTGTCATCTCCTGTGACCAGTCGAGACTTCCAATGGACCCCAACCCAGTCACATAACCTTTGACCTGCAGTCTGCCCTGCCTGTGTGATGTGCTGTGGTAAGGGTGGCACACTCCTAACACTGCCTGGAGCACCAGGACCCAAAGGCTGTATAGCCCATAGACCTAGGATAGAACCAAACACAACCAGAGAGGTGGGAAATGCCAATGTAATGATTCCCAATAATATTCTGCTATACTCATATAGATTGGTGACTACCCCAATTGTCATCAGAGAGCCTTCATCCAGGAACTGATGGAAACAGATGCAGAGACCCACAGCCAAGCACTGGGCCAAGCTGGGGGAAATTCACTGAAGGATAGAGGAAAGATTGTAGGAGTCAGAGGGGTCAAAGACATCAAACCCACAGAAACAACTAATCTGGGCTCATAGGAGCTCACAGAGACTGAACCAACAAACCAGAAGCCTTCATGGAACCAACCTAGACCCTCTCTACAGATATGTGACAGTTGTGTAGCTTGGTCTATTTATGGGACTCCTAACAGTGAGTGCATTGACTGCCTCTAACACTTAGGCTGGCTTTTGGAACCCTACTTCTCATCCTGGATTGCCTTGCCCAGCCTTAATACCAGGGGAGGTGCCTAGTCGTACTGCAACTTGATATGTCATGTTGTTGATACCCATGGGAGGCCTGCCCTTTTCTGAACAGAAACGGAGGGTGAGGGGGCCTCTAGGATAGGGAATGGAAGGAAAGGAGGAGGAGAAAACTTCAGTCAGGATGTAAAATAAATTTACAAAAGCAAAACAAGGTAATAAACTCCTAGACCAGGCTCACAAAACAGTATGGATGTCTCCTGAGAAGTGATATCTAATGAGGATCTCTGGCCTGCAAATGCACACACCCAAATGGAAAGCAGGAAGAAGAAAGGCCTTGGGGAAATTGGGCACCGGAGAATGACTCCAAGGACAGCTTTGTAAGAGAGGCCTGGGGAAGCAGCAGGGCGGACAAAGTGGGGATGGACAAAATGGCTCTCTAATGGTCTGGCCGTCTGAGTAAGAATGTCCCCATTAGCTCATATATTCCCTTAGTCACCAGAGAGTGGCACTATTTGAAAGTATTTAAAGGATGAAGAGGTGTTCCCTTCATGGACCCTAGACTGAAATTCAGATCTAACTAAGCATTAATCTCTCAGCAGCCAAACTGTTGTCAAGTTCCAAGTTCACTGTAAAAATGAGTGAGCTGTTGTTGAGTACAACCCAGGGCCACCAACATTTTTGAGAATTCAGGGGGACAGATGAAAAGGATATACAGACTGAGCTGACTCTTAATACTGGTGTGAGTCTGGCTGTCTCATACATTGTCCATTTATTCACCCACTCATTCGCTCCCTCAACAGGTACTCTGAGCATTTATTCTCTGCCACTACAGTGGGAACTGAGGATATGCCAGAGAACAGAATGGTGAAGCTAAAAAAAAAAAAAAAAAAAAAAAAAAAGGTGTGTCCGTATTGGAGGAAGTGCATCACTGGGGGTGGACCCTGAGGTTTCAAAAGCCCACAGCAAGCCCAGCCCACAGTCTGTCTCTCTCTTTCTGTCTGGCTCTCTGGCTCCCTCTACCTATGGATCAGGATACAGCTTTTCCAGCACCATGCCTAGCTGCCGTTATGCTCCCTGCCGTGAAGATAATAGACTACACCTCTGACACTGCCCCCCATGAAAGAAATGCTTTCCTTTATAAGACTCGCCTTGGTCAAGGTGTCTCTTCACAGTAATAGACAGGAGTGTGTGGAAGTTAAGTCTAGCTCATCTGTCACAGTAAGTAGGGAAATGTGTAGCGTAGGAGTCAACAAAGATAACAAGAAGAGTCTCTGGCACTGAGGGCCAGCGAGAGCTACTAAGCTCTCCTAGACTTAGTTCAATAGGTCTTGGGACGTCTCCAGGTGGCTGGGTTCTGTTTCTGCCACCAGGGTGAATGGAGAAGGACTGAATGACTGATTTCCGGGAGAGTCATAAATGGCAGGAGTAGTCAGAGGTAACACTCTTTCTCATGAGGAATGTTATGGTGCAGCGGGAAGCTGGTGACGGGCAGAGTTGGGGATCAGAAGAACTGGAGGTGATGGGGAGGTGTGGTGTGCTTCCAAAAAGAACTGATCCCCAAGGTGGGTAATAAATAAGATCAGGTCTAAATAGGAAGCAGTAAACCAAGGCAAAAAGCACTGTGGTTGTGGGGTGGGCACAGAGTGCTGCAACTAACTACACCCATGCTTCTGTTTCCAGTGTTCAGTTCAGCTCACACAGGAGACCGCGAAGGACGAACGGGACAAGAGGAAGAAGCATGAGGCACCTGCACCACACTGGACTGAGGTAACACCTGGCAGGCCAGCTGGCCTTACTGTTCCTAGGACTTCCTCTAGCAGACACTGTGGTGTGGGTAACAATGCAGGGATACATGTGATCGCTCTGTCACTCGCACAGGACAGGATTCGGATGCTCGGTTGTATGGTTAAGCCCACTTACATCACTTCAGCTGGATCATTTTCAAACACTTTGTTATTCCAATGTGGCCATATACCATTGCCATTTTGTACAAGTCATCTCTAGCTTTTTTCTAATGTGTGAATGTAGTATGTTAGTGTGTGTGCACATGGGGGTGAGCACATACCAATGTGTGCAGGCTCCTGGAGGCCAGAGGAGGACAGCAGGGGTTCTGCTCTACCATTCTTCACCTATTCCTTTGAGGAGACAGAGTCTCTTGCTGAATATGGCCCTAGGCTGGCATCCAGAAAGCCTCAGTGGTCCTCCTGCCTCTGCCTTGCACAACTTTCATGTGGGTGTTGGCATCTGAGCTCAGGCTCTTGTGTGTGGGCAGGAAGCCTGCTTCCCCAAGCCAGCTCTCCAGCCCCCAGGGCATCCGTGTTCTAAAAGCTTTCCAAGATGACTTTCCTCTCTCTAGCAGTGGTGAGGAATAAGTCAGAGCACTTAGCAGGGGCGGGATCCTAACTGTGCCCTTCATCTCACCCTCTCGGCTGCCCTCCAACTTCCTGTTTTGTGATATGCATCTCTGCCACCTCTATTTTTTCAGGCAGTCTGTTTTCTATTTACAATGCCCACTGATAGCAGGTAATTTATTGATTGGTTTTTGTTTTGGGTTGTTTCTGAGACAGGGCCTCACGGTTGTGCGTGAACACTCCTGACCCTCCTGCCTCCACCTCCCTGGTGCTGGTGTTACAGGTGTGTATCATCACACCTGCTAGTATCAGATATTTTAATATGTATGCCTTTCCAAATTACGGTCTTGCAGAGGATAACATATGACACTTACCTCCAAATATTGTCTTTGGACAACCCGGTTGATCCAGTCCTCCATTCGGGTAGAAGTCTATGTTTCCTAGTGGTTCCTTGTAGCCCAGCGCTAAAAGAGAACACACAAGGCTTGCACAGGGACCTGCACATCCTGAAGTTCACCTGCCCTCAGGGTGAGGCAGGTACTGTTTTTGGTTGTTGTCATGGCCCTTATACCTATTTAAAGGTCTTGCCCAAAGCTGTCAGCTAGATTGTTAGAATGTACATGCCAATGCAAGTAAATCTCATTAGCATGTACATCAGTGCTGGGTGAGCACAAAAATAGTGGAAGAATGGAATCTGGCTGTTTCTACAGACAGGCTGGGCACTGGCTGCTCTTGCTGAGAAGCCGGGCTGAGTTCACAGCACCTACTCCCTCTGGTGGTTGTACGGTAACCCCAGTCTCAGGGGATCTGACATCTTTTTCTGGCCTCTGTGGGCACCAGGTACACACATGGTGCACAGACATTCATGCAGTCAAGACACCCATATACATAAAAATAAAAAAGCAAAACTTAAAATTTGGGACCTGAGCCAGGTATGGTGGCTCATGGTTGTAATACCAGCACTTAGGAGGCATAGGCAGGGGGATTGCTATGAGCTTAAAGCCAGCTTGGGCTAAAGAGTGAAAACCTACTTCAAACAAACAGACAGGGATCTAGGACAATAAAAAAGATTGGAAATACTTTTAAAAATAGGTACCTAGTTAGTCGTTGATCTCATTATCAGGGAAGGGCATTCATAGGGAGGGAGGAAAAGAGGGAGGGAGAAAAGGAGGGAGAGGGAACTGGGATTGATATGTAAAATAATAAAATAAAATTAAAAAAATGGATGCCTAGAAATGTAATAACTTCATTTTCTCTAGCCATATAAACCCCAAAATAATTAGAAAAGGTTTTATTAAAGCATTAACAGAGAACCAGGTGTGGTGATGCACACATGTAATCCAGCAACCACGGAGCTAAGACAAAAAGATTGACAGTTTATAGCCAGTGTGGGCTGCATAGTGGCAGGCCAGCCTGGGATACACAGCAGGAGACTCAGAAAAAAATAAATGTTTATATACACATATCTATATGCAGATGCCATATGCAGCATATTGCAGTAATCGTGATATAGTTTTCATATTTTGAGACTCCGTGTGTCAGCTGAGCATTCTGCACACCCTTCCCACTTCCACAAGGTCTGCACCACAGCTGCGGGGAAGTCAGAGGAAGCAACTCTGATGAAGGGCAGAGGCAGGTAGGCTTCAGGGTGTGCTCAGCATCACTAGAAAGAGCAAAACTTAGGGTCTCCTCACTGTAAAACAAAATTCACTTCTCAAGAATAAAAAGCAAGCTGGGCGGTGGTGGTACATGCCTTCAATCCCAGCACTCGGGAAGCAGAGGCAGGAAGAGCTCTGTGAGTTCGAGGCCCGGCTAGTCCAAAACAGACAGAGCTATATAGAGAAACCCTGTCTCAGAAAACCCAAAAACAAATAAACAAACAAACAAATAAATAAATAAATAGTGAATTGTTTCCTTCTGTCTATCTCAGAATGGCACTGAAGGTTCCACCTGAGCAAGGAACTACTTTGCAAATGTCACGCTGATAATGTAGCTGTCCACAGAAAGAAATTTTCCCCAAGATGAAGTTACTGATTGTCACACAGGAGTGCCCATGATACAGGGTCAGGGGTAATATTAAAAAACAAAAACTGTTTCGTAGTGTCTGTGTGTTTGGTGTGCATGTGCCAGCTTGAATTTGGAGGTTGGAAGACAACCTCTAGGGATAAGGCCGCTCCCTTGCATCAGATGGGTTCCAGCCAGGCTCAGTGGCAACAAGCACCCTTACTGACTGAGCCATCTCACAGGCCCTTTGCTGGTTTGTTGGTCTTTGTTTCTTGGTGCTGGGGAATGCTATACAAACGCCATCAGTGAGCTCCTCCTTGGCCCTGGGTCCCTGGTTTGTCAGCTAGTTGTATTATAAAAGTACAATTAAATGAGCACTCTGCTCTGTTCCATCCCTCTTCCCCAAGTTCCCAGGTGGCTCCTCCCTGGAACATTTGTATACAGCGGTATCTACCCATTTTATTCTTTTCAGACACAGTCTCGCTATGTAGCCTTGGCACCCAACCATGAACATCACCCTAAGCCACACCAGCATGTGCCAAATAGCAGATAGGAATCTGGCATGTCGAGAGACGGAAATGACCTGGAAGAGCTAGGAAGAGCCAGGAGTGGTGCAGAGGTGCCCTGGATGGGAAGACACAGCACTCTCAGCACGGGGAGATAATAGTCAGGCCACCCTGGAAACTGCATCTGAAGCCAGCTGTCTATGTGTAGACAAACCACCCTGTTCTTGATGGGACTTGATGATCACTTTGGAAAACACGAGGTGAAATGAGGGGAAATCATGCCTGCTTCATTGTCAGGTCCTGAGCCTAGGTCGCGGTTAGTGCCGCTGGGCCCCTTTACACTGGGGAAAAGAGCGTCAGGGGGCCGGCAGAGGACACTGTGGATCTTGGAGCCACTAATACAGAATGGAGTGTTACCGTCAGTGTCTGAGTGGATGACGTCGACGAACTGTGCATCGCTGGGATCTAATCTGTCCTCAGGTGGTTTCCCGTTAAACAAAGGGCCCGCAGGGTCAAGACCTAGAAGAAAAACATCAGCTTGGCAGCCCCACGCCATGAATCACTGAAGCCGTCTTTGATCCCTCCCGGAGAGGATGGCTCACAGGCTGCAGGGTGGCTTGGGTGAGTAATCGCTAACATCTTGTCCTGCAGTCAGAACACCATCCACAGTGGGTAGCTTTTTCTCACAGTGTGGATGGTTAGTCTGGCAGTCACTCTTAAGGACAGCAAGCAGGCTGCATGAAGAGGCCAAGCTAGGGAGAGCCCCACAGGTGAGCTCAGGAGGGTAGGAAGGCTCCTCGGCAAAAATGGTCAGAATGTGAAAGAGGGTAGCTCTGAGAATTAAACCCTTATGCACAAAGCAACACCCATCTACATCCCCAGCCCTTGGTTTTCAGACAAAGTCCTATCATATAGCCCAGATTGTCGTGAATTAGCTATGCAGCCCAGTCTGACCTCTAACGGATACCCTATCGTCTGCCTCCATCTCCTGTGTGCCTGTATTAAAAGCATTCATTACTCTCTGGTCATCCCCATTTTAGGGGTTTCAGAAACCCTACTCAGCTCCATCTTCCTTCATTTACTGACTCATTTGAACCACATCACAAAACCAGGAGGCAGCAGGTGGCGGGTGTGATCCCATTCAAGCATCCTGGCTTGAGACCTGCCCCAGAGTACAGCCCCCTCCATCTGCCTGCTCATGGTCTGTCTCTCAGCACCAAGCTGAGAAGAGTGTGTCACAGTACAGATGAGGCCGGTCAAATGCATCCCATTATGCCTGAACTGAGTTCTTGGTCTTGGTCAGTGTTACCTGGGTTTCATTACCACAGCAATGAAATGCCTAGAAAGTCAGGGGAGCCACACTTGCGATTCTAGAACCACAAAATGAGAAATTAACAGAGTGTGACAAAGGCCCCACTTACAAATGTCTGTGCCAAAGAGGGTCTCAAGGGTGTCTTCCTTGGAAGTTTAACCCTTAAGTGTCATTTTGTGTTTAAATTCACTTTATTCTTGTTTCAGGTGCTGGAGAGGGAAGCTAGGACCTCATGCTTGCTAAGCATGTCTTCTACTACACAGCCACTCTCTGCGGGTGTCACTTTGAGGACATCTCCCTTTCCCCCATGTTCCACACACAATCTAAGAGACAGCATCTTTGCTTCTGTTTCTTGTTTTCTTCTCTCCTGATGTCATTATGGTCCCTTGAAACATGTCTTCATCTACCTCCCTCCTTCCCTTCCTTACTCCTCCACCCCCAGCCTCCTTCTTCTGTCCTCTCCAACTGAAACTGGTGTGGGAGGGTATGAGGTAACACCCAGTCACTCAAGGCCAACAGGTGACCTCAATGCAACAGGTCTTAACACAGTAGGAGAAAAACTCCACAGCCTTGGAAAGAATTTACCCCACCAGTCAGCACCAACTTCTTCCTGCCCAAAACAGAGTGAGCACTCTAGCCTGGATCCTCCCATAGATAAAACATTTAGCTGGGAGTATTGAGAGGGGTAGGGGTGTTAGCCACACACAGGGACTTACATCATGGAGGGAAGATTATGGTCCTGAACTTGAATCCATATTTGTTATTAAAAGTTTCTAGCAGTCATCTAAAATTTGTGTTACATACATGTATATATTAGCCAGTGTGTGTATGTGCATGTGGAGTCCAGAGGCTGACACTGGTTTCTTCCTCCACCACCCCCCAACCTTACGTATTAATGTAGCATCTCACACTTGAACCTGATCTAGTCCAGCTTGCTCCAAGGATCCTTTCTCTGCCACCCAATGCTGGGATTACAGGAAAGCCACCACTCCTGGCATTTATGTCAGTGCTGGGGATCTAAAGTCTGGTCTTCACACTTGCTTGGCAAGTGCTTTTATCGGCTGAGCCGTCGCCCAAACTAAAATGTTTTTTTAAAACAAATGGGAACTTGATTTTAAGAATATGAGGGGGGCTGAAGAGATGGCTTGGTGGCTAGGACTACAGGAGAGCTAAAGAGACACCTCAGCAGAATGCTGCTCTTCTAGAGGGCCCAGGTTCAGCTCCCAGCACACAACCAGGGGATCTGATGCCCTCTGCAGGCACCTGCAGGTACATGGCACTGGTACACACACAAGGTAATACTAAATCATTCATTTATTTACAAAAATAATATAAGGCCAGGGATATAGCTCAGATCATAGAGTGCTTATCTTACATGCAGTGATGCCCTGGGTTCAATTCCCAGCACGAAAAAAATATTAAATTTAAAAATTTACACTTTAGCTGGGTGTGGTGGTATATGCCTTTAATCCCAAACATGTGAGGTAGACGCAAGTGGATCTCTCTGAGTTTGAGGCTAGATTAGTCTACAGAATGAGTTCCAAGATACCCAAGGCTACACAGAGAAACCCTATCTTGAAAAACTGAAAAAGAAAAAAAAATTAAACCAGACTTGAGAGGCCAAGACAAGAATATGTCAGCCTCAAGGCTAGCTTGGGGAACAAGTGAGCTCAAAACTAGGCTGGGCTACAGAGACATATCCTCTCTCAAGAAGACAAAAATGGGCATTGATGGCTCAGTGGGTAAAGGCATGTGCCACCAAGCTAGGTAGCCTGAATTCAACTCTAGGACATATGCAATGTAAGGAGACCTGACTCTCTAAATTGTACTCTAAATTGTATGTGCGTGCTGTACCACACCTACACACCCACACACATATATATAAATAAAATATATAGAATACAAAAAACAAATATTTTATATGCTTATAATTAAAATCAGTTAATATTTTAATTAAATATAATAATAAATTAAATATTCAATTATTTTAACTACATAATAGAAAATATTATTTAAAAATTAAAAATAATAGACCAAACAAAATCAAGCAGGTATGGTAGGTAGATCATGCTTGGAACCCCAGCACTCAGGAGACTGTGGAAGGAGGATTGCCATGAACTTAAGGCCAGCCTGAGCTTAGTCTAAGTTTCTAGGCCAGCATGGGCTGCAGAGAGAAACCCTTGTGGGTGCCCATAAAGATGGCTGCACTCTATCTTGGCACAAGGACAGAGAGTTCAAACTGTTCTCAGCAAGTCATAAGACCTAAAGGTCAAAGGTGTGGCTACAGAAGGATGTTTGGCTGTCTTAGTCTAAACAATAGACCTGGATCTGAGGTATGGCTACTCCTGACCTCAAAGCTAGGGAAGGAGAAGTTGGATCTGAGGCTACTCCTGACCTCAAGGGTAGGGATCAAGAAGTTGGAGCTAAGGTGTGGTTACTGAACCCTTAGAATAAGTGAGAAAGAAAAGTCTGTTTGTTCCATATACATGCTACTGTGTTCCCCTTTTGGATAAGGTATATAAGAGTAGTGAAAAATAAACTCGTGGCATTTCAGTATTGGCTGATCTGCCCTCCTGACTTTTATTCTGTCTCTCTGTCTTTTCTTTATCATCTATAGCTAGCCTTTCCTTTATCCACATCCCCCTACCCCAGGCCGCTCAGCTGGTTCTGATCGCAGCCCCACAAAGACAGCTCCCAACAAACCCTGTCTCAACAGAAAAAAAAAAAAAAAAACAGAAATAATGTATCTTGCTTAACCCAGTATAACTAAAAATTGCCATGTCAATATAATCAATATTAAATGTGAGATTTGTTTTGCTTTGTTTTTGTTTTTGTTTTTGTTTTTTTTCTGAACTTCAGTCTTCAAAAGCCAGTGCATAGTCTGCACCTATAGCCCATCTCAGGCTGCATTTCAAGTGTCCAGTGACTACATATAGCTAATGGCTACCATATTGTTTCTCGAAGGGTAGTGGTCAGACCACCTGCAGGTAGAAAATATAGACTCCTGATCTTGGAAGCAACTCACGCCAGAGCCTGGGCCTGGCATACATAAGACTCAGGATTCATCCCAGCACTAAATGTATGAATGCATGAATCCAATGAGAAGTGAAACATAGAAATATCCCTGGAGAAGAGGAGCATTAGAAAAGAAAATGACAAAGACAGCAGGGTGAAGGGCCAGGCAGAGGCCAGGCTGACCTATCATTGTCTCAGGAAATAATGGTGACTTGTGTCCTTGGGTGACAGATCACATTCCTACCCTGTGACCCAGTGAGCTCACCTAAGCAAGGATACTGGGACAGGAGAATTCTGAGACAGCTGAGAATAAACCTGAGGCCCAGAGGTGACGATGAAAGGATGAAAAATGCAGCCTAACTCTCCAATGACCCCAGGAAGCTAGACGTTTAGAAATACTATCTAAAAAGCCCTAAAGACTTCAAATTCCAGACCCTGTCCTCTGCCAGTAAATAGGCAAAGGGTCTCATTTCTTGCTGTTTACAGCGGGCCCTTGAGTACATAATCCTGGCCTAGTAAGAAAACAGGAAATGAGCTGACTAACCGCTTATCTGACTTCGGTAAACTGCTGGTGAAACCCCCACCCCAGTGACCTATCCTAACTGCCATTTGTCACCCCACCAAGGAGCCCATACAAATGCAGACCTCCTGGGCTATAGAAAACTCACTGGTCTATAAAGTGTGGGCTTGGATGATTTAAAATGATTGGTCTAAAAACTATAAAATGGTTTAAATTGATTGGTCCGCATCGCGCAAGCTCTTGATGCTGATGCTATGGCATGATTGCTTTACTATGTGCGGGCTTAGTTGTAACCCTATAAAAGCTGTCTCAATTCTGTACTGGGGTCCTCAGTCCTCTACCCCTGCGTGGCCAGAGCGCTTGGAATAAAAGTCCTCTTGCTGTTTGCATCAAGACCGCTTCTCGTGAGTGATTGGGGTGTCGCCTTTCCTGAGTCGGAGTGTGAAGGTCCACACTCTGCGGGTCTTTCAATGAGAACTGGGGACGTCATGGAGGTAGAAAATTGACTTGTGGGCCAGAAGTTGAGTCTAGGTCTCAGGGCCGGTCACATAATCTGAGGCTAGGTCGAGAGGGTGTGTGTGTCAAGAGGCAAGGAGAGATCACGGTGCTTGGGTAGAATGAAACACTTGGCTGAAGGTAGATTTGGCCCATTTCTTCCTAGCTCTGTGATCAGTGACATCAAGTTGGCAGTCTGAGATTAGTCACTACCAAGGAAATCAGCACAGAAACCAGCAATTGCTATAAGCCAACAACACAGCATTGGAAAGAAACAGTCCCATGAGGACTCTCTCTCTTTCTCTCTCTCTCTCTCTCTCTCTCTCTCTCTCTCTCTCTCTCTCTCTCTCCCCACCTTTCTATCTCTCCCTTTCTATCTAAGACTCTCCCTCTCGTAAAGAGACATTGTTTTTTAAAATATAATGACAATACATTCTGAACTTTTTTTTGACTTTTGAAACTACTTTTTTCCCTAGGAAAGTGTGTAAATTAGGCTTGGCCTTTGGGAAAAGTGAGGGGAAAAAAACATCCAGAACAAACTTTGGGAAGCAATGCCAGCCAGCCAATGGGGGTGGTGAGGTTAACCCCCCTCCAAATATATGTTTTGAGTCATTTACATTTCCTCTTCTCCCATACACATCTGTGTTACAGATGGCCCACATTTAAAACTGGCATAAGGATGTTTCCTGTAAAAGGTGAATGGTAAGTTCCTCCTAGCTGAGGTGGCCCTCAGCCCTGTAAGTAGCTGTGGAAAATTCCTAAACTCCAGGCAAGAGGTCCAGAAAGGGAGTCTTTGTCCTTTAGGGCTTGACCTGCTGCAATTCGGGGTGTTTTCATTCCAAATTCGCTAGAAAGCTGCTATATAGACAGTCAGGTCCAGCTGACGAATTTCCCTTCTCCTTTCCCTTCCATGAGTCTCCAGGCTCGCCTGGTGAGTTCTAGCTGTGTACTCGAGGCCACCAGAATTAACCCAAGGGAAGGCAGCTCTCTGGGCAGAGATCAAATCCCCATGGGATACTGGGGTAGGAGAGGTGTTACCACATGAGAAATAAAGTGAGAACCAAGCTTTTTTGTGATATACACAATGTGCAAAATGTGCTACATATATGTTATTAAGTCATAGGCTGAGGTTAAGTATTATCTGGACCCTTTCACATGAGAGGATCCACACTCAGAGGTTCACTATCCAGGAGAGCTTGTTTCAAACTCAAAGAGTAAGTTGTCTGTTCTCTGGAGAACAGCCGCCCAGGCGAGACCCTGGTCACTGATGTCAATCTTACCTGTGATTCTCCCTAGCTTCCCAGCATACATTTCTCCAACAAATCCAGCTATGTGTGCTCCTAGACTCACTCCAATCATATAAATGTCGTCCAGAGATGCTCCTTTGGCCTAGAATTCCATGAACAAATTGTGAGAGTTCAAAGAGTTGACCACGCCTGCAGACATTTCCTGGCTGTGTACTTTGGAGGAATAGTCTTAAGTACTTTGTTATCTATTGTTTCACTGGGCTTCTTTGTGGGTGGACATGCATGCACATCATACTATGTGTGGAGTCCAGAGGTCAAAAAGTCATGTGTTGGGCTACAGAGATGGTTCAGTGGTTGAGAACATGTGTTGCTCTTGCAGAGGAGCCAGGTTTGATTCTCAGCACCCAAACTGCAGCTCACAACTGTATGTAACTCAGTTCCAGGTATCTGATGCCTCCTGACTTCTTTAGGCACCAGACATACACATACATATGTGTGTGTGTGTGTGTGTGTGTGTGTGTGTGTGTGTGTGTGTATATATATGTATATACACACACACATATATACATATATGTATATACACACATTTATTCTTTTTTTAAAAAAATAAATAAATCTTCCCTTTTTAAGTTAGATGTCTCCTTCAGTTTCTCCCCACCTTAATTTTCGAGGCAGGAGCTCTCATTGAACCTGGAGTTAGCTGACTTGGTTAGACTAGCCATTAAGCCTTAGGGATTCTCCTCTTTCCCCTTCCCAGGGTCTGGGATTACAGGCATGCACAGTGCACTACTGTGCCCAGATTTTTCATATAGGTTCTGGGGGTTCAGGTCTTCATATTTGCATACCAAGTTTTTAGCAACTGAGCTAACTCCTTAACTCCTATAGTCTCATTTAAATGTCACAAGAGGGCTGGAGAGTGGCTCAGTGGTGGAGTATTTGCCTCATACGGTATAAGCTTTAGGTTCAATCCCCCGCATGGCAGAAAAAGAATGATTATTACAGCATCCTGCAATGTCCATTCTGCTACTTCAGTACACAAATGAGAAAGCTGAAGACCAGAGTTGAAGTCATTTGGCCTGAGTAAAGCAGTTGGTGGGGGGATGGGGAGTGTGCGGCAGGATTCAAACCAATCTAACCCTAAATGTGTGTCTTTCAGTGTCCTCATCCATTCCTGACTCTGCTGGTCATCAAGCAGGGACATCTTTAGGGATTCCAGATTGGAGAGGGGATGATAATGCATTTTGATGAACTCCTTATGGAGTCACCTTCTCAGGGAAAGAAAGGGAAGGGGAAGGGAGACAGAGGCAGGCAGATCTCTAAGTTCAAGGCCAGCCTGGTCTACAGAGTGAGTTCCAGGACAGGCAGGGCTACATAGAGAAATTCTGTCTCAAAAAAAACCAAAAACAGAAAAAGAAAAGTGTGGGGGGTGGAGGCCGCTCATGAGACCCTCACGGATGACAGCTAAGGCCCTGCCTCGGGAGGTCTTCTTACGTTGACTGTCGCTGGGCTACATGCTTTCATTGCAGTTTATAATAATCCAGACATGAGTCTCTTGGCTATGGAGGTCCAGGCATTTAAGCCAAGAATTCTGGGCAGAGCCTCTCCTACTCAAAGACACCTTCATGGTAGCTGCAAGACGAAGTTCCTTTCACAAGACTTTTTGCCATCATCTATGGAAGTTTGTGTGGGCATAAAATCCTCAACCCTTACAATGATTTTGCTCCATACCCCTTCCTTGTGAGGTAGACACACCCCCTCCCTGGGTTAATTCAGATTTGTACAATGTTAGAAAAAAAAGCCCCCCACCATCCAAACAGGTGATGCCTCATGGCTTTATGCTTCCAAAAAAGCAGTCAGAGCCATAAAAGAGGAATCTATCTTACCAACATCTGATCGATAAATTCCTTCAAAATAAGAGCCACTTTTTTGGTCTTGCCAGAGGCATGGGTGTATATCACGGTCGTCGCTCCTCGATTCCAGTCAACAACCACTACGTTCATCTCCTGTACATTGAGCAAACTCTGCACCAACTCCTCCATCCACACTGGAGGGGAGCCTGTCGGCCGGAAGCCGTGGATAACAAAGGTGGTTTTCTTGGTCACATTTAAGTTCCCCAGAGCTGTGGAGTTGATGAGTTGTGCACAGGTTTGGTTTCTCTGTGTGTAGAGCATCAGTCTCACATTTAGCCCTGTGCCAACCACGGCACTGTGGAAGCTCAGTCTGGTGAAGGATGGGCATGTTTCATCTGTATCTGAAAGTGAGAATTAGACTGCATCACGCAATGCCTCCTAAGCAGGGTACCACTCCCTGGTGCTCTTACATTCCTCATAGCACCTTGCAAGAGCCTAGATCTACCTACATGAAGTGGAAAAGTCCTACTTGATCCAGTGTCTAAGCCATGATCCCTGGTTTCTTCAGACACTCTTCTTTCAAGGTCAAAACCACAAGTTAGCTCAATGAAGGCTTCTGCAACCCTCCTAGCCATAAGATATCCTCACTCCCCAACTCCCTAAGCACCTGTGTGTGCCTCACAGCACTTCACATCTCTTTCCGGATGTATTCTGGGTGTTGTGGATGGTCGTGTCTGTCCTTTGAGACCCCGTTCTCCTTAAATGGTAATTTCTAACCTGTGTGTCCTCAGGGAGACGGAGCACAGCAGAAGAGTCATCGACTGAGTCTCCATGGTCTCTTGTGCCCCACCTTCAGCTGGGACAGTGGTGTGTGCCCTACCCTGAGCACTTGAGACTGCAGGCCATGACAGCTAATGCTGGGCCCTTTTCTTCTGAGCAACTCAAGCTCTTAATGTCTGAACTTAATGTGAAATCCAGGCTTGCTTCAGACTTACTACGTAGCCCAATGTGGCCTCAATTTTACAGTCCTTCTATCTCACCCTCCTAAGTACCTAGGATTGTAGCTGTGCCCTACCATGCCTGGCCTGGAGCATCTCACTGGGAATGTCACTCAGTGGGAAAGTGCTTGAAGCCTGCTGTCTTGCAGTCTCTAGGGAGTGGTTAGTAACAATACCGTGGAGGAACTGGGCAAGGCCTGGCTTAGTCACCACTCCATGGTACTACAAAAGGGCGGGTAAAGTTTATGTGCCTGTAAGGACAGAGGGTGGATAGGCCACAGTGTCACTCTTCCAGTGCTGACACTGGACCTGGAACCCAACTGTGACAGGGAAACTGATAAATATAAAATGAGAAACATGATCTGTCTTCCTGACAAAAGATCGCCATAAGAAATTGAGTAGGAGGGCTGTGGGAATGTTCTGGATTATAGGAGACCAGAGACAGAATAAATTAGTGCATTCCCTTGCCCTGGGGTAGGTCTTGTGGTAGAAGGAAAAATGCAATAAAATAAACTAAGTAAGTTGGAAATTTGGTTATCTAGACAATCAGGAAACTGTGGCTCCAGTTTTCAATTCATGGAGATAGATAATCAACCTGCGGTTATTGTGGGCTTTGAAAGAGAATGGCTTCCGTAGGCTCATATATTTGAATGCTTAGTCGCTGGGGAGTGACACTTGGAATTTAGCAGGGTCACTGTAGACTCTTGGGTAGACAGTAGAGTGGATAGTGGTTTTCTAGTTTGACCGTGAAAAATCATTGTGGAAAACAGTAAAGAATCTTTGTGAAAAACAGTGATTGTTTTCCATGATTTGTAGAATTGTTTTTCTGAAGGGGCATTGTAGCCTTCAAATGACTTGAGTCACAAGACACCTCTGGTGCACCTGAGGCTCTTAGGTTATCGTATACTGCAAACTATACACAGTAAAGGACTAAAGTCAGGAAGGCGCGTGATGCTCTCCTTTAGAGAGACAGATAGATTAGATTAGGAACCTTGGTATGAGGAAATACTTTACCCCAAAACCAACAATCAATAAATAAGCCTTGAATGGCTGTTTGCAGTTCAGTTTACTAGAGGCTAGACTTTCCTGTTGCTATAGAGGCCTTAAAATTCATCTTGGAGTAACTTCTTTCTTCAACTAACCCAGGAAACACCCTGACAGCCAGTATTTGAGGAAAGATTAGAGGTGTGGCCTTGTTGGAGTGGGTGTGGCCTTCTTGGAATGGGTGTGGCCTTTTGGAGTGGGTGTGGCCTTGTTGAAGGCAGTCTGTTACTAGGGGTAGGCTTCAAAGTTTCAAAAGCCCACATTCAGCCCAGTATCTCTCTCTCTCTCTGTCATCTGTCTGTCTGTCTGTCTGTCTCTCCCTCCCTCCCTCCTCGATCTCTCTTCCTCCCCCAATCCCCTTCCTGCATGTCAGGATATATCTATCAACTGTTTCTCAGGTACCATGCCTGGATGCCTGTCACTATGTTCCTGCCATGATGATAATGAACAAACTTCTCAAACTGTAAGCAAGCCCCAATTAAACACTTTCCTTACAAGCGTTGCTGTGATCATTGGGTCTCTTCACAGCAATAAAACTAAGACATCATAAAAGAGAAAATCCCAATGCTTAAAAAATGTAATTAAAGCATCTGAAGCTAAAGGGCTAAGTTTGTTGATAAATGATTCAGAAAACAGAATTAGCTAAGTGATGCTGAAATGTGCATAGCAAATGTTAAGAATAAATCGATCTATGGCTGCAGAAGGGGCTTAGCACAGCATGTTCGAGGCCCAGGGAGTTCCACAAGGAACTAATACATAAATCTTTGCAAAGGTTTCTGCTGTTCTGTGTGCTCCCCAATGCTTGTAGCTTTTCTGAAAATGTTCCATTATTTCCAAATAAGCAGAGAGAAGAACAAGGCAAAGACACAGCAGTGATAGAGAAGGAGATGAGTTGCGAATTCTGACATCAAAAAGTAAAACCGACTGTGTGTAGTGGCGCTCACCTTGAATCCCAGCACTCAGAAGGCAGAGGCAGGCAGATCTCAGTGAGTTCAAGGTCAGCCTGGGCTACACAGTAAGACACTGTCTCAATATAAAAAATAAATAAATACATACATACATACATACATACATACATACATAAAAAAGGAGGAAGAGGAGGAGGTGGCTGCTGTGGAGAAAGCAGGGCTGGAGATGTAGCTTAGTGGTGAAGCATGAGCCTAGCATGGATGAACCTGAATTTAATCTCTACTAGTGCAAATGAAGAGGAAGGTGGGAAGGGATGGTGAGGGGAAGGGAGGGGAGGGGAAGGGAAGGGGAGGGGCAGTACTGCAGGCAGATGCTTGAGGCTTTGGTCAAAGGGGAATGGAGGAGATTTTGAAATAAATGAAAGGTCAGGCTGCAAGATGATAGTGGTAGGTGCTAGAGAGATGGCTCAGTGGTTAAGGGCACTGAGTGCTCTTGCAGAGGACCTGGTTTTGGTGCCCAGCTTCCTCGTAGCAGCTCATAGCTGCCTGTAACTACAGTTCCAAAGGTTCTGCCATCTTCTGGTCTCCAGAGGCATGAGGCACACACATAACATATATACATGTAGCAACATTAATGTAACATAGATATTATAAATAGTAATAAAATTATAATAATAAATTTGATACTAAATAATAATAATAAAGGAGGTAAATGATGAGTTCTGAGTTCTTGGGTTTGGAATTTGGCAGATTTTGACTTCTGCAGTAGTACTAGAGCTGCTATGAGAGACCTTAGTGAGCTAGTCAGAGGTGGAACACACATGCACAGGGCCCTGCAGCCAACTCCAGCCACCATGTGACAAGGCAAAAGGGCAAATGAAGGTGGAAATTCTAATTAGTTTCCAGACACAACAGAATGACAGGAACCAAATTATTTTAAGCAGAATTATTTGCAAACAGCCCTGTAAGGCAGTAAGTATCCCACACTCCACTTCACTGAGTGCCATAGAAAGTGGAACACAAGCCCCAACATCAGGCTGGAGAGCATCATTTAGGATGAGCCAGAGAGAAGCTAAGGGACCAGGGATGAGCCCCAAGGGCCACCAAAAAGCAAGGAACCTTGGGGCGCAACTACTGAGTTCCCTCAATGGAAACTTGAGAACCAATTTGTGCTGGTTAGTTGTTTGTCGATTTGATATAAGCTAAAGTCACGAGGTTACATTTATCATAGGTAATAGTAACCAAAATAACAGTGCTCTGGACCCTCATACACACTGGTATAGTCAGGTATGGCTCCCATAGTAGGTCAACACTTCCCTGTCACCTCTCGCTTCTGCTTCCTAGAGAAGGAATTGCCCTTGGAAAACATGGACTGGACCTGTGTGCTGGGAGAGCCCATCCCTGAGTGATAACTGCTTAATTTGTCACCTTATAGTACAGGAGGTGTCGTGGGATGGGGCTGAGCCCTTTGATCTTATCCTTCCATAAAGCTAAATTTTGTTCCGTCTGTGCAACTTACTCTCCAGGTAGCCTGGGGGAATCTTGTTGTTTTTCACGTCTGCCTGTCCAAGAGAGGAATGTGGCTGGGATTAATCCTGAATGAGGTCATACTGTGGAAGACAGTGCTTACTAGTCTGTTCACCTTAGGACACATGAACCTCAGGACAGTGGGTCAGAAGTCATGAATTCATCTGGGTCCTTGAGAAACTGGAGATTGGTGAGCTGAAGGCTAGCCTGAGCTATCGTGAGAACTTGTTACAGAGGGAGGGATCTATAGAAAGCACAGAAGACTTCTTCATGCCCCCTGGCAGGCCACCTGCCCTTTAAACCCACCTATCTGAAACAAGAGAAATTATACCTGTCCTTTTCAGATTATTTTGGAATTCAGTTACTCTGAACTAACATCTCCCATCCTGTGATCTTTTGAATGAAAATGGCCCCCATAGGCCCATATATTTGCATGCTTAGTCCCTAGTTGACAACTGTTTGAAAAGGATATCACTGGCGAGCTCTGAGGTTTCAAAGCCCACACCAGGTCAAGTCACTCTCTGTCTCCTTCTCTGCCCCCCCCTCTCTGCTGCCTATGGATCAGGACATAAAGCTCTCAGCTACTGCTCCAGCACCATGCCTGTCTGCTTCTTGCCACAATAATGGACTAATGTCTGAAACTGTAAACAATTCCCTAATTAAATACTTTCATTCATAAGTGTTAACTTGGTCTTGGGGTCTCTTCACAGCAATAGAACAGTGAAGACGCATCTCTGTTCCACAAAAACTGTCCTCTTACAGGTAGCTTTGTCTTGGGATTCATCATCAGTGTGTCTAAAGCAGTTACTGAACCGTGGAGACCAGTTGCTCTGCTCAGTCTTTCCAACCCTTCCTTTCTCAGGCACCAGCCCTGCAGCATGCTGGGACTTTTTTTGCCCATTCTTCCTACTCCTGGATCCATCACGTGTACTCCTTCCAACAGAGCTCTTGGGTTTGTTGGTTGGTTCATTTGGCTTGGTTTGATTTTTTTTTTTTTAATTACACTAATGAGGAGTGGCACATGTGTGTCATGGTGTGAGGTCAAAGGACACAGTTGTTGGCACTGTAGTCACACCATGTGGGTCCTGGAGATGGATCTCTGGTTGGCAGGCTTGGCAGAAGTGCCTCTAACCATTGAGCCATCTCACTCATACCCTTGGCTTAGATTTTTTGAGTTAAGGTAGCACTATTATAACCCAGGTGGACTTCAAACTCATGTTATGATGCTTCTACCTCAGCCTCCACAGTTCTTGAATTGGGTATTCCATGACTAGTTCAAAGTTAAGCTATTTTATGAGTGTATCATATACACTCTTGGCATTTGCAGAGGTCAGAAGAGGGCATCAGAGCCCCTGAAACTGGGGTTACAAATAAATGATTATGAGCCTCCATATGGGTAATGGGAATCAAGCCCCAGTCCTCTGGAAGAGCCATTGCCCTCAACCACTGAGCCATTGCTCCAGCCTACTTATTAATTTTGCAGTGTTGATGATCAACTCAGGGCCTTACACATGTGAAGCAATCACTGAGCTCCATCTTTGGCCCCCAGAACTAAACATTTTAAAAAGAAAACAATGAATTTGCAGTATCTTGGACCATGTCACAAATGACCTTAAGCTACTTGGGGTCAGGCATTGAGTTGCTGTTGCTCTTGTATCAAATGTGTCCCTAGTACTGGAACTTTTTGCTGGAGTCAAAATTCTTAGAAATTTGGAGAGCATACGAGCAGCAGACACTGAGAAACAAAAGTGTTCAATGGCTTCACACATATAGAGTTCTATATGTTTTCATTTATGCTAGAGTATTTAAAGTTATGAACTATTTTTATGCTTCCCAAAGGCAAACAATGTTTGTGTTATTTTGTTGATTTCTTACAAAGTCAAGGTTATTCAGAGTACAAATAGGTAATCACAGAGCATATTAAACTGGTTTTTCAAACTTAACCTAGTGCCTCATAATTCACTGAAACAGGACAAATATCTGTGTCCTTTCTGGACTACTTACCCCAAAGTAACATTTCTTACTGATGAAAATTACAATGAAACGGACTCTGTATACAATACCCTTCGAGAAAGGATCTGCATTCTAGTCAGAGGTGGCATAAGTACTACTTATGACCTTCTTATGGAAACAGATTCAAGTAGAAAATCAGAGTGGACAGTCATCAATAACCTTTTTATCTTGTGTAGCTCAGGCTGGCCTTGAACTCACTATGTAGCTGAGGATGACCTTGAACTTCTGATCCTCCTGCTTCTACCTCTTGTGTGCTGGGATTATGGGTGCAGAACCACACCCAGTTTATACAGTGCTGGGGCTCAAACCAGGACCTCATGCATGCCAGGCAAGCTCTTTGCCCACGGGCAGTCTCATTGCACTTTCTTATAACCTGGCCACGTCTGTACATATCACACCACCCATGGATGCTCACTCTCCTGCTATACTAGCTGAGTTAAGCCATCATGAGTATTGGCTCATGAAGATGAAACAAGTATTTACCACTAGGTTCATTACAAAGTTTGCTTTGCATGGTGTCTTAATAAAACACAGTGATTTAAATAAAAAACGCAATACAGTTCTGGGAAAAGTATGGGTTTGAGAGTCAGACTCACCATCCACTAGCTATGTAAGCTGACATAATCAACTGCCTAACCTCTCTTGTGCCTCTCTCTTGCATTTGTAAAACCACCATAATGATGCTAATCTTTCAGGCAATGCTACGCAGAGGCAGGTTGAATTTGAAGCCAGAAACATGTGTCTTTACATTTTTGTAATTATTTAAATGTGAAATGTCTTTCACGGGTTCATGTGTTTAAACACTTGTCCCCAAACAGTGGCATTGTTTTAAGAGGTTGTAGAATTCTCGGGAAGTGTGTCCTAGCTGAAGGAAGTGTCCCTGAGGGCCAGGCCTTAAGGATTAGAGGCTGGGCACACTTCCAGCCCCAGCTCTCTGCTTCCTGACCTGCTCAGGTGTAACAGCTGTACCATGAGCTCTTTCCCCATCATCCCAAGCTGCCCTGCCTTCCCACCTGAAGGACAGCTTCCTCTCACATCATGAGCCAAAGAAACTCTTCTTCCCCTAAGTTGCTTCTGCCACAGCAACAGCGAAATTAATTCAATATGCTGGTTAATTCAACATGGTCATTAAAAAGCTGAGGAATCTCAGAGGTAGAGCCCAGATTTGTGAGGCCCTGGGCTCAATCCTCATCACCACGTGCACGCATGCGTGCGCGCGCGCGCGCACACACACACACACACACACACACACACACATTCTTTGGTATTTTGAACCAACTGAAAACAGTTCATCAGCACTCTACCATAAAGAAAAAAAAGGGAAGGGACTCTAAGTGAAGCTCTGTGTGATTAGGTCTGTTTACACAGTGTCAACAACACTCATAAACTGCTTCACAAGGAAGTGAAGCCAGCCTGGGCCGCCAAGGAACAGATTGCTGTTAGAAAAGACTTTTTTCACCAGCAGTATAGGCGATAAAACAAAAAGTAGCCTATCTTCAAGTACATTTTTAACCTTTTGTTCACTATGCATTGATTTGCAATACCTTTGATATTTTAAATACTGTATTATAATACCACTTATTGGAAGGGCTAGATGGCTCAGTGGGTAAAAGCACCTGCTGCTAAGCCTACTGACCTGAGTTTGGAACCCACTCAATGGGAAGGGGAGAACTTGATGCTAGCAAGTTGCTCTCTGATTCCACTAGCACAGTGTGGTTTGTGTATATATTCACACACGCACACACATGCACACATATAAATTAATTACTTAAGTTAAAACATGGGCCTGGAGAGATGGCTCAGCAGTTAGGATCACTGGCTAACTGGCTAGTCTTCCAAAGGACTCGGGTTTGATTACTAGTGTCCATATGGTGGCTCACAACTATCTGTAACTCCAGACTCAGAAGATAGGACACCCTCTTCTCCCAGCCTCTGTGGACACTGCATACACAGAATACGTTCAAGAAAACAATCATACAAATACAATCTCAAAAAAAATTAAAAACCACTTGATTTTTGAGATTTGGTGTATCCTCTTAGATGTTGTTTCTGGGGTGTCTTTGCCTCACTCACTTTACCCAAACCCCCAGACTGTCAGGGTTGTTCTAAGAATTACAAATTATGCCTAGGAGGTTTCCAGAGCCTGGGCACATAGTAGATTCTAACTAGTTAGCAACTGTTGATGTTGATGGCAGACTGGGAAAATACTATTTACCACCTAGGGGTGTACACAGACTTGAATGTCTGTCAAGGTGGGCTGGAAATAAATCCTAATATAATTATTATAAATTTTCTAGGTCAACTCTAAGCTTCAGTTATTAGCATGATTTTAACAGTTTCAGTGGAGTTCTACCATCTTATCCTTTGCATTATTTGATTTAAAAACTTTAAATGTCATTGTTGTTGTATGTGTGCATGTGCACGCTCTTACATGCCTCGGTTCACACATGGGAGCACTCAGTATTCCCCTCCCCACCTTTGGGTAGGCTCAGCTCCCAGACTTGTGCAGCAGGTGCCTCTACCCCCTCAGCCGTCTCACCAGCCCCTCTGTGTTATCTACGATTAAAGGAAAAAAATTCAATATAAGAAATATATATATATATATATATATATATATATATATATGAAAGCTCATTTTACCCATAGCTCCTGGCCTCAAAAAACTTTGAAAGTCCATTAATATTTTTTAAAAGCATTGGCTAAATGACCTACCTGATTTCACCAAGCACAGCAAACTGATAAGAAAGTACAGCCTCAGCATAGGGATCAAAAGATCATGTGTCCCAAACACAAGGAGGTGGCCCACTCGACAGAGCCCGGCACAGTCAGGAGTTCTCCCGGAGAGCTCACTTGGCTAATCCCCAGTTTGTGACAGCAGGAAGTCCCCGAGGGAGGGACTGCAGCCCTGCCGGTCTAGTCAAGATCCTTGGCTCCTCCTCTTTGCAATAAAAGGTCTGGGATTTTCGGCTTGCACAATTGGTGTATATGTTAATGCTCATTTGCATTTTCATTCTCCGTGGGCGGTTTACTAGCTGTTTGGCTTGGTGTGTTGAAATCAACCTAATTTGAGAGCCTTCTCCCTTATGAATGAAATGATGAATCCGGTCAGTATTCCCCCTGACTGCATATACCCATTTGCTATGTTAATCCACATGCACAGAACTGTTTTTAAACTTTTATTAATAACATTTCATTAAGTTCAGTTATATGGCTGTGTTTACAAATGTACTTATGCCTCATATTAAAGAACTTTTTACTTAATCTTATTTTCCCTTCTTCCTATCCAGAGTCCTTGTCTCCTAGCTGAGTTTTCGTTTTTTTATATTTCATTTATTGGGGGTAGGCAAGTGAGTGTGCCGTGGTCTTTGTCCTCCCCAGTAGAGGTCAGAGGACAATGTGTTTGGTCTTCTCTTTCCATCATGGAGATCTTGGAGATGGAGCTCACAACTCCACAAGCCTGGGGGCAAGCAGGAGGCGTCTACATCTTCCTAACTTTTCTAATGTCTACACTAGCCATAACTAACCCTGCACTAGGAGGTGACTCTGGGTACCTACCCAATGGCAAGCCCTGGAGTAGATGAGGGTGGAGCACTAATGAGAGGCTACACTGCAAAGTGAATAATCCTCTTTCTAGTGAAAATCCTTCAGACATCAAGTTTCTGGTTATTTTATAAGCTTAAAAACGATATGATAAAAACAAAAAACCTCCACACTATCATCCAAACACCAGGCAAAGCTATTAGTCATTTAGTCTATGTGAAGTTCTTCTTGATTTAGGTATGGTAGCACATGCCTGTAATCCCCATTCTCAGGGGGCTGAGGCCGGAGGATAGCACGTTTGGGGCCAGGCTGGGCTCCAAACCTCAAGGGGGAGGAGGTCTGGTTGAGGGGACACCTTCTGGCATGATATACATCACCTCTCCTCTATGTTTATGGATTCCTTGCATTTAACCATTAAATGGGTCAATATGCAGCTGCTGTCCAAGGAGTGAGTTCATCACAACCGCCTGGTGCATGCATGGTTATGAGTTCAAGGGCCAGCCTGGGCTCCACAGCAAAGACTCTCTTCAAAAGGAAAACAAAGGATGTGTCCTTTTCTGTGTCACACCTGAGACCAATGAATGTGAAGACTGCTGGTGCTGGTCTACCAACCTGAGTTCAGTTCCCCATCTTCCGCTGTGTGTGGCCTCAATAAATAAAACATTTAAGTTCTTATGCGTCTCAACTCTCTCAATCATGAAATGAAGATAAGATCACTCAACTCAGGATAATTACACAGATTAAATGAGGTATTGCCTCGAAGTCTTCAGCACTGTGCCGCTGCCAAGGTTAATTGCTCCCTCCATTTGGTAATTCCATTCACTGTCTTTCTGGTCACACAGATGGCATTGACGCCTCCCTCTGAAGGCATGCTGTCAAGTTGAGAAGGGGCTTTCATGAGGGACTTCAAGTCCTTTTATGAACACTGCAGGAACACACTACAGTGTGTTTTGCTATTGTGTCTTGTTTGAATTAAGGAACTGTCAACAGGAAACTCAAATCAACACCTGCCAGCTTTTCTACTCTGCACTTGCTCTAAGCCTTGCTCATTTGAAAACACCAGTTCTCTGAACAGAGAATCATTCTGTCTCTTTAAGGGACCTGCCCTGGAATGTGCCCCTCCCTGCCCGGTCAGTGTAGTTCCCTGATAAATATTTGTTGAGTTCCTATCAGTTTGAAGTGCTTATCTGGACCCAGCCAATGTACTTTCTTAGAGGGAAACTAGCCAATCATATAGACATAAGGGCCGTACTCTGTGTGTTATTGATGGTTAGGACACACAGGGTCCCCTAACTTCATGCCAGGTGCTCTGTTTTCCTTTCCCCACACAAAACAGAAGAGAACCAAAGGAGGAAGCTGCCCTTTGTTTTTTAGCTGAGTAAAAATGTTGACACTGTAATAAGAAATATCAACCATGTAATAGTAAAACAGAACACCCCAAAGGTGGGGGAGAGGAAAACAGAGTAGGTGTGAGTATAACCAAAGAGCACAGGAGTTGTATCGCTTTTGTGGTTGGGGATGGGATCCTGAGCTTTAGCTCACTAAGCAAGAGCTCTGTCGCTGAGCTGTCTTCCCAGCCCCGCAAGGGATCCTTTAATGGCGGAATGCTTTTGTATTGAACCGAGGTGGCAACTATAGACAGCCATGCAATGAGACCACAGAGAAGCACATACATGGACACACATGTGCATGTTGTGCTGACAGAGTCTAAACTAGGTCTCTGGGTTGTGCCAATGTCCATGTTCTGGTTTTGACAGCATGTCGCTGCTTATGTAAGAACCTGTGCTGGTGGGAAGTTGAGTGGGTATACGTGGACCTTCTCCCATTGTTTTTGCAACTTCCTACCAACCAACCCATAATTATTTCAAAGTGAAATGTGTTTTTAAATTTTAAAAAATGGGTCAACTCTTACAGCCATTGAATGAACATTAATTTAAAGGTATTCTGAGGAAGCCCTGCCTTTATCTCCATTAGCTAACCAAGATTCTCTCAGTCTGGTACCCGTAATAAGGGACTACGACTCACAGATACCATTATCTTCTCAGTCCAACCTATCATCATCATTTAGTTAAGTCTTCTGAGACAGAGTCTTATGTAGCCCATGCTGGTTTCAAACTTGCTATGAAGCCAGAGCTGGCATTGAACTCCTGACTTGCCTGCCTCAGCCTCCCAAGTGCTGGGACTATCTGTGTGAATCACCACATCTGCCTCTGCAGCCTGTACTGTGTATTGTGTATTTGCCTTTTCTTTGTCCCTATTTTCTCATTCACCACACACAGCAGAGCAGAAAGTGGCAGGCCAGCTTCTACTATGTGGACCGGAAGGGCAGGTATGGAGGCGCGATAGAACCTGGGAAGGTACTTTCATTATTCTCTTTTTTGACAACCAGGAATGGTGACCTGTGTCCCCACCCATCCTGGTCCAGGGCCACACTGCTGTATGATTCACTGCAACACCCTTTTGTCAACCTGCTTGTCTCTCACTTGGAATACAAATTCAGAGAGATGAGTCAGTTTCTTTAGCTCATATCCAACCAGAGATTAGATTTATACTTTCAAACCACACATTTCTCTTCCTCCCTCTTTCCCTCCCTCCCTCCCTCCCTCCTTTAAGTAGTCTTTAGTTCTGGGTTTGTTTGTTTGTTTGTTTTATCCCTGTTTTGTTTTGTTTGCTACTACTGACTGTGGAATATTCCTTTACACTGTATAAATATATGTCTCTGTGATTGGTTTAATAAAGAAACTGACTGGCCAATAACTGGACAGGATAGTTTAGGGGGAGAACAAAGCACAGGATTTTGGGAAGAAGAAGGGCAGAGTCAGAGGAGCATTGAGCAGACGAAGAGAGAAACAAGATGGACATGCTGTACTGAGAAAAGGTACCAATGTGGCAAAGTGTAGATAAAAATATGTAAGAGTTAGCTAATAACAAGCCTGAGCTATCGGTCAAGCATTTACAATTAATATTAAGCCTCTGTAGTTACTTAGGGGTGGCTTGTGGGACAGCCTTGCCCCCTCAATAGTTTTCAATTCTATGTAATTTTTATTTTTTTAACTATTGATTCTCTGTGGCTTCACATCATGTGTCCTGGCCCTACTCATCTCTCCACCCCTCACTTCTGCCCTCTGCCCTTGCACTTCCGCCCAAAACAAAACTTTAAAAGTAAAACCATACAAAACAGTGAAACAACAAAAAGACAAACTAAAAAACAAACAAACCCACCTCAACTTGGAAGTTGTAGTGTGGCCCAGTGAGTCACACAATATATATACCCTTTAGTCCATACATCTTTGCTTGTAAGTGTTTATTGCAATGAGTCACTGGTCTGGCTTGAGGCCTCTGGCTTCTGCTACACTACTGACAGTGGGACTCTGGGCTATCCTGCTGTTGTACTGTGTCTTAGAGACCCTGTAGCTCTGGATCTGCAGGTCTGGCCCCTTCACATGCTCCAGCAGTTCATAGATGAGGTGGGTGAGCCAACTCTTAACCCTGGGTGGTCACTGGGTTGGTCAGCACAACTCAGGCAAGCTCTCCAGCACTGCCCCAGCTAGCTCACCAAATTTAGCAGACAAGGAGCAAGGGCCAGTTCTCCTGCTCACACCTTGGGTCCCACTCACTCATACTCACACCACCAGGGCCAGCTCCACTGTTTTGCCCAGGCAAGGAGCAGGGTCTACTTTCTAAACGGCTGTGCTTGGTAGGGGCAGGACCAACTCTTTCACTCTCAGGTCCGCAGGCCAGCTCTCATGGGAGGGGGAAGGGGGGGGAAATAGGGCGGTGTCAAGGGTCATATTTCCCTAACTCTTGCCACCCCGTGGTATATGAAGGAGAGGGTGGAGGCAGTTCTGCTGTCACACCCACAGGCCAGGCTCATCTGTAACCCTGCCAAAAGGGTCTGCTCTATTGTGCCGCCCCGGGGTCGGCTCTCCTGCTTTTGGTGGGGGCTGGCGCCAATTCTCCCACTCTCATGATCTCAGAGCCAGCTCTCCCATCCACCACAGGTGGCAAGGGGCTAGGGCAAGGGGCGGGGAGCTCATCTTTCCCTCTCCCACTCCACCATAAGGCAGACAAAGGGTGGGGCCGTTCATTGCACTGGATCACCCGCACCTCTGTCAGAAGAGCCAGCTCTACTGTGCTCCCTAGGCGAGGCACAAGGTCCACTGTCCCGAGTGCTGCAGCCTGTGACTCCAGGACCTCTGCCTACACTAGGTGGCAAGGGGGGAGGGGCAAGATAGGTATCTCTCCCTCACCAGCCACTGAGTGACAGACCGGATGGAGACTAGCTCCCCCAGTCTCCAGTCTTGAGGGCCAGCTCACCTGCACCCACAC